CCGAATCGGGCTCGCGGCGGAAACGGCAGCGGCGAGCCCTCTCGGGTTCGTGGCTTGGCTTGCTACTCTGGCGGGCTGAGCCAGGTATGGCCTCGGGTTACTGTACACGCGTAAAAGCTTTCACATCTTAAAAAAATGCAACAACAACAAAAAACAGCGCTCGCTCTTATTCTCGTTCGCGTTCGAAGTTGCAACTCTTTGAGCCTCTCAAGCTGCTTGAGTGTTTTTCTTCTCTCTTTCTCGTTTTCAAAATAGTCAAGGAAGCTAAAACAATCCTGTTGCAGTAAGGAGGAACTTCCTAGCCCACTATATTTGCCACGTGGGGTCCAGAGGAGCAACTTCCCTAGTTAAATTGTAAAATCGAAGAAGATAGTTCACCAGCATACGCCTGCTGCAATATCAAAGATGTCGTCACACAAGAAAAGTGCTTTGGTCCCAGGTCCTCTCTTATGGAGTCTGGTGACTGTATCGGTCCTCGATTGTGTTATGGCACTATCAATGCGCAGTTCGCTCACCTCGACCTCTGGCGTTACCGGATTCAGTTCTAGTTTGCAGTATTCTCAAATTCCACCCGAGTGGGCGACGCATCCGCAATTTTCGAATCGACAACATCCTCCACAGGGGAACCTAGGAGCGCAGCCCTCACCGGTCCCAGTAGATGCACCGGCTTCATCTCAACATCAACACAGAACACGACAACATGTTGAACAACATCAAACTTCGCATCAACAAACAAGCCAACAACAGCAACAACATGCCTTCGCCCACGAACATGGTTCTCAAGCTCAACCTAACTTTCCACGACAACAACAAGAACCGGCATTCTGGGAGGGTCAGGAGGTAACCTTTGATGCAACATATGGAGGGAAAATTACTGCTCATATACGCGGACGAGTCGTCCAAGCCGACCCCTCTGAAGATACGCTGGTCATTCAGCTTCTCGACCAAAAGAATAAACTCATTCACAGCGTACCGAAGACGGTCGTCCAACCCGTACCAAAGAGCATCGTCCAGCCCCATCTAGAAGTACTGCTACTGCTGAGGCACAACAACTACAACTTTGTTTTGCTTGTTCACATGCTTTTTGTTTTGTATTCAGTAGTACTTCTTGCTTAGTTACCGTTACTCTATCAGAAGAGAGTCGTGGACACTTTGAAGAGTACCAACTAAGAGTAACATTGAGATGGTTCAAAAACTATTTGTTGTACAACTATCATTTACATTTTACTCAGATTGACGTACAGCACGCAACAAGAGACCTGAAGCACGCGCTGCAGTTGAGCAATATCGTTCATCCATCTCCGCCGAACGGCGTAGGAATGGCGGGAGACACGAAGGCGCGTACGGAGTCGGATAGTACCAACAATGTTCGACCTCGTCCAGTGGGTAATATTGTCTCACCATTAGAAACAAATCCAATTCCACCACTGGCAACAAATCAACAGATTCCACCCCCTTCAGTAGTACATCCTCATCAGATTACCACCCCGCATCAGATTACAGTGCCTTCAGTCCAGCCTAATCCATCTCCGTCAGAAGTTGTAGCGATGACTCAACAAGGTGCACCACAAGAGGCCGCAGATCCTGCTCAACAAGTACAACAAGCAGACGCCATGATTCAGCAAAAAGATGCACAACAAGAGACCACGCGTCCCCAACAAGGACAAGCAGAGCCACCACAAGCAGAGCTACCATCAGAGAATAGACATCACAAGAAGAAGAAGAAGGAGATGCGCGCTGATGCTGCGATCTGGAAGCCACCACCAATGCTTGCTAAGGCTTTTGCAGCGGAACGGGTGAATCGTCATGGCAGCACGAGCTCAGCCGCTTCTTCGTCCGGCGCGGAAGAGCCGTCCATGAACGCGTTTGCACTCGAGTACTATCCTTACGGCATCCATTCCCCTGATCGATATTAATCTTTTTGAAAGGCATCCTTCCTGAAGAATCTGCTTCTCAAGGGAGACACCAGAGCTTCATGATGGGTCCTGAGATGGATTCGTGCGACCTCTAATATCCTCCACCGCATGTTGTGGCGTGTGTAGAGGAACAACGCGCTGCACACGCAGCCGCGGAAATGGGCAGCTGGACTGGTGTTGGTGAAAGTCAAGGAGAAGACGCTTACAACGCCTACAGTCAACACCTTGTTTTATGAGGGGTCACACGTGCAGCTAGCGAGTGTATGTATGTTTTGCAGCAGCATCTCTCTCTCGCTGGGTCGTTCAGTTCTTCTACAGTATTTTTTTAATGTCTCCTTCTCGGGCCGTGGTGTTTTGTCTACTATTCTTCGCAGAAACTTATATTAGAACAGTTTATAAGGTTTCCGGGGGCCGGTTGGCATGGCACGAATGGAACGGCTGGAACGAATGGCAGGCATCCAATCCGGGGCTTCAATGTGCTCCGCCATTCGTGCCATTCGTGGACCTTTCAGACCTTCGAGAGCGGGGCGCCCTTCGGGCGCCCTGCGTTTTCAAGCGGTACCTCCCCCGCGGCGTTACCGCTCTCTCCGAATGCTGCGCACATACTTTGGCATTCCCACTCAGGCGCCCTGCGACCAATCTGCCACACCCTCCACGGCGTTGCGCTTCAGTACTAGGCTCCCCAAACCCGGCGCCCTTCAGGCGCGTTGCTTTTGCTCCAGCCCTCCTCTGCCACCCGCGATGCAAAGCTGCCACGCATCCGACCCGCCCCCCAAGCCACGGCCCACCTCCGTCGCCGCTCTCTCACGGCGGCGGCGCGGTGGATCAGCTGAGCACCCTAGGGCGGGGGCCGCATGCTAAATCACCCGCCTCGTCGCAGCATTCCTCTCGTGGAATTCCGCGGGGGTCATGCAAGTCCACCAGAATTTGCGTGGCCCGCGCGGTAGTTCCAAGAAAGAAGCCAGCCCTCCGACGGTCAGCCGCACTAGGTTCCGCACTCTTTAGAGAGCAGCCAAGTCGGCTTTGTTTCTGGCTAGCTCCCTTACCATTTTGAAAATGGCAGGGGGGCTTTCCGTAGAATTGCAGCCCTGCCTTCCAATCCCCATCCCTGTCCCCTTGTGCCAACGCCAACCGCGCCATTCGTGGCACTTTTTGGCTTCGTTGGGTTGTTCCAACCGTGTCATTCGTGCCAACCGTGCCACCCGCCATTCGTGTTATAAACTGTTCTATTATATATAATTTCGTCTTGCAGAGCATCTATGTCTATTTTTGCAAGTTAAAAGAGCGTAAGTATTATGAATGTATAATCGTTCTAATATAGCACCTAGGTGACCATCACCATTCTGAAGTGTATGAAGGAGCGCACGCGTATCATGGTCTGGACGGATCCGCGTGCGGTCCTATGGATTCTTTCTCTTTCTACGTTGGAAGCATGCCGGGGGAACTGCAACAACAGGAGTACGAAGCGTTCGCAGCTACGACAGAGGCTCAACAAGAGCAAGTTCAGCAAGTACTAGTACATCAACATTACTGTAACTACAATACGGCGGAGGCTGCAGGAGGTGAAGGCTCGCATGGCGCTTATGAAGTGAAGCCAAGCGATTTCTGCATCGATATGCATGAACTGCAGACGGCCCAGACAGAAGAGGGCGATGGTGCCGACGCGAGCAGCAGCATCGCTTGTCGTCACAATTATGCTCATGGATTTTACGACACGCTAGGCTCTGCTTGGACGCACCAGGAGGAAGATCAGCAGCACTATGCTAGTAATCAGTATGAGCAGCAAGGGGCGCAACGAGGACAAGCTGACCGACTGCAACATGGTCGAAATGATGAGCAAGAAATACTGGATGACTACCAGCAGCATCTATACTATGGATTTCCTGGAAGAGCAGAGAATGTATTGCCTGCGGGAACAAGCCAAGAAGCACCTAGGACACTTCTGAGCAAATTAAAGATTTCGAACCAGCGCCCTCTCCCCAAACCGTTTGCAGCGATGGAAGCTATAGCCGCGCGGGTAGCGCACGTCGCGGAAAATGGAACTAGACTTATGAACGTGGTTTTATGATAACCTATGTATCATGAGTGTATCTAAAGAAGATCCGTTTCCGAGTCAATGAAATAAAGTACTACTCGTAAGATGGATTATGGGTGGTATGGATTGCATTGCATGGATTGCTTGGCTAGGAGGAACTAGAACCCGACTCCGTTAAGGGGGAGGCGCGTACTTGTCTGGCAGACTGCAGCACCTCGCCCGACGCAGGCGCTGGCGTGAACTGCGCTCGGCGCTTGTTCCCTTGACAGACTTGTTGGCCCCTGGTGCCCGCCCGCGGACCCTGGGGCTGCGTTTTGTTGGGGTGAGCCCGCCTATGGACCCCTTTCGGGCTCGGGCTGGCTGCCTTCGGGTTGTATTCTGTTGCTGTTGTTTGCTTATGCCGCGTCTGCCGCCCGGATGCGGGCACTTCATGATTGTTTCTGCGCAAGCCGTTGACAGATGAAACAGGACGGCAGTGAGCGCTGCCGATGACGCCCGCAGGGCGCCCTGAAAATCTATCACTCTTAATCATTGCAATCTATAGCAAAACATGCAATCCATATCATGCATTTCAGATATCAGATATAAGCGAAGCTCTCTTAAAGTAGGTATAAGCGAGTTGTATAACTGAGTAGGTAAAAAAAATGATAGCACGTCCGGCGAGAGAGTTCTACTAATGCACCCCTGGACGAACAAGGGGCAGTCTGCCCTGTGATGAAGGCAGCAGGAAACGAGTGCGCACGGAATATTGTGAGAATGAGAGTGGAATACGAGCAACGCGTGAAGCAAGCTGACGAGAGGAAGCGGGTGGAAGCCGCTGCCGCCGCTGCGGCAGACGAACGAAAACGTAGCCGGAGACCACGCGGCCCTGTGGAGATGGAAACGAAGGCAGTGGAGATACACGGAGAGATGTACTTCCTGCAAGTCCCAAAGGAAGAAAATAACAAAGACAACATCGCTGCCGAGACATCGACACGTGGGAACGTCGAGAGCACGCTGGCATTGGCAACTACACGAACTATACCTCCGAATGTAGTTGACACTACATCATCAAGCCCAGCTACAATCGGCATGATTCCTACCCCGATCTCGCCGGAGCAAACAAGTGTTGATAACGCATACTCCGGGCTTCAGATTGACACAGGAGTTACACAAACTATTGCACATCGGCTGAATAGTCCTTCTGCTGACGTTCCAACTCCATCTTCAACTTCACAGATTAGTCCTAGTCCCTGTAATTTACAACTTCCCGCACAACCACCACCTGGGATAGCCGTTGCCGGCACTGGTGGGATCCCTATAATCAGCAATCCACAGGACGCCGGCCATCTGAGCCCTGGATTGGTGTCGCAGAGTCCGGTGCACATCATCCTACCTCATCTTCATCCACCACGTTTAAGCAATCTGGGACCACACTTCTTCCCCAATTGCTCGCCGCCCGCACCGGGTTGCTGGCATCAACATCAACAGAACTCTTTCGGCACTCTGCCTGCTCTTGGCCCTGTAAATAGCGTCGCCCTTCCACCGGGTCACCAGTGCTCCTGTGGAGTCGGAGGAGCATCACCGAACCCAGTCTCTTCTCTTGCGGCCGCCGCAGGGTCTCTTTCAGCGACATTCTCGTCAGTACCTGCGAGCGGCTCTCCTCAGATGGTTATTCTTCCACCCGGTGCCATGCCTGTGATGTTCGTATCCCCAAACGCCGCGAATAACGTGCAATCCTTACTCAAAGACGGCAGCTCCTCTCCTGTTTACTGTAGAGAGGGTCTAAGTCTTGATAGGGTGCCTAGGGCTTAGGATGACCGTGACGGCTTCGCCGTAACCTCAGTAAAAGAGACAGACGGCAGAGCAGATACTACTTTCTTTGTTCGCAACGGGTCGGAGAAAATGAGGACGCGGCTCAACAAAGCAATTGGTGGCTAGTACCAGGTGGATACATCTATGACATCCATGATCAGTCTGCACATACACGATCAGTATCATAAGCGTCTAGTTGTATGCATTGAAATTATAATAGAGCTAGGCTTTTTTTGACCCATATCGGGCCGAGTTGCTCGAGTTGCCAACCCAAATCTTTTGCGCGGCGCCCTTCGGGCGCAGATTTATGACCCTACGAGAGACCTTAACGGGAGCGCATGACACCACGCGCCGCGTCTCTGATTCTTGACCTTCTTCTTAGTGCGCCCTTAAGGCCCCACCAACTGCCCTTATCTTGCCAAGGAAGTGCGATCACCTATTCTTACCATCAGCTGAGTAGTGTGGTATCTAGCTAGATGGGTAAGATATCCAGCAGCGACGCCCTATCTACATCCGACGTCTCGGCAGTTCTAGACTAGTTGCATACTGATGGCGATGCGCTCGCATATAAATATCTAGCGCGTCCATCCATTTCAATTTAGCAACCTCCTCCAGTATACTTACTGCTATGCCCAAGACTGGACACGTCGCCCGCTGAAGCCAGCAGACGGAGGCTCGCTCTCAGCCCCCAAGCAGATTGGCCACGCTCGCACCCGAAAAAAAACGGGAGAGATCGCCAACGACTCGAAGACGACACACCACAGCGGAACTCACCTCAGAAAAAACAACAGAGAGCAGGGGCCTGCGCTCCTTGTTTTCGCTTCAAACACGCGTCCGGACGCTACAAAAAGAGAGCCTGAAAGGCTGCAGAGCCCTTCACACGTGGCTGCCCCTTTCATGAGCAACAACAAAAAACGGAAACTGTTGCTTTTGTTGAATTTTCTTCACTTCGAGCGTACAAATGCGCCGCCATATTGCCCGGCTTCGCCTCATTTTGCTGGATCAAGACTCTCCTGGCAACCCGTGGCAACCCGTTCCAGATTTGGAACCCCTGCGCTTCGGCAACCCGCGCAACCCGTTGCAACTCCAGCAAGCCGAAGCCCGTTATTTATATCTACCTTATACTCTATTATAATAACGGTTTAGGCGTGAGATATGTGCCAGCAGGTTTAATGGAGAGAGCAGAGGAAGTTAGAAATGAGATGGAAACTAAGATGAGATGAGGCGCAGAGAACAACGATTTCTCTACTAAGCGTCTACATGAGAGTTATGGAATCTACTTAAATAGCCTTAAGGAAGAGAGAGAGAGAGAGAGTGAAGAACTAGTACTAGTAGGAAATAGTAGTATGAATTGGCAAACCGAGATAGATGAAAAATGAGAAAGGAGAAAAAACAGGAAAAAACACCGAGACGAGGGGGGGCCAGGGATATGCAAATGAGGGCCCATTGCATGCATATCTACCACTGCGTAAAGCAGCCCTCATCGACCGACAACCGCATTGAAATTATAATAAAAATTTATCATAGGTTAAATTACATTTACTACAACATCAACATCTAACGAATCAATGCTCCGCCTCAGTACTTACTACGATAGTCTCGTGTCTTGAACTACTCTGGAAGTGCGAGGCTCTGCCTATTATCATCTTCCATCACATCTATGTACGATTTTTGACTTTTTTCACTTGTCTCCTCAACTACAACTAGTACAGCTTTACGTTTAGGTTTACAGCCAAGTACTCCCTCACGGAATACGAAGTAGAGGAAGATGCCATTGTAGGTTTAGAAGTACTCCAAGAATGTCCATGATTTTTCTACTTGTCGAGCGATGAAGGAGCGGTCGAGAGAGCAAGTGGGACGAGACGCGCTCTCATCTCTCGTACACTCAAGTGCCAGTCTGTCACGGAGAAAGAAAGGACGAGCACGCAACAAGAGTAGTGAGAAACGAAGTCAATAGATTAGTTGTTAAAGTAATAGATGCCTCAGACACCCCTTGACGTCCCAACCCCCAGGCATCCTGGTGGGGATGCACTTGGGGGGTGGAAGCTCACATCTTCAGCAGGCCACCACGCTAAGCACGACCAAGAATACCGGTTCACCGAACCTAGCCCTGCAGAAGATCGCATCCAAACCCCCCAAGAACCACGCGTGGCCTTATTTTAAAGGCCACAAGGTTCAAATTGAAATAGCTAGAAAAGCATAGAAGCAAAGCGAAAAGCATCGCGGGACTGGGCCTTCTTTCTCTCAACATGTCATTTATTTTCTAGCTAAACTGAGTAACGTGACCACATCCCTCATGGTTTCTCGTTTTCTATACAACGGGGTAGTCGTAGTTAGGCTACCTGTGATTCTGTGTTTTTCGTTTATGTTACACATAGTGATTCGATATCTAACTATTCAAATCCGATGGATCTTGTTGGGGTGAACTGAGGCTAATGGGCTTTCCTTTTCTAGTTCAATGTCCCAACGTTGGCTTTTCCCTAGAAGTTCTTTCAACATGGAAGTAAAGGGTCACGGCAAGTGTTGTCCACTACTTCATACAACGACGTCCATTAAATGAACCAGGGGGGCAGCCTCACCTGACACATCACACGAAGTTGGATTATCATGCTTCCTCGCGATAGCACGGCCTCGTTTTGGAAACGTTCGTTTCCGTCATGTTCCACCAACGAGACGAAACAAGAGAGCATGCAATTGTAGAACGAACAGCACAGCGAGCTGTCGAGTGAACTACATCAATTTGTATGACTACATCAACTTGTGGGTAGTTCACAATCACAAAGGAAAACAAGTCTTCTTGATGTTGCATGTGAAAATTTACTCGGATTCGAATGATATTAATTCCAGCATGATCCATTTGGTCGCATATAGAAGTATTCGAAAACTCAAAATAACCGAGTTACTGACTGAAATAAGCAAGGTAGCTTAACGTCAAGGCTACCTTTCCTTCTCATCAGTATCTCGGTTATTCTGATCAGTTACTTACTCGCTTATTTCAGTTTTTCGAGTAGGCATCTGGTTCTTTTCCGTTGATCAGTGAAAAAGTTTTCCACCAGTTGTACGGTGTAAGTAAGTACTTATTATATTTGGTCTTGCCAAAAAGGCCGACCTGTCTCATGACTGGGTCAATACAATGTTGAGGGTTTCTCTCGTCGGCGCCGTGGCGGCGCTACAGCTGCCATGCGTTTGGTGCAGCGACCCCGACTCGAACGCTGCGCGTGCAGCTGTCGGTCTCATGCTCGAAGGCGTGCACGACTTTCTTGCGAAAGCGAACGATGCAATTGTTGAAGACAGGAAGAAAGAGGCGCCACGAAAGAACGCAGTCGACGAGGCTAAGAAGAACCTTGCAGACAAAAGCGCTGTTGCAATCCAGAAGAACCATATGTCTAGTTATCTTGTAGTCTTAATGTAGAAATCAAGCTGAACGCTTGCTTCTACATAGATATGCTTTGTAGTGGTGAGGACACACTTGCTGTGAGGTAGTTTCTAGAGATAGGGCAAGCGCAGGTGTAGCATAAAGTGGTGTGCGGAGATAGTCCCTGATCATCATCGTGTTCCATTTGGTGCCTAGCCTAAGGGCGCAACAAAACAGTTCACGAAGATTCCTCGCTAATCAACAACAGACCGCATCGGCAAAGATGACATCAGAGAAAAGCCAATCAAAGGCCGACTCCTCGTCTAGAGGACCGACTCGCGAGGAGGCTCTGGATTATCTGGAGGAGATTGGCCACAATCTAGGCCTCCTGGCTGAATTGCTCACAGAGCAAGATACCGTGGTCGCGCAAAAAATGGAAGAGCAGACCGCCCAATCGAACGAGCTCATTGCTGTCATAAAGGAGGACACAGCAAAAACAAAAGAAGCCGCTGACGTATTTTTGTTCTCTACTGGATACTAGATTCATAAGATATTGATATACTAGCAAGCCTTGACCTTGAGTTGTATCATGCCTTGCATCTCTTCGCAACTAATTTTACGACTCGTTTTTATTGGATGAGAAACATACCGATCCAATGAAACTATGAATTGAATCATTGGACATAGGTAGTATCTATAAACATGAACACTTAGATCAACGAAACTTTTTTTCCACACAAACGACTACACAGCGCAAGTCCGGACGTCTTTCTAAAGCCATGCGACGTCGCTCACAGCAATTGTCTAACGCACTGTCTGGCGAACGATCGGCGGAGCAAAAGCTAGCCACGTCAGAAAGAATGCGCGGAACATTACGCTTTCGTTTGCAGCAACTCCTGGATGAGCAGAAGATGCTACGTGACCGAATGAAGCAGATGCAATCCAGAGATTACGTTGTATGGAAAGTTTGAAACTGTACTTGCTTCATCTACTTTCATACAACATCATGGTTCGTAGTTCAAAGCCCTTCCCAAGAGCTACGAAGCTGATAGAAGTCTACACTCTCTTTAGATGATACGAGGAGTTTTTCTGGGGAGGAGGATCTTGAATGTCGCCATCTTTCATTCACCACTGAAAACGGAAATTTGCGATCACAGCTCGATCACGCACTCGTCGAGAATACACGACTAAGTGCGAGCGCACGCGGATTACTCAAGACGCAAGCACAACTCTTGTCACAAAAGGAGGCTGCTTACGAACAACATTCTTGTGTCAGTAGGTCCGTAGAAGTGGATGTCTTCTTAAACAGTGTATTATTAAAATGAGTTGAAAAGTATAGCACTAGCACTACTCACCCTGTACTTGATGTAGGAGACATTAAAAATCGAGCTCACAGATATAGTTATCGTGAAGATGTCCGCAAAAAGTAAATACACAGAAGTTTAGTACTACTTCCTCTTCCTCCTGCGTCAAGGTCAAACCCATGTGGTTCTTCATTTTTCGGCGAACAACGACAAGTGTAAGCGAAAGGTCGAAGAGCTGTTCACCAGGAACAACGAGCTGCAACTACGCGTAGACGCTCACAGCATTGAAAAGGAACAGTGCGAGAAGAATCTGGACCAGCAACTGAGCCAGAGCAAGCGCATGCTGGACCAACTGGTGGCGGACAAGGTAATTGATATTGTACAGACACCCTCTAGGTTTTGTTATGGTGCGTGTAGGCTCTGACCATTCCTTCGGTTTTGCAGCAGTGTTTGCAATGCTTCCGCATGGAAAATCACGTTCTTTGCATACCTGCTACGGATTGCGACTAGATTTTTTCATATCCCAGACGACTCTTTCCTGCAGGGATTCGGATCAACGAACGTGCACTCAAAAAATGCTTCTGCATGGGAAAGTGAAGTGCGAAACTACGTACAATTGCAACCTCGAGAGGCTTTGGACGATATCGTTGCGCGCAAAGTGCTAGCTGAGACTGACGAAGACACCCAGCAGGACAAAAAGCCAGTAGAAGGCGCGGCGGACCGATCAGATACAGGAGTCGAGCTCGCGAGGAATGGTGAAGACACGGCAGAACAACTCGCTGATGCAACAGCGAAGCGACTGCACGATGCAGTGTACCAGAATTATATGAAGAAGATTCTGAAGATGTCCCCCAACAACGACTTCAACCGCGACAAAGCTAGTAGAACCAGGTCTAGTAGCAGCACAGAAGCGCAGAATCTAGATGCGCCTTCTTCCTCGACAAGCACTTCTGATGGATCAACACACACCCGCACGTTGAAGATGACAGTAAGAAAAGAGCACAAGAAACATCGAAATCATGGGTCTCACGGGCCCCGGAGCACCCACGACAAGCATGATAGGCAGCACCGCGCGAGAGATGCACGAAAACACGAAGCGGCGACCCACCACGGAGAGGACGTGGAATTGAAGCCACCAATGCAGGAAGACTACGCACTCGCAAGTAAGTGGCTTCGTTAGTATTTTCTACGAAGGATGATGAAAAATGTACAGATGCTTGTTTACTAACGAAGGATTGCACAAGTAAGTAGATGCGCCACACTATCGCCTCGAAGGAGCATGCTCTACATGATCTTCAGTCTGTGCAAAGATTGAATGGAATGATAGTATCCTGCACGCATACTAGTCTTTGCATGTTCATCAGTTGTTTTTTTTCCTGGATAATCACCTTGATTTTCTATCCAACTCGCTCGATACAACAACTCAAACTCATGGCAATTTTTTCCCAAAACTTTTTCCCTAAGATGAACTGATCATGGCAACATGAATCCATGTTGGCTTTATTAAGAAGTAGCTACTTCTTACGCAGCGGCTCGATATGAATTCACCACCCGATCGTTCGTTCTTCTTGAGAACCAGTGAAATCGATGCTGTTTAGAAGAAGTAGAGGTGTCGGTGGCACGATTTCTTGTGATTTATAACCGGGCTTCACTAGCCAGAGTCCTGATTTATAATCGGGCACACACGCGGTGTAGACATCGGTGATAGCGAAATTAATTTTCGGGGACTTGGGTATCTATTGTAATCTTCTGTGGAGGGATGTTGGAGCAATCTGTGGAGGGATGTTAGCTCCTTTTGGCGCTTAATATGGAGTGACTCGCGAGACTGCAGATACTGAAGAATTTTAATTTTTACAACAACACCAGAAAGACGCTAGTAATTCCCGAGTAGTACCTGTGATCTTGTAAGGCTATAACTGTTTGACATACTTCCTTGCAACTACATGCATGTTGGTTAATTTCACATGAATGATTGCAGGCGAGAGAGCCTATCCACCATGCACAGTCGAATTACATCATGTTTCCAACTCGTTAGCGCTGGCGTGACTAGGCTGAATGGTCGTGCTCTTGGAGCAGTTCCCCCTTTTCCTTCAATCTTTCCGGTGCACCTATGTCTAGGAACCCATGCCACTTGCTCCGCTAGGTGATTCGACTCCTGCGAGCATCCACCGTCAGATCTTGCTGGCAGCATCACCATTGCCAGATGGGTACTAAGATGACTTTTCCAGTGCTTGCGCAACTGATTTTTTGTTTCTACTTGCTTGACATCGTGTGACAGCCAGCGTTGGTGATCCTAAGACGACGCAGATCGTGGGATCTCGACACTGCTGTCTCCTCAACGGTCTCGACACTGCAATTTCCTCAACACCGTCACCGCGTTGCGTCCCAGCCTGACTTGTGTCGTACGTGAGTCGGACACCCTTTGCACATCAGAACCAATTTAGATCTACTGCGGCAGTTGTACTGGATCTTGAAGATGAAAAAGGACCGCACTAGTAGTTATTCGTCCATGTTGTAGGATTTCTTCCTTCAGACACTCACCGTCTTATTAAATTTAAGTTTATATGCGATTTGACTCGATTTTTCAGTGAGTTACCCATGAATCCTGCTTTATCAAAGAATATGATTATTAACTACGATGATCATGATCGTAGAAGGCTGTAATAAATCTCCAACTGGATGTGTGTGTGTGTACTTGTGGTGTTCGTCGTGCTTGTAAGATGATAAATGAATATAAATATGTCTCGAACGATGAGAGACAATTCGGCTTCGGGCGGCTGTGGCTGTTTGTATGGGTTGTATGACCATGAACTTTTATGGTTGCTAATAGTATGTTGCGGAACAAGAGTGTACTAGGTACGAAATACATTCATATCTTTGTAGGCTGGGTTCAGGCATCTGAAGGCTTGGCTCTCTTCATGCAAGGGGTAAAGACTTTGATAGTAGATTAATTCGTCATATTATTTATATATATGGATATTTATGCTGACCCACGTAGTCTTTTGAATCAAGGACGCCTTAGCGTGAAGAGACGCAGAGTGATTGATGACTAAATGTGCTTGGAGGATAGTTCATGCCTCTGAATTACATCAAGAACGCACTCCCGTTTTGTCACTGCCTGATGTACTTCTCCACCTCGCCCAGATACTAGTAACTGTGCTTGTGCTTCTCTACCTCCTCGACTATTTCTTCTTCTCCTCGTCTGCATTTACTGTTCGGTCTTTTTCTGCTTCTCAAACTCGTCGAGGAAGAGTTTGTCATCGGCCGCAGCTGAGCCCATGCCTCCCATCCCGTTGATAGCTTCCATAAGGGATGACGGCATCTCCGCACTACCCATCGAGAGCATTGACTCCTGCGAGTCGCCTATTAGAAGTAGAGCCAACTGATTTTCAGTACATGAAATGGAAACAGAACACACAAGGCAAATACAGTTTTTCTACATTTATTTGCTTGTTTTCGTTGCTATAAATTATCAATCCAGTGGTGTGTATGTCGCAATCTAAATCTAATCGTTGCATATGCATTCCTTGCCGAAACGGGTACTTAACTCAAAACTAGCGAAACAATAACACCATCAAGCTAAGTGCATACGCCACCGGCTTTTTAGATTGGGATTTGGGAAAATACAGGTTCTGGTATTATTACAATGGTCGGCCATAGCAAGTTGGCAGTCTGTCGACCGTCCCCAGTCCTGGTTTTGGATACGGCCCATGATGAGGATGTAGTCAAAGTATGAAAATGATCATGTGAATCGAAAATATTTATTTTCTCGAAGTCAGTTGTACTTGTAGAGAAATTTTAAATGTCAAGGTTGGTAGATATCCATCGAGATAGATTGCGTGAACTATACAAATTACGAATTCGACCTTTACCCGTCGCCCGCATCCTCGGCCACCGCCTCGCGGCCCTGATGAGGTAGTGAGTTCGATGAACAGTAAAAATCTCTGACAGAACTTTATCCTTTATTTTTTTCTGTTTTCCGTGGTCGAATATCTTTGCGATCAACCTCATTTATTCATCTTCTCATACTAGCCCCAAAAACTATTTGAGAAACATTGACTCGGTGGAATCAGCACGATTCTCGACGAAAGACGGAATTCTTGCTTCGTACTTCTACTTGGTAGTTCGGTTTAACATCAACGAGAGGTAGTTATAGTACGTCTCCTCCAAGCAGACCGAAAATGCCCGTTGAGCCTGTACTGGCTCTGTCTTCCACTTTTTCTTCCTCTTCTTCCTCAATAATTAGCTCGCCGTCTGGCCTGGAGATGAGAGTAATGTGATTTGCAATTACCGAAATCGTGCAGTGCGGCCCATTCACATCACTTTCCGTTTACTTGTAGAAACGCAGCTACATGATCCAGCAGATAAAATACTCGTCAAGAACGTCACAAACTTGTAGTTCGTTGTCACTACAAGAACCCTTCTGACTTCCAACTACAAAGATGAGCTAGCTAGTACGAATAGGCTTTGAAGCAGAAAGACCACTGCAAAAATTTAAATTCATGTGTGAAATCTAACCTACTAAGTAAGACTGTATGAAGTACCCGACTTTCGGAAGATAGGCTTGGAGTTCTTCGACTTGTTTCAGAACGGCACTCAGTGCCTCCTCAACTGCTTCCATGAAAGAAGGTGGGATTTCATGTCTGAAAGACGAGGGTGGGGGGCGACTTCATCGTGGATATTAACCCAATCAAAATGTTGAGGTTCGTTCTTAAGGATTGATCATGTTGCAAGTGAGAATTGATACTACAGATGTTGCAAGTGAGATTGATGTTGCAAGTGAGTTGGATTCAATTGATATTACAGAGTAAGAATTCGATAGGAGAAGATGATCGTGGTACAACCGCGGTGTACGTGTATCGTGGCACTATATTCTTGGTCTAGTAGCCATACTTATATTTGTACGTGTATCATCTATTTCCGTTGTCCCCCCGCTTCTACTTTTGAAAGCAAGCACGTAAAAAAGAAGAACTGCTCAAGGGGGAGATACTCAGAAAACAACTAGAAGAAAACAAGAAGGAATTGATCCGTACCGCGATATAATCAATGGACACTTTTCTTCATGTGCTTTGGACATAAGCTTGCTAAGCTTTGTCGGTTTCTCCGAGTTGGCTCCTTCATCCATTTCCGCGTTGTAAGCGTTTGATAAATCGATACACGCGCCATGCAGATGGAAATACTTCACTCGCATATCCTTGTGCTTTGCTCGTAAATTCACCAGCGCCTGCGGTCTGAAGTTACGGTACAACAAGGACAGTCGGAGAGTCACATAAAAGATAGAAGTGCTTGTATTGGTTTGAAGTGTAGGTGTACTTTCTTAGATCGAAGTAAGTTCAAGTAAATTTCGTACATGGATGATCGCTCGTCGAGTTATTGGAGTTTGAACATGCAAAAAAAAGATGTTGTAGTACTAGTAACAGTAAGAGAAAAGAAATAAATACGGGCTGCCGTGAACGTATACGAACCAGTAAAGAAGGAGGCCACCGCTCATGCAAAAAGCCAGTAAACTTAGGAAGAAGATAGTCCATCGCAGTATCTTCGCGCACGAAAATTTTTTTGCTTTCGACAGCGCTAGACTTGCAATTAGAAGCATCATGTTTCTGGTCTTAGCTTTTTACCTTGTTAGTTATGCCTTTCATTCCTTCCTAATTATAAGAGTGAGAGGCAACACTAACGGCAAGGAGAACACCTAAAGCCCGTTACCCTTAATGTTCGTGTCGCTAAATCCATATCCAGGAAACTCTCCTCCCCGCTCTGCTTACTGCTATTGCCGTACGACCCTTCTCGACTAGGCCATATTAGAATTGAATGACTAGTCGATGCGTCTTGACTGAGGAGATTATGTTTTTTTTTTCCACAGGACTAGCGGCTTCCTCCCTGTTAATCAATTAAACACTGAACTATCCGAGCGAATGAATGCCGCTTACAGAAGCATTAATTAAGTTATATGTCGCTCAGGCGTCAAAAGATACCTCCAGAACAGGTAAATGAATGAATGAGGTGCCACGAACACAGGATGAACAAAACTGGGCTCCTACTTTGTTGTATTTATCTATGCAGATGCAGTCCACATAAAGAGACTTTGTCTCATAATTTCTGTAGCATCGACACCGATACTCCGGTGACCCCCTCACCAATGTCGATCATATACGAAAGCTCCTCTTCAGTAAGAAGTCCTATTGATACTAGTCCGTTCCCCACGCCTGTCACGGTATCGGCCACCTCGTTCGCGAGTATTGTAGACCAGGAGACATCCACTTCGTGCTCGTGCTCACCAAAAAGCGCACTGTCGAACCCTCCGAGCGCAGCAAAAGCCTCATCGGGTTCAATATGAAATGAGCACCAGCGGACAAAGAAGAAAGAACTTAATTAATTTTGTTGTTGTTTCTAGATGATAGCTGCGGACATAACAATCTTCTATTCTTTCTCAACCTAACTAGATTAATTCACTCTTGGACCCTTCCTTGAATCAAAAAAAGCATAGAGATGCCTTCCTGACAAGACTTCCTTCCAACAGTTTGTTCAAGTGAACATCACATTTGATTGTGAGTAAAGTTCAATTCATAAGAGTAGAAATGATGATCGTGGTGGTCGTGCGTTCCTCTGCTGTCTGCGTGCTGTTCGTGTCGTTGATCTGAAGACGGAAGATTTGCTTCGTAGTCACTACTCACCATGCCAATCACAGCGACTATCCCAGCTGCCGCAAGCGTTAGCCGCTGCACAACCATGGTGTAGGAGACGCGCCGTCCGGTGACGCTGCACTAGGAGTACCGTGAAGTCACTTTTCCGTTCTTGTTCCTTTTATTTCAAATCGATCTGTTTCTGACCCAAGAAGGTCGTCGGAGTCATTTTCCTTCCCAAAGTTTGTTGATTTTTTTACGAGTGTAAGTAAGTGTGCCTCCTGGTGCGAAAACCGAGATTTTTTGTTGAGCATCCAACCTCGAGAAATTCTTGGAAGAGAGACACTGTGTCAGTGATACTTGCTCTTGTTGCTCTCAATCCAAAATAAGAGTCGTCCTTTAGGCATATCGAAGAAGGCTTCTTCTGTCTGCGCACCAACAAGCTCTGACCAAACTCATCATGCATTTATAACAAACGACTAAGTAACCTATGCATAAAGTTATAAGTAAACAGATTGAGCTAACCAGAGGAGCCAAAAAGGGCTAGAAGAGGGCGCACATGGGGAAATGCATGGACATGATAGTACAGAGAGCAATATATTAGGGTATGCACTGTGCGTAGGTAGTTTACTTTTCCCTCAGACACCGATACCGCCTAGTACACGACCTTAGTTAAGTACAAGGCGTTGACAAACAATAGAAAATGGCACCCCTTTCTAAAAACTCGTGACAAAAACCGATGCTTGAATGTGCCTTTAATACAAATGCAGACATTTCCTGAAACAGACAACCCCAGCAAAGACATCAGACAGACACCACCGATCGGGTAATCTCACACTCCGAGAGTCACAGACTCACAGGGGCTCCCGCCTCAGCCCTGCGCATTTAGCACCGGAGAATGCCTTTTCCAGACGACAAAGACAATCGAGATCATACACGAAAGCCAGACTATGAATAATCCATCGCATGTCGCAGAAGATCATGCAAAAAGCCTGTAAGAAACCGTGACCAATATGGTCACCAACACCATGTAGTACGCAAGCCGTGGTCATGATCTCCAGCGCGCCTCAATTCATTTCATACCCACAGTGCCACAGATGGGCTAAACCGTTAATTTCAGGTCGTATATTATAACGTGGCGTCGCTCCTCGTTGAAGCATTGTCTCCCGGTAATGAATTCTTGTTTTCTTCTGTCTGCTATCCATATTGTGTAGTTGCCTGTATTTCTGCCTGTACAAAGAGAATGAATTCACTACTTGGTCACAATGAACCATGAGATAGAAGTGACAATGTGGTCGCAACGAGAGACCGTCGAAGGCACTGAAAAGAAACGTGTGCAGCTGCTTTCTACAACGCAAGCATACAATTACTACAGTTAGTACAAGTCAGTGTGCACCTGCTGCTTAATATCAATTAGTGCCTGTTTTAAGTTGAGCAGAGCAACAAGGTGTCACCTCCTAGACTCAAGTGAGGTAATGCCCCACACACGTTCTGCGCAATTCACAACTACACTGCCACCTCCTCGGCATTGTTGATGCGCAATTTGTCTGTCTCATCGGCGAATTATGTTCACCGGAGTAAATAGGAACCACTAAATTTTTTTCTACTGAATTATGACCTAGATCCATCTCTTTGTATAACTTCTACTCTAGGAGACAGAATGCGATTAGTACGGATTTCTTTCGTGTAACAAACAGACGACACTCACACCTGTAGATCCTGCTGGTGTTAATGACTAATTCTTAATGATAAGGTGGACCGTGGAAGACCAAAGGCCAGATTGTCTTTTTCAAAAAAGTAACATCTTTCAGAGCCTAGAACTCAGAACAAGTTGTGCCAAGAAGGCAGCGAAGACCATACGAGTATAGCAAGCTATACAAGGAGAAACTTCATTTTTGTTTTAATCTTTTTCATGTTGTTCCCTAAGGATGGTGTTGAGTTTTATTGTCCTACAATGGTTGGAGATGAGGTGAGGTTTAAAAGAAAATTAGCTAGTTAAAATATTGTATCTCTAATACGCGTATTAGGGCTACTACTGCCCATGAGGTCCTTCTTCCTGGAAAGGAGGAAGGTGCTCACAGTAAGTTCTCCCAGGGATCTCATCCTTCTCATGGGTGCCAGCTCACAAGGATAGAGGAGAGAACTTACTTGTAGCCAAGAATAAGATAGCCTTAAGATGTTCCCAACGTAGTGCTGCCATCGTCATGTAGTTTAATCTAACATCAGCAGGCATGCAAGCAAGGAACAACATTTTGACAGGATGAAATAAGGATCTTGTTGGACGAAAGGGTAGAAAATGGGGCATGTACCTTGATGTTTATAGAGAGGGGGTCAATTAAGAATCATTTAAAAAAGAATGGAGTTCCAAGAGTACGAGTGAGAGACCGATGGATCAAAGATATGAGGACGAAACGAAGATCATTAAAATAGACGATAACAGAGAGACGAGACCGAACAGACAGACATCAAATTAAATCGAGTAAGCATAGACGAGACGAAGAGTATGAACAAAGGATCAAACGAAGATCGAGAAACAAAAAGCTGACCGTATTCGTACATATGATGCAAATTTTACGAGCTAGTATGTGGACATGAATCATTGAAATTGAAGATACGAACGTAGTTGTTGCTAAACGAGGTAGTATTTTTGTGCTCATGGGGATTGCTGTCACGTGTGGTATGAAGATGTGTGTTCTACTTATGCTGTGAAATCGTAATAGTTATTGTGAAATTGCTCGTAGTGATTTTGAATCATTCAATTTGGTCTAATTGTTGTACTCGTTGATTGTGCTTATAGGTTCTAGTGGTCTTAAGTTCGCGAATATTGATGTTGTTGCTTCTGAACGTGTTTGTCGGTCCTTGGAGGTGGTCTGTCAGACATGCGCAGTCATCTGTACTAGTAGCCAAGAATAAGCTACAGAAGTGTGGTCATATCGACTGCTCTTGTGTTCACTTCCTCGTTGATGAGTCCTATTTGCATCTATGCGCCTTTAGCCTTACGCTTCTTTACCTACCTAACCTTCTGCGGGGAGTTGCTCTGCGTCCTGCATGGGGACCTCACCTCCTGCTGGGACTTCTCCGACGTCGTCCGAGCCTTTGCTTTTTTTATCCTTCTTCTTCTTCTTTTTCTTTTCATCGCCTTCTTCGCCCTCCAATATGTTAGAGCTATCGGCGTCAATACTTCACATTGGGTTCGGATTGTTCTCTTTTTCTCATGATACAACAAGATGAATGCAAGAGACCAGATGAATCGCGACACTATCGAGTCGGCCATCCATGGAATTACTGCACATAAGTATTCTGGTATAATGCTTGTAAACTATTAAAGTACTAGATGAAAAAAAAATTTTTTTAGGATAGCATAGACCAGGTCACGGGATACTAGCATGACCTGACATGAATTATAATGTGTCGATGATCTTAACTGTCGCACCCTCGTCATCGTGCGCTGCCTTGTCCTTCTTCTTTTTCTTTTTTGCTGCACCTCCCCCTGGTGAGTATTAGACGAAGTACCTCTTCGTCCTCCTGAGTTGAAGCATAGATTCTGAGCAATCATTGATTCTGAGCAATCATAGATTCTGAGCAATCATAGATTCTGAGGAGGTCCAGATCCCTTCCGCTGTTTCTAGTGGTGACAATCTACTCATTCCAACGCGTATCTTCACAGTGCCACTGAGTGGGATACCAAAGTAAGACCTCACAACATGAGATGAAGACTAGGCTTAATCTTGGTCGTTGGCACCCTCAGCGTCTCCCGCATCCTCGACAGCCCCCAGCTCCCCAGCCTCCCCCACTGCCGGCATCGCGGCGTCTTCATTCACCACGTATCTTAGAAGAAGTACGGCGCTTGCCTGGGCTAACCAATCATTCATTCTCCACAAGCCTCAATAGTCAGATCATACATTGCAACAATTTTTACTCAATACTATCGCTTAACTCGGTTTGCCCCGTCGTTTCCATACCAGCTCCGACGGCCGCTGCACCACCATCCACAGGCTGGACGTCTGCACCCGACATGCGAGCCGCGGAGGCGCGGGTCACCTGTCCATCTTCGGGCAGCACCGCGGGCAGCACCTCTCCGTCCACGGGCGGCACCTCTCCATCTCCGGTCGCTCCCTTTTCATCCGCTGGCGGCACGACCTCTTCCTCGGGGGGCGGGACCGGCGGTTCCAGCTTGGCCGGCAACTCACCATCCTCAGTGACAAGGATGTCAGGATTTTCGTCGGCTAATGCGTTGTACAAACCCGCCATTTCTTGGAGATCCTTCCGCAAACGACGCATCTCGGTGGCCCTGAGATGAATAGAACATGAATTATAGCTATCGAGCAAAGAAACACAAGTAGATCGATGAACCCGATATTTCAAAAGCTATTGATTCAAAAACCATTGAAGTTGCTAACGTCGGGCGACCTTGTTACAACTACTGTGATTCCCACTACTTCAAAATAAGTCTAATACGTATGCATGAGCATATTTTCTATAATCTATAGCACTCTCGCAACAAAAGATTACACTTATAATATATATGCTCCAGGGCTCAGGGCGGGAGGCCCCCCCCGATCTAACTTTTTGAGGGGGAGGCCTCCCCGCCCCGGCCCCTCTTTTCGAGGGGCTGCCGGGCGGGAAGGCCTCAAAGCGCCAGTTCTGCTTCCTTCTGGCTTCTTGCGTGTACCCTACAGACCTGGCAAAGGTGGCAAAGGCTGGGCCCTCTTGTCGTGTCGCATGTACCCGACAGAGCTGGCAAAGGTGGCAAGGCTGGACCCCTCTGGCGTGTTGCATGTGCCCGACACTACAGACCTGGCAAAGGTGGCAAGGGTGGACCCCTCTGGCGCGTTGCATGTGCCCAACCCTACGCCAAGGGGGTGGGTCCCGCCTTGCCTCCTCTGCCAGCTCTGTCGGGCACACGCAACACGACAAGAGGGCCCAGCCTTTGCCAGGTCTGTAGGGTACACGCAAGAAGCGGGAAGGGGTCAGAAGTGGGCGCTTTGAGGCCTTCCCGCCCGGCAGCCCCTCGACAGACCTGGCAAAGGTGGCAAGGCTGGACCCCTCTGGCGTGGTCCACCCCAGATCCATCAACAGGGGGGGGGGCCTCCCTCCCTGGTAGATATATACAGAGATAAAAAATCTTATGGTTGTACTGAGGGTCCTTGTCTTTCAGCGTCCAATACAGCATGAGTCCGCCGCTCGTCATGATCGCGAGAATGCAGAAGGTCAGGATCAAACTCCGTGGTACCGTACCGCCCGAATGATCCAACTCCGGTTTCGTCATCACACCAGTCACCTGCGAGACCGTCGTCTGTAAGAACTCGAAGAATTAGAGCAGATTTCTTCACATCTACCTACTAACTTGAGCGCGCGACCATCAGCATCATCGACATGAGTGGCACAAAGAAATTATGATGAATTGAGTAGGAGTAAGTACTTCTACTTCATCAGCATCACCATAAATGTGTAAGTTACTTAGTACTTCAGCAGCAGCACCGTAAATGTGTAATTACTTCATCAACATCACCATAAATGTGTAAGTACTTCATCAACATCACCATAAATGTTTAAGTACTCCATCAAAATCTACATCAGTATCTGAGGACATGCATAGCATCGATTTAACATTTTCCAATCTTCTATTGATTTGAAATTGATCATAAGTGAAGGCAGAGGGCATCAGAGTCGTGTCTTTAGGACGAACCGCTTCATCCATATCTTCTTCTCCAGCCAGAAATTTCGAAAAAATCGATTGCTCTTCCTTCGGAGCATCTGCACCCCATAGCGAGTCCGCCAAGATGGTAAATGCCTCATCCGGTCGAAGATGAAGGACTAGCTTGAGGAGGGGAAGGGCACCTAATTGAGAGGGAACATCAAGGGGGTGCTTTTATATACCAGGAACTACAGGCACACGCAGCGCTACAAACAAGAGTTTGTGTGAAGATCGTAGAAGTTCAGATGCTATAGGTATTGATGACACAGAATAAATCGAGAAGATAGTAGAGCACACACAAGCTGGAATGCACAGTGTGCAACAAAGCGAGGTGAGAACGAATTGCGATACATGAAGATAGATAGAGACAAAGTGAATTCGAGAATGGTAGATAGATGAAGACATACTCTAAAAGTAGACAGAGTGAATTCGCTTGCAAAGGAAATGCATGAACATGCGCATGCACAAGGTAGTTCTCACAAAAAAAATAATAATCTTCAGCGACTTTTTAGCATAAGTGAATGTAGCCGACACCGCCGCCAAAGGCAGGGCACGCACCAAAATATGACCAACCATTTTCACCAAGACGCTACGTTGACTCTAGGTGGAAAAACGTCGTCTTCTGTAGAACCGCCTCTCCCCGTTCGCACACGAAATCGACTTCCACGACTTCCTCCACTCCCTCTGACTTGATGAGGAACCTTTTCCTTGATGATGCCCGACTTCGTTGCTGCACTCCCTCGCAGTTTCCTACAACTTCTCAGCCTCCCAGCGTGGTCCTACCACTTCTACTTGCAGTTCTACCACTTTGCGTAGTCCTACCACTTTTGCGAAGGAAGATTGATGTCGATCGCTTTGCTTGCAGCTGGAGCGAATCCATCGGATCCTTTCTTTCCAACTTGCCGGACAAGAGACCACGTCAACTTCCTAGTGATAAAAGCGACAAATTCAAATATTACACTTGTATTGATTCTGAGGATTTACGACCCTCCAAACGTCTACTGCGTTTTAAGAAACAAGCATTGATGGGATACGCGTCGAACTCATCAGGTAGACCTTAGACAAAAAAAAGAGTTTACTTCTCTAGAATAACAGATGACGTCAAAATAAGATGAAATAGGTCACGTCGTGCGCTAGCAATGTGATGAGTAAGAAAAACGAGACGCGATGTCTAGTTCACATAGGAGAAGCATGGCCGTGAAGTATAAATTCAGTAAATAATATATTAGTATTTATAGTGTTAGCAATATATTTAAGACCAAGGTTTCTCCTTAAGGGGGCCTCCTTAAGGAACTTCCTTAAGGAAATTGCATTCCTTAAAGAATTTCTATTATAGAAATCTATTATAAGGCTCCCTTGAGGGCCAAAAGTGACCCTTAAGGGAGCCCCTTAAGGGGACCCGTGCAATAAAGTTGGGCTAATATCAGACCATTCCTTAAGGGCCACCTCTTAAGGGGCTCCACTTGCTAGCTTAGCCGCGGCTAGCTAGCTCGCTGCTTAGCCATAGCTAGCTTACTAGCATAGCAATAGGATAGCTCGCCTGCTAGCTTAGCAGTAGCTAGCTAGCTTGCTAGGTTAGCCTGCTAGCTGCTTAGCCATGGCTAGCCTGCTCGCTACTTCGCCATAGCTAGGAAGCTTTCTAGCGGCTTGGTCATAGCTTTAGCTAGCAAAGTTAACCATAGCTGGAGCGCTAGCTGCTTGGCCATAGCTAGCTTGCTAGCTGCATAGCCATCGCAAGCCTGCTAGGTTGGCCATATTAGCCGGCAAGCGCGCCGGCTTGGCGCTAGCTTAGCCATTGCCAGCTTGCTAGCCTAGCCATGGCCACCCTGCTAGCTTAACCCGGCATCGCCAGCCCTAGCTGCATAGCCATCGCAAGCCTGCTAGGTTGGCCATATTAGCCAGCAAGCGCGCCGGCTTGGCGCTAGCTTAGCCATTGCCAGCTTGCTAGCCTATCCATGGCCACCCTGCTAGCTTCGCGCGGCATCGCTAGCCTGTTTCCCTAGTCATGACCAGCTTGCTACCTAGCAGCCTCGCCAAAGCTAACCTGCTAGCTTAGCCGTAGCCACTCCAGCCTGTCAGCTTCGCAATAGCTAGCCAGCTGGCTTAGCAATGGCCAGCGTCCACGCCGGTCCATTCTAAGCCAGCCGCGCGTCGCTAGCTTGATGACTTAATCTTAACGGCTTGCTTCGTTTGTCTTATCTGTCTAGTTGCTAAGTGCTAACCTATGCCCAGCGCAGCGGTCCCTTGCTTGATAGGCCCGCTCTCTGGGCATGTATTTATATGTATGAGAAAGTTCCTCCCACTCATGCAACATTGAGATTATTTTTATATATTTGTAACAAGTAGTTGATGTTGTAGACACCGACTCAGGATTGCAATTACTTGGTGGGAGGGATTGGGACGCAGGGGCGTGAGGTCTAGATTGATATCCAAAACTGGTAGCATCCAGCTTGATTGTTAAGGGTGTCTTAAACACAATGACGAACCGATCTTAAACATGCCGAACCTCAGAGAGATATGTTTCAAGTTTCAAGATTACGGATCTCGATCGCGTCAGGGATGCCGTGTGCACCGACGTCACGAGAGGTGAAATACGGATCTATTCGACGTCACATACCGAACCCAAATACCAAAGTCCCGAACCTACTAAACACCGAACTTGATACCGATTCTTGCTTTCACGCTCTGAATGTGGGAACTTTCGATGTAGCGTCTGTCCGTCTTGATGACAACCGAGGTTCTGAGACCGACGCCTGCTGCAAGTTGCGGCACCCTATCCGGCACTACTCTTTTCACAATTCTAACATGATCTCTTTCGATCGCACCATTTGAATAAAGGGCATCCCGCGAAAACCGGGCACCTCTCGCAGCGAATTAGCGAAATCACACTCGAACACTTCTAACCGCACGCTGCAGCTAGCTTCCCACAAAGGAGCGCGAGCATCTCCCTCAATGGAGAGTGTAACCACTCCTCTCCTTATCGAGGAAGCAACGCGCTGTCTATCTTATATCGACCAAGCATATGTAGAGAAAACTTTTAACTAAATACAGCCGGATATTCTCGTTACCGAAGAAGGGAGATCATTAGGTTTTCTTTGTCGGTTCAGATATTGTTATTGTTCGGGGGACTTGGACATTTATTACTGATAGATTAGTTAGAGACTTTCAGATATTTTTAAGAAGGACCCTTCATTCTGTGGTCAGGCAGTGGTGTAATGAGATGATTCGTCATCGACATGAAGTTGCTTACTCAAGAGAATACTTTTATGATGGTTCTTGATCGGTTGCATAATTGAAGAATGAATGTGATAGATGAACAGACTACCAAATGCAGATGATATCGATGGTATTTGTTAGGAACTCTGCTTTGATGTTGCAACTCGTGCAGCTCTCGCAGATTGTTCCGAGGTCTTTTTTATGTTGCAACTGGTGCAGCTCTCGCAGAAGATGGTGTGAACATTTGATGTAGACTGAACAAGTATGAAAAACCGTTTCCTCTTCTTCACGTTGAATCTCTGTCACACTCTCTAGTATTTTTTCTAGGTCGTAATAATTTGTAATTGATGTAGTGTGGGAATATAGTATCACTGGATATGCATGAGCCAAAATAGCGTCTATCCACGAAGAGGAGCACTTTCTCGGAAAAATTACTTATTATAAGGCGATAGTTAAAAAACATAACAAAAAAAAATATATATAATTAGTAACCTATAGTATAAGCCTACATTATTAAGCTATCTCACTAATCTATATTATTAACCTATATTATTAATCTAGGCTATTAATCTCCTCACTGATCACCGCCACAACACTCCCCGCATACCACGCCGGAGATTAGGCAGCTTCTCTCGCGAGGCTCTTGGCGATAGCCTCCGGCCCTTTCTCCTCACTCTAAAGCCCGATAGTCTCCAACCGTTTTCATTTCTTGTCGGAACTTACGCTGCGGCCCCGTGGCAGACTACCAGAAAAGAAGCCAGAAAAATGCCCGACGGGGGTAGGGGCGCAACCTTTGGACCGAAGGCCCTTGGACCAGAAACCTTCGGACCAGGCAGAAACCTTTGGACCAGAAACCTTTGGACCAGAACCCTTTGGACCAGAAACCTTTGGACCAGAAACCTTTGGACCAGAAACCTTTGGATCAGAAACCTCTGGACCAGAAACTTTTGGACCCGAAACCTCTGGACCAAACCTTTGGACCAGAAACCTTTGGACCAGAAACCTTTGGACCAGAAACCTTTGGACCAGAAACCTTCGGACCAGACCTGCAGACCCAAGACCTTCAGACCAGAGATCTTTGGACCATAGACCCCTGGATCAGAGATCTCTGGGCCCAAGACCTCCGGACCCCAGACCTCTGGGCCCAAGACCTCTGGGCCCAAGACCTTTGGACCGAAGACCTCTGACAAGAGACCACCCGCGACGACAGACATCATCTGACGAACGACCTCTGCCAGAAAAACTAACGCCAGACCTGTGGCGCAAGGCCCTCGACGAAAGCGAAGACCTTTGACGAAGGACGTCAGTCCGACGAACGAGGTCAGTCTGGCGAAAGACGTCAGTCCGACGAACAGAATGAATCTCACGAAAGACATCCGCAGCCCGAAGAGAGGCCCCGCCCCGCCTGTTCCGACGCAAGGCAGACGCCTGGCGAAGCAGTGCGCCGGTTTGGCAAGAGGCGCCACCTGGCTGGTCAGTGCATCAGCCTGACGAACGGCGCCGAGCTGAAGAAAGCCACCAACCTGACTAAAGGCGTGAGTCTTGGCCCAGCGAAAAACGTCGGCCAGGCGAAGCGCTTCACCTTCAGTCTGACGAAAGGCGTCAGCCCTGACGAGCGACTTCGCCCGGACGAAAAGCCTCAGCCTGGCCCAAGACGTCTGCCGAAGGACTCCGGCCTGCCCGACCAAAGCCGCCGGCCCAGCGCAGAGCGCTGGCCTGACGAAAGGCATCAGTCTGATGAAAGGCCTCGGCCTCTATCCTGGCGAAAGACGTCAGCCAGATGAGGGGCTCCAGCCTCAGCCCGGAGCCTCACGCCCCCGCCAAGTGCGCCCGCCTTTTTCTGACGAAGGACACCCGACGAAACAAAGAAGAAGCCCCGCCGGGTGTAAGCGCGTAGAGAGACCCAAGCAGCGCGGCCATGCGTTGCATTTTCTTGCTTGACCCGTCAAGGTCGCCCCTCGTTCTTGCCTGGCGCCGCCGTGAGGCGTTTGCGCGCGTTGCGGCTTGCGAATTCTTGCGCGTTTCTGGTGGCTCTCTTCTGGTTTTTTTGTTGGACTGCCGTGGGGAAGAATTTGCAAGACCCCCCGGCAATCCCATAAAAAAAACCGAAGGCAGCGCAATGTCCTGCCCATGGGTCGACGCATCTGCGTCGGGACTCGGCTCGTGTCGTGGTCAATTCGTAGAGTGCAACAGCCCACCCGCGGGCTGTCTCTGCTCTAGCGGCTGTAGCCCCTGGGGGGCAGGAAAGTGCTAAACTTGAAGCCAGGCGAAGCTCGTGGAGGCTAGTGTTTTCTGTTATCAAATGAGCGACGTTTTCTGTTAAATGCAGGCACTCACTGTCACGAAAGCTTGCTGTAGTTGTGAAGTTTGCAATGTCATCAGAATGGAGATACTTACAGACTGGTCTATCACTTCTGACCTCTAGGCAGGCATAACTTTGTTTTCAAGATATGAAGATAAATTTGGAAAATGCTACTAGCACCCGAACCTCATGAAAAGGCATCCTATAACCTTCTTTATTTTTCCACCCGCTTGCAGATTGTTCTTTCAGATGCAATTCCGACATTCTTGAGGGCTCTCGAAATCGACGATAAATCAGTGAGGAGGCCTTGGTTCCCCTAGTGGAAATCAGGAATCCTCCATGATGATGATCAACGAACTACCGAGTAGCACAACAAATCGTCCAAGTCCAAGAATGTGAACAAGTATTCCTGATTACGTCATAAACGAGTCACCGAAGCCTTGGACTGCAACCGCAACTTCGGGACCTTCAGGCATTACACTTATGAGACCATCGCCATCCTCGTCATTTGCTCCGTACTCGTTGCCCTCAGGTAGGCTTTCTAGTGCCGCTTTTGCTGCTGCTCCCTCTGCTGCCGCGATCTCCGCTGCCTCCGCTGCCGCTGCCTTCTCCGCCTCAAGTTGTGCTGCCGCCTCAGCCTCGGCTGCAGCTTGTGCTTGGGCTAGGGCTTCGGCTTCCGCTTGTGCCGCGGCCTCCGCTGCTGCTCGGTTCGTTTCCTCCTCTGCGATCCTCCTTTCCTCTTCTGCCTTCCTCGCTTCCTCCTCTGCGATTCTCGCGGCCTCTGCAGCTTGTCGCTCCCTCTCCTCCATTTCTTAGAGAATTTAGCTCCAGGTCGTCATTAGTTCCTGTTGTAGAGCCCTAAGCCTTACTAGAATGGAGGTTAGGTTAGGTTGTGGATTCTGCGCATTGAGCCCCCCGGGCTCCTAGCTCAACTCCAAGAATGATGGGCGACTTGGATAAAGTGAGCAGATCCACCGAGGCGGGGACTTGAGTAAAGTCGTTGCCAGTGACCGAGTGTGACCGATGTCCTTCTTCTGGGTCTTTCCACTCCTCTCTTCCTTATGGACCGAGCATTTCTTGTTTGACATTTTTCCACTTCCTTTTGCACTTTCGTTAGAACTGACGACCTGTTTGTTCACCCACTAACGCACCCCTGACACACGTCCACCGGCGCTATCCGCAGGGTCCGCTACGAGCCGCGCGACAACAGCCTTAAGGCCCCAGCAACGACTGGCACTGGCCTTAACTTGTTCATCAGCTTGATTGGACTGGCACTGGCCATAATACAGGAAGAAAATCAATCAAATACATAGTACTTATCTACTTTTACTAATTAAGCTCAAGGGACAAGCACAAGATCTATACTAGATTCTGAAGGGACAAGACCCCCTGGTACAGAGCTCTCATCTTTATCTCCCTTACATTACTTGATTCCCCTATTGGTTTTCTAGCGGGGTCTCTTCTCCGAAGATGTCAGTGACCACTTCCCCTGTTCTCTCAAGATGTCGGTGATCCCAATCTAGGTTGTGACCAAGTGTCGATGTCAGTGACCAAAATCTAAGTGCTGGTGACCAATGAAGTCTGAGCCTTAATCTTCAGCCTTCTGGCGCGCGATCTCCGCTGCGATTGCTGCGTCCTTTTCCTCCTTTCTCGTATACAACGTCTTGTATTTCCCCATGTAGTCCTCTAGCATCTCTTTCAACGCATTCAGTTCCGGTGTCCTATAAAAAAAGTAAGGTCGATTACATATATTCGAAGCAAAACATCATTCTCAGTGAAAGAAGAACATTAGAAGATTCAGATCTAAATCTTCAATATTAGATTTGAGGTAAAAATAATATTATCAATCATGATCTTCAGTCTAATAAATCAATGAGTCGTCGACATTGTCCATATTTTTGGTGGATCATGATCCTAAGTAGTACAATACACTGAGAGTAGTGCTGGATGGTCCACTTCAAAAACGTTCACAAGTGGTATTCAAGCACTCTTTTCCGCGTATGATCTCTACCTACGTACTGTGTATTCTTCTATCAAAAACTTAGGTTTTGGTATTCTTTTAAAACTAGAAGTAGTAGTACCTGTCCACAAAGCCTTTGGGAATTGTCGGCGGTATGACAAGGAAATACAATGCGACGGTTGTTCCCGCCAGCAAAAAGACGATAATACTCAGAACTGCCAGAATCCAACGAGCCACTTGCGTGCCCTTTGGCCCGAGCTTTTCCTTCTCCTCCCTTCATTAGAAGCCCCACCTAACAAACTACGTATACTTCTCAATGAATATGAACAAAACTAAAACAATGAAAAAATAAGTGGAAATGAATCAAATACGCACTTACAACCTCCTCCTGAACAAATCGAATCTGATAAAAAGAAACACATCCGTTATACACTCAAAAATCATTACATTTACAAGATAAACTTCATCAATGAATGTTGAGCATAAAGAAAAGTGTTCGGACTAACGCCCACGGCGCCGAGAAACGATGCTGCCAACACTTGCGTGAATTCGTCTGTGTCGACGTCGCTAGGCGCGAAGAGACCCGTTGCAATTGCACAACTTAGAGACAAACAAGATAGAAGGAGGCTGCTTGGATATTGTTCATGTGACAGTGTTCTGCGCATTTTTTTCACATAGTTATCATGTAGTGGTGCGTGCTCCGTGTTATAGTCCTCCTTTGACCGTTTTTGCCTACAGGGCACAGCACATTGTGTTTCCCGTTTTTGTCCGTCTTTTAGGACCTCCGCGGTCCACCTAGGTAAAGTTCTTTGAATCATCCATCACACGACAATTGATTTGTGGTGCTTCTGCCTATACAAAACTAGAGCCTGCAAACTGACTGTAATAAATTCACTAGGGTTACAAATAATAATAATGTTGATTACTTGGTAATCTGGAGAGAAACCACGCATAACATTAACCCCTCCTTCACGGACCAAGTGCCGCTACTCTGGTCCGCGTATCGAACGCCGGAACCACGCAGAGAGTTCGGGAGAATTTGGGGTCTACTCACATGTTCATCATCCATACCGCTTTCCGTGATGATGATTTTGCTCGATTGTTCCTTGGTTGCGAATGCGCACACAAATGTCGCCTGAGCTAGCACACCCAGACAAAGCTTCGCCATCTTTATCATCTTCCTATTCAGTAGTAAAGTTGTTTCCAACGCGTGGTGAGGTAGATCTTGATACTTGTTATAAACTTGACGTTGCGGTGGGGGAGTCAAGTATATCTTGTAGGTACAAAGCTTTCTCTGCGAGAGAATGTTGCTTCAATGACTCGAATTCGTAATAGGGTGCCTCGAATGCATGTACACTAAAGAAGTGTCGACTTTCTTTTTCGCTGTGTTAAGTCGCTATGAGCTATATGTATATACATGAGAGTCACACTAGAAACAGCTGCGAAAGAAGGAAACGGGGCGCAACGGCCTGCCGAGGTGATGCTCCTCATCGCAGTGGCGCGCGCGATGATCTTGGACCGAAGGGACAAGACCGAGAGCCCAACAGCCGCGCCGAAAGAAAGCCGAAATGCAGTTCCTCGCGGTGACTGCAAGAGAGAGACTTCGGCGCGGACAAAGACTACTGCCCAACACCCAAAACCCAAGAAAGGGCAGGGCGACGAACGGCTCGGGAGGATCCTGGGTGGGCCGAGGAAAACGCGCTCCGCCAGCACTCTCAAAAGAGAGCAAAGAAATCCAACCGACAAGCCAGCGGCCAGGTCGCGCGCTGTTTTCTCTATGCTTCTCCTGAATATAAAGCGCCCGCGCCTAATAGATGAGGCGCCGAAGCAGTAAAACATGAATCAGTCACAATCTACTTATCTAAGCCGTTCAGTTCAGGCCGCTAGTAATTCCCACATCGTCGTCCCGTGTTCCCTGGACAGTCTTGACAAGTGTCAGCACGCGGAGAATCTTAACAAGTTTCCCGAGGGGGGTCTTGACAGGTGTCACGCGGAGCGTCATGAGCCACGGGGAGCGCCATAACTGTCAACAGGAGAAATTTGACAAGTTAGTGTCGCGCGCCGCGTTTTGTTTGACAATTGTCCTAAACAGCGAGGAGGGGCGTGGCAAGTGCCAATCATACACTCAGCTTGGCGATCGTGTCCCAGAAAACCTTTCACAAGATGTTGCACGCAGGTTTTCTTGAACAAGATTGCCCAGCCTTGACAAGTGCCAGAAAAGGAGACGCGACAAACGCCACACGGACGAAAGCCGTGACAAGTGTCACGGCGAGGGCATTGGCAAGTGGCAGGGCGTAACAACTGCCATGAGGAGAGTCATGACAAGGGCCAAGGCCGGCGAGAATCTTGAAAAGTGTCAAGGGGAGCACCCTGACAAGTGCCAGGGTGGGGATCAGTCTCGGCAACTACTGTAACGGCAACGGCCTTGACAAGTGTCAAGGGGAGCACCCTGACAAGTCCCACGGGGAGACGCCTGGCAAGTAGCGCCAGGGCGAGGGCCTTGACAAGTGTCAAGAGAAGAGCCGAGAGTCCTGACAAGTGTCAAGAAAAGTTCCCGATCCCAACTTCGATCAAAATGCTGGCCACTAGTGCAGGAAAGTGAAATATTGGCCCGTCTGGCACAGCTACAACTAGTTTCAGATATACGGCTGCATAAAAGTAAGTAGAAAGATGGAGCGATCCACATGACCAACCTAACTGCAGATCATCCAGTAAAATTTCACTTACCTACTCAAAGGCTGTTAAGTAACCGTCAACCTCAGGATCTAGACGTGTGCCGATTAGGGGGGAGAGGAAGAGAGTGGAGTTGGGTGAAGGCTTTTTGCCTGGAACTTGATTCACTCCTTATACAACCACGCGTTGTCTGCTCTGACGACCGATTCTCGCTTAGCAACGGCAGTACAGAGACCACATATGGAGGACAAGGACAGACTCTTTTTCAAGGCCGAGTGCAAACTACAGGAGACCGATGGTAAGATGAACCACACAAGATACCGTTGCTGTGTCGGCCAAATCACCGATTCTACGAAATGAAAAACTCTCAACATCAGGGAAGCACTAGATCTCATTTCAGAACATGAGACTCTCTAAGGTGAAGCCTGGTGAGGGACTTCACACCTCGTACAGTATAGTTCACCTGCAACGTCGTCACATGGAGCTATGCCAATTCTTCAATTTCGAACCAACGTTTGCACGAACGTGGTAAATTGTTCTCCAATCGTACTTTTATCTTGGTTTCCTGGCGGTGGTCTGGTAAATTCTTGAAGTTAACATTATTGGAATTTCTACAGATCTGCCCTATAAAATGATTTTGTAAGCCACCTTGCGGGCATTCTTCATGCGCCAGCGGATTCACCGCTCTCTTTCTACCTGATACTACCTGTTCGAATGACATCATGTCAAGTTGTCAAGAATGAATACAACATTGATTATAGATACCTTTCAAATACGGAAATACAACTGGGATTTAGAATATCTATAATGAATTTGTACTTACATGGGAAATTAACTGGGTCTATGCTTAATCACTTCATTTAAAATTTGGACTTTGTTGCTGTACATGGGTATACACTTAGGGTCTAAAGTAGGCAGCTTGAGCACATTTTTTTATTCAGGAAAGGACGACTGAGTTATGATTTACATTGCGAATTATAACGTACAGCGACATGGATAACACGAACAAGAAATGACCATTGCCTTCATGCAGCGTAAGACGCTTTCATTTCTTCGAATAGAGGAAGATTGGGTATTTTCCCTCATCTACATGTCCTCAATGAATGCGGCGAACCACATGGTTATCCGATGTGAATGATGTGATTGCCACTCTATCGCGACTACGGTCGTCGACATATTTGCTACGAAATTCAATCTTCATGTTTTGGCTGCACACATCATCGTGCAGTATGTTGTCACATGCAATATATTTCTATGTTGTCTCCAACCACGAGTGGAAAACAAGTCAAGTTCAAGCGCAGGTAACAACATCTAATACAAATTTCATGTAAATATCTAAGCACAATGGTACAACTACAAAGTATCAGTAGCTAGAGTAGATACGTCCAACATCTCTTCTAATTAGACGACCTACTTACGTCAATAATGCCTGGCCTTCCCCTTCCGGTAGTTCGGGGATCTCTGCGTCTAAGTCCTCTTCGTACACTTCCTTCTGCTCCTCATCCTCAGAAGCGCTGCTTCCAGGCCCCCTTGCGCTTAAATGTGTTGACTGCGGTTGTTCATCGTCATCATAGAACCCCGACTCTTCAGCGCTGGTGTCCAATACCTGCAAAGACACGCTCTCTTAGACAAAAAACGCGACTTCTGAGGGTGACCGTGAAATCTTTGCCTAGTTGTAGAGTGGTATTAGGTGGTAAGGCACTGCTAAAAGTACTGCATCGACCTGCAGAGACAAACTGATACAGAAGTATATAACAAAAAGTCGCATTGCACCATGTTCAATACTTCTACGCGGGGGCTCTTATTGTTCCTCAAATGAAAAATTTTCTTTCCTCTCATAAAACTGCTGCGCAGGTTGATGCTGAGTCAATGCGGCGTTGGCTCTCTGCAGTTTGAGACATTCCTCGCGCAATCGCTCGTGCTCCTCTGCCAAACGCAACAGCCTCAAGTATTCCCGTCTCTCCAATTTCAAATCCGTTCCGATCACTGGGACGCGCCCACCACTGAAAATACGAAAGAATCAAACGATGGATGCAGCATCAAACACCTTCAAAGAAATAAATTAAGTACAAAAGGAATCGTCATCATCCATGGCTACTGTTGAAGTTCGTTGTAAACAGATAATTCTGATTGGCAAGAAAAAAATTGCAAGATCATTCCTGATGGAATACTAATCCACCTTGCAGCTCCCGGTGTATTTTGAACTCTGTCAAGGAGAGCGTAGCAAGACATGAGCAGCAGCAAGAGCAGGATAGTCATCAGAAAAATAGCAATCGCCCACTTGAGACCATTGCCCGTTTTTTCTTCCGCCGACTTTTTCGCTTTTCCTACGCCACCCCGAGGATACCCGTTCACCATCTTCGGATCGGAAACGATTCCTGTGCTTGTCTGTTTATATTAGAAATAGAACTAGAAGGCTGTATCAAACTGTCCTGATATCCAGTTTGTTCTCTTCAAAGTCAATCAATTCAATCAAAACTCGATTTTCTTAAAAGATTATAAAACCTACAACTGGCAACATCAAGTTTCTAGAGCTAGACGACCTAGAAAGAAGAAAAACCATTAGTCATAAATGAAAGAGTGCAAAGCGGTTCTGGCATCCCGGAACGTGACCAAACCGTATTCGACAAAAGTGCCGTCTAGATCGTAAGCCGGAAGAAGATCTAGCAATGCATTAACTCCACTCTGTGCCGCCTTGTGATGACAATGTTCAGGCTCAGGTTGAATCTGATCGGATTGACGGGCATGGATTGTAAAGTTGACGTCGATTGATACGACCAGGTAAGCAATTGTACAACTACTAAGTGCTATGAGAAGTAGTGTTCCTTCGCGTTCTAAATCTAAAGTTTCTCCACAACTACCATTCTACTGGCATATGAAGGAGCAAGGGTACAACAGTATGTATCTGTAAGGTCATCAAGAGTCTGGTAAAACGACTACGTACTTGCCCGTACGAGAATAGAGCAAAGTGAATGATTCAACGACGGACCTAAGATAGATAGAAAGTTGTAGCAAGCGAAAAACAGGAGAAATCATCAATAGTAGTACGTAGTCGTAGTAAACCCAATCTGGGGGTACAATCAATCGGCATGAAAAATTATCAGTACACCACATCCCGAGGCCGGCGGTAAGTCTGCTGTAGCCAATGTGCAGCACAGAGATGCAAACAGCATCGTCCGTCGGCCTATCTTTTTTACGCGACGCACCTCAACCCTTGTAGGGCCTGCGGAACAAGCACTTGGTGACGCCATACTGTTTGTCTTTTGGTTGATAGTTACTTCTTGAGCTGTTGGTGACATTCACACTGAATCGAAAATTCAATTCTTGAAAAGGACGGGCCTCGAATCGAGATTTCGGCACTGTAGAAGGACGTATCTATCGCTTGAGTTAGATACAATCTGAAAAAGTGTATTCATCGGCTTTCCTTGTCTAGTTCCAATCACGACCCTTGCTATTCATCGCTAATGAAAAGGAGGAAACAGAATTATATATGATGTGAGAAGAAAAGTGTGTTCCAATAAATATGGGAAGCCTACTACCAATTTATATTTTCGGTCGTTTATTATCAAGGTAAAGGATGTCACTACATTTTTACTTCATTTCACTTATCCAGATGATTGCAAAACATCGTCGTATCTATCTCCTTTCAATATCACATATTGAGTCGCGGGAGAGGCATTCTGAGGAAAATGGAGGGTGAGTTCTGAGAGGTAGAAGAACGTTCGCTAGTATCACAGGTGACAGACCGATGCCTTCACATTCACGCGCCGATGCATACAGAAAATCCTCCCACCGATTCCTTCACCGATGCGAACCAGGCCAAAACTGGTGCCTCGGTGGACTAAGCTCATCACAGATAAGGCAAAAGGGATCGAGTCGAAACTCAATTTCTTGCATTACGATCGAATGATGAACAAATTTCTGAGGCGCAGAAAATACTAATACCGATGAACTACGGAAGTTAATGAGTAGACAGGAGAAGTTGCACGAACGAACGCGAACCAAGCTCTAGAACCGTGACACAGAACACCACATGCATTTCGAGAGAACCCGGCCGATGCCCACGAGTGTGCCCTTGTTCGCGGCCATCCGCAACTGTAAAATTTGCTCATTTCCTTTGCTTGCACACTTCATCGATTACCATTAAGACAAGCTTCCAGTACTAGACGCGGACTCCAGGAATGTTGTTATCAAGAGCCTTATGGTAAGAGGATTCACAGTCAGCTTGTTGCTTGAGTTCTAGTAAGTACATTCTTTCAGGATGAACGAACTAGTCAAGGACGACGAGGTGGATGAATGAAGTAGTAGTACTAAACGAGGAAAGATTATACATAGGTCTCGCTGTTCACATCTGTTCTATCTAGTCATGTGTCTCGGATTATTATTATTTGTTATTATTATGTTCGCGCGCGACCCTACCGCCTCGCACACGTCGCGCTCGCGAGCGCCCCTGCCATCTGTCACTGAGGACGTTGACGTAAGGGCACTAGGGACCTTCCTGCCGGTCTGGTTGTCGGAGAGGCCCCAAACTAATAATTTTGATGTTAATTTCAGACTATACTAACTAAACGATCACCATATGACGAGTATGCGAATTTTTGACATCTGTGTTGGATACAAGTGTCGGAAACTTCTATATGTGCGAACTATGAATAAGATTGGACTACGCGATGCAAGGCTAATGCTAATAGAAAAATGGATGGCGCTAAATCACGAGAGCAGGACTGAACTTAGTTCCCTCTCAGTCTCCTTTGCGGACACAATGTGACAATAAAAACTGGCTGAGAAGTTACAATGTGTATGTGAAGATAGATAATATATGACATCTCAAATAAAGGTTACTCATTTCTTGCATTAAGGTTAGTAGGCAAACACTAAATAACCCTAAATAACATATCCAAACGAATACCATTTAGGATTTCTCTAACACTTAACAGGACTGACTTTTACATCAAGAGCTTCGATCGTCCAAAACTCCCCAAGTATGTACATGAGGACGAATGCAAAGCACAGTATGTGTACAATGAAACTGAAAGCGTGTGCGACTCCACTTCCTATGGAAGTTAGCCAAGTACTTCTTCGCTAAAAATTTCTACACGGGTAAGCAGATCATAACTGATGAGTGATCTATTTGTATTTCTATGCGAACTACTATACATATACTAGCTAGTACTCGGTACGTCCAGGAGTCATGATTACTGCTAGCAATCTGGCTGCTCTTCGGTTAAGACTGAATCGGAAGACCCGACTCGGCATGCTTGTGCAGCATGAGGCGCATTTGCGACCGAATGACGCGCATTCTTCGTTCGTTCGCTCTCCTCATCTCGTGATGCGCAAAGGCGGCCATCTCGTCCCCGATTAGGTCCTGCGCGTTCGCGTTCACGGATCGCCTATGCCCGTCGAATTCGATCAGACTTCCCGGTTGCGAAAATTTGTTCGGTTTTTTCTTCTTCCTTCCGTCAGACGGCTCATCTGCTGCTTCCTCCGCCTCTGCCGGTTTGGGAGGCACGGCTTGCATGTACCCATCCGGATACTCCTGGCACAGTTCTGTTACTGTATCTACGATGCCGGAGTCGGGGTACCAGCACCGGTTCCCTTGCTGTGCTTCGCGTGATTTCAGCAGTGCCTGCCATATGTCGCGCCACCCCGGGTCACGTACTGGCCATACTGGATTCAACGGAAACGAATAGCCTGAATTTTGTAGGCAAGGTGGATGTTGATGTTGTAAAAAAGGTAAAAGAAGCGAGAAACAAATAACCTGATTTTTGTAGGCAATAAATGCGCATGCAATCAGCATCAACGCGTCTCAAGTAGTCCTCCTAAACTAACGGCAAGACGAACCACGTGCATGTTGATGTTGTCAAGCTAACTCAGGAGTTCTCCTTACGTCGACGTCGGATATATCAATCTCTAGCGAGTACTAGAACGCAGAACTCGCTGTGTCTAATGATATCATAAAACTGGCATGCCACAAAACAGAAGGAAGTCGTCAGCTAGAAGCATCTTCAGGTGAGTAGTTGTAGTACCATCTTGGACTCTCTCCAAGAGAAATGCTCGGAGTTGTGGTTCACTCATCATCTGCCACGGTCGGTTTTCAAAGCCACCCTCGTTTCCGTTTTCCGGGAAAATAACCAGATATTCTTCGTCCAGCTCTTGCGGAAAGTAGAAATTAAAGCACTCCGCACCATGGCGGACCGCGCCGCAATCGGAGAGCTAAGAAAAATGCATCTTAAAATCACAAGGGAAAGGGTGTTAATGTTTGTTCAAATATTAAAAGGTGTGTTGGCTATGGCACAAATCTTACTGAAATGAAAGTCCAGGAGATGACGACGACGAGTTGAAACAAATTATAAACATTTGATCACCTCCTACGACATCGATGCTTACATTAGAGACACAAGCACAAAACATCAACTTCTCAATAGTAGAACAAAAAATACCGCCTCGACCGTTTTCGCAATAATCGCTACGCTTACAGGATCGCCGAAACCATAACTAGGAACCCTCGGTTTAAATCCCTTTTCGCATTCCCGACTGAGGATTCTGAGCCACTGACTTGTCCAAGACTTCGCTCGTTCAGCCTCGTTAGTTTTCGTTAACTCTAGAATCTCTGAGGTTTGCTTCAATGACCACCTAATGAGGTCAACCTGATCGGCGGGTAAAAGCTGGTACTCGAACGACGTGGTGGAGAGGGGGCGGGTGCCTGCTTCTACCGCCATCTTTGCATCCCGATCAGGACTGGTTGTCTCTCTGTCTCCCGCTGCCGGATTTGGTGTGTCTACTGCGGCACCATCGTCTGCTACCCGCTTCGGAGCGGGCGAAAACGAGGTCTTCACTCCGGGCGAACTAGCGCGCGGCGCGACTGGTGCCGGTCGTGTTTCTCCTACGACGCGCCGAGCAGTAACATCCACCTTGCTCCCAATCAGAAAAGTGTCAAAATCACTCACTACCGGCTTCACGAGGTTCTCCTGATAGGCCATGAGTAACCCCTTAGGGTTCATCGCGTCCGCAGTGTCGAACTGAAAGAGACAACACCTCGGTTTGCTTGCCCTGTTTGTATGCGGTTATAAATGCTTCATATAGATTATATATATAAATATTGTATTCAACGTATATATAAGCCCGGATACTTTCAGTGTAGTGCTGGCATGCAACCAAATTTGCTTCCCGCGTGTGCAAGCTGCAGTGGCCGCTACTAATGCATTACCAACAGAAAGTCAAGTATTCACTGATTTTGAGCATACTCACTTTCAGGAAAACCGAAAGTTAAGCTGCTAAAGTCAACTATATTGAGTAAATCATCTAAAACCAAGGGACATCTTCAGTAGCTAAGAGAAAAGTACGGATCGCGAGAAGCGTGGAGATTCATATCCATGAACGCTGGCTCGCTGACTCTTCCTGTTTCCCACTCAGGAATGGGCGAAATATCTCGCATCTCAATGTATGCATGCCTCAAGACTAGTTCGGGCATATCCAAACCACAGATGCCATCCTGCAGTCCCGCGTAATCATCTAGCATACGCAATTCCCGACCTCCAAGTGGTATCTTCTGTGCTATCTCCGGATCGTTCAGTACCTATGTATATGGTTACGAAAGATTGAGTGTGATTGAAGAAAGTTTGCAAAAAGTGGTAAACACTGTACGCGAGGTTCATGAAGAGAAATGGAAATCAAAACTCCAGCTGTAATGTATTACCCCCTGCAGAACTTCTTGAGCTTTTGTTCGTTCCACCGCAGAGCTATAGTAGACGAGCACTCTCGCGTTAGGAGGCGTGACTTCTACGTGCGCTTTGTGCGCATTATTTGATATCTGCAAAAACGGCACGAAACCGGAGAGGCGATTTCGCTTTGCACTTTTTCCTTTGATGTTCAGCCCTTTTCCTACACCTACGCGCCCAAGCATCTTCGCTATGCTGTCGCGAGACGTTGGACGGTAAACTACGAACCAGCAGGTCTTTTCGCCGACGGGCTCAACCTCTTTGGGTGCCTCTTTGGACGCTGCTGTCGAGAACGGCACCGCCACCGACACCTGCTCTGCTGCTGTTACGGAAGGCCCCGATGCATTCGCGGGAATGGCTGACGCAGTTGACAGAGGCATGGCTGCTGAGGACGCGACGGCGCCCACCGAGGAAGCGGCCCCGCCCTGCGATTCGAATTCTCCTGGTGGCACGCTATTCAACTCCACCTCTGTACTCTTCACTTCAAGACTCGCAGCACTGGTGGATCCAGGAGCTTTTGCCTGGGACAACTGCGCAGGATTCGAAACGCTATTGATGGCAGTTTTGCTATTTAATCGAGACCCCGCGGAAGCGGAACTACTGGAGGGGCCTGCTCCTACCAGTGGAAGCATGCCGCGTGGTCCGCGTGCGTCTCCTGCTGAGTAGAAGTCTGCTAGTTTCTTGCGTGGGTCTGTCAAAAAGTGCTGCTCCCTGAGCTTCGCGAGCGACCCTAAGCGGCGCTCAAAGTCCTCCCGGTCAAGTCTGAGCAAAAGCGTATTTTCCGTCACGCTCCGAATTGTGGTTGGCCGCACCGTATTCTCGATCAAGCTGTTCTCGCCGAAAACGTCTCCGACGTTGGTATACTGCTGCACGTCCACCGTTGCGCCGTCCTCTAGCCGCATGGCCGCCGCGCAGCCGCCCTGCTCCACGACGTACATGCAGTCCCCTTTCGCACCCTGCTCGATGCAGACCTCGTCCATGCCGTAGCTCTCGCGCTCTAGCGCCCCAGCGACCTCCGCTAATATCTCATCGTCAAAGGTCTCAAAGACCCCGCATTTTCGGAGCAGGTTCTCCTTCGTGTTACGATCGAGCATAACTTCTCTGAAGGCCTCGCGACTGAGCACGAAACACCGAGACCGGCTCATCGCCTTCACTCTGATTTGCCGTCGACTAGTAATCCCTTCTTGGTGCAGCAGCGCCCGCTCGCCAAAGAAGCCTCCGGCGCTTAGATTCAGCGTCTTCGTTACTACGGAACTTCGAGTTGGCAATTTTAGCCACGTACTGTCGCGCGGCGGCGCCGGCACCACTACCTCTACTTTCGAAAGGTCCGCATCTCCGGGCGTTGCGGTCCCTGGTGACCCAATTGGTACTCCATCAGGCAAAGAAGCTATGGTGCCGGCGGCTGTGCTGTCTCCGGTTATTGTTCCTTCTTGCTCCTGCGAGCGTTTCTTGTCTTCCTGCAGCATGGCGTTCACGTCCGCGTTAGTGAGGGCGGTCTCTTTCTCCTCTCCTGCTCCCTCGTCGAATACGGCCACTTCCGCGGCACTGCCATAGTCAATGAGGAACATTTCCACAGCATCCTCGAACTCGTCAAGCCCTCTATCGGGCTCACCAGAAGCCAGCTTATTCGCGGCTTTGCTGCCCTTCTTGGAGCCGTCCTTCACTATCCACTCCCCCTTCTGGTAGCTGCGGACCTCGAGGCGGCTCGATAACGCCCGTAGCTCATGCTGATGGAACGACGCGAACAGCGGCACCTGCTTCAACAATTCCAGCTTTCGGGCGGCATCTTCCGCACTACCGACATCATCATCGCCGGCCGACCTGTCTTTTCCCGGTGACCGCCCGCAGCAAAGCACCATAGTACAACGTCCTCTGACCAATCGAGCGAGCGCCAGACAAAAAAAATCTGCTCAATAGTAATTATCGTTAAAAACAAGTCATGGGTAAACGAGGAAAATGGAAAGTCTCCCTTGATGATGAAGATAGATAGGTACAAGTCTCAGTAAGAGAAAATGGGTGACAACATCAACAATTAGAGGAGAATAAAGCACTACGACGGAGCAAATCCAATCCAAAACAATGAAAGAAGATGGAATTAAAGTCTAGCTACAGTAAAGTCAAATTTTGGTCTACAGATTAGGTTCTACCAGCCTTGAGTGCCCCATCCATCCTTGGGGGACTTATCGAGGCAAAAGATAATGGAGTATCCATGGGCGGGATCAGTACTTTGGGTCACATAAAATTCAGAATTATAGGTAATACCAAGACCTGCTTCATGTTTTGATAAGGACGGACAGCATGATTATGGAGTCGGTTGATGTATTTCTATTAACAATCTTCCCCTAATCAAGTGGGCGCACCACTCTTCACATATCATGATCCCTCACGTTACAGAATTCTTTCTGATAGCTCACTCTTCACAACAGATAGGTCACGCATAGGTGCACAAGCTCACTCTACAGAAACGAAGAGCCTATACTGCAGACTTTTCTACTCCGTGCATTTCCAGCTTTAATTTGAATTTCCAGCAGATCCCTGCTCCTGCTCACTCGCTCAATGATAGACAGAAAGAGTCACACTAGCGACAGACAAAGTCGTGAAGTAGAAGTTTATTTTGTAAGCGACATTAGCGGAGTCACGTTACTCTAGAATTATCTATCAATTGGGAAATGATGATCTCAGTTGCACTCTCTGTGTTTCTTTGAATAGGAACTTGTTGAGATGAGAGAAACAAAGCATGCTGCTCTTCCTCTCAACATGCAAAGATCATGCTCGCTGATGTGACAGAACTAGTGAACATGAAATGATGAGGGACCAACAAGATTTTAATCGTGTTTGGCCACCAAGACGCAATCTATGTTTAGGTTTACTTGAAATCGAACCTTCGAGTTCAATACGCTGCTCTCAGTTACACAATATCAACCGGTTCTTGCTACATTTTTCACATATTTTCTTCAAACAAAATTTTCAATTTACACCGTGGCATTGGCATATTCATCAGTAAAAGAAGATAACTTATATTTGGGAATCAACGTCAATGGGTAGGCTGCTACTACTCATAGGGGAGCTGACGGAGAAGGTAGGTTACAAGGATAAGAAAAATGGCCCCACGACACGGGTATTAATCAAACGACTGTAATAAAACTCAGTTACCTAGTAATGTTCCATGACAAGAGCTTCAAGAAAGAAAGAGGGTACCTACTAGATGGAAACGTTAATAAAAGGCTTCACGCTTAACAACCACCGACTGCTAGAAAACCATAAAATTCAGAAGAAGAAACACCAGGGCAGGGGAAGAAAAGTCATATGTGCTAAGCCCTGCTGCTCCGAAGAGCCCTAAAAAACGAAAACAAAAGAGTAGGACTGGCGAGTGTCGCTCGAGCCAGCACGAAATATTCAGAGGAAAAGAGTTTCGTGGAAACCACGAGTACTTGAAGCCTACAACCGATCGTGTGAATGGGGTTTTGTGACTTAGGAGAGGCCGGCCCGCCAGAACTCAAGTAATGCAAGAGCACACGAAGCCTGGTTCAGCCTTATTTTTGCGATTGATTGCTGTTCCTTCACAAATTGCAAAGGATGTACTAAGGTATGACAGCATTTATCTATGATGTACAGGTACTGGTACAAACTAGGAAAAATAAGAAATTACAAGGAGAAGGATCGCTTACATAAGACGGATTCCGAACAAGGCAGCACCAGCAGCAGCGGCGGTAATGCGACATGAGGAACGACTACTTACTTCTCACAAATCGTCGTAATCCAATTGCTCCCGCAACTCTTCACTTGTGAACTTTCCGTTGCTGCCTGTCGCTTTGTCGAACGGACTGGGCTCGAAAGGCTGTGGAAGTGTAATATCATCAAGATTGATTGCGTTTGCGAGAAGTGGAGTCATCGTAAAATTTCAAACGTAGCACTTCTTCGAGGAGATGCGGCTCCCCGATAGAGTTAGAGGATAGGACATTGTACGTCAACACGTGAAATAATCGTCATAATTATATATGAACTTCTACAAAAATTACAGCTGTGTGTACTAAGATATAATTCAGTAGTACAACGATAGTGCTATTCGGTTTTGCGGGTCGATGATCGTGATCCCTCGTACCAGCCTGTTTCTTTCCTTGCAGTCCCTGCAGCGACCCGGGACCCGTAAGAGTGAGAGGAGGCTGTCCCGTCATGGGTGGAGACATTTCAGGAGGCGCGCCGAGATCAAAAGGGCCCTGCTGTCTCTGCATACCGGGGGCGGCAGGCGCGCCACCATGGTAGGATGGTGGATTCTGATGCAGCGGCATGCTAGACGGATGGGAAGACGCAAAAGAACCATGTTGTTGCGACGACGGCGGCAATGCACCGTGCGTGACAATCACATGCGATCCCGGTGTTCCATGATGATAGATTGTCTGGTGCTGACCCAGATGCGAAGGTGTCGTGTTACCCCGCTGCTGGTGCATCCACGTAGTTACGGGCGCGTGCTGGCTTCCAGGTGCCGACTGCACAATCACAACGCTGGGATTGCCCGGTGGAGGCGCAGAGTGATTGCTTGGTGGGAATGGAAACGTGCTCTTGTTGTGGTCTGCGCTGAAGGCGCCGAAAGATGTGGGCGCCGGCCGAAACCTGCCACTGTGGGTCTGCAATGGGGATGCGACATTCGCTCCTCCCCCGGGAGTTCCAGATGACTGATGAAATGGACCAGCTGGTGCTGCGGAAGCTGCTCCACTCGAAAACGGTCCTGCTGGTGGAATGGAACCCAGCATGTTTCGCGGGGTCCCACCAGGCGGTCCAATCAATCCTGCTGGTGCAACTGGAGCTCGTATTGCGTGCGCAGCTTGTCCAGGAAGATGACCCGCCATCGGTCCACCAGGTCCAGATGATCCCGGATTATATGCTACAACTGGCTGTCCGGGGCCACCCTGCACCAGATGACCTCGACTCATGGGTGTCACGCCACCGTGTTGACCAAGCGACAAGCCCATACTGCCTCCGTTGGAAGCCGACGAAAAACCACCTTGATGATGGCCCGGCGCTGGCACGATGGCAATGGGTGTTGTCCCGAAAGAACTTTGCGGGGACGCTGGCCCGCCGCCTGGTGGCCCAGTTTGCGCGTGATGTGGTGCCAAGTGAAGCTGCAACGGAAGCATAAGACCGTCTTTGTTAGAGTTTGTCGAGGAACTCGCGTCTTGCGGGGGAGGCGGTCCTCCTACCACAACAGCGCCACTCTTCGAGAGCTCCGAGGATGTAGACCCTGCCACTTCGCTGGACTGCTGTGTGTGTGCCATATCAGGCGACTCCCCGCCCTTAGTCCGCACTTCCGCTCCTCCTCTGCCGCCGCCAGTGGAACTTCCCGTTCCAGCGCGTTCGCGCGCACCACTCGGCATTATACCGTTATTTTCGCGTGCGGGAGAGAGTTGTATCTTGCTGCCTGGCGGCAAGCCGCCTTCCGCTGGAACCGCTGCAGACCGAGGAGAAGCCGCGGAAGATGTTCCAGTGTCTTTACTCGTTCGCGCTGTAGAGGGATCATAGAAGCGACTGCGCGGGTCTGGTACGCCTTGCGCCATCGTGCTGATGCCGGCGATCGGAGGAACACCCGCCACTCCTCCCGCTTTGCTCACCGCACCGCCAGCTGCCGCTGGAGGTTGCCCTGGAGAGCTCGCTGGACGTGGGAACACTTCTCCTGCTGCTCCACCTTGGTTTTCTTTGTTCCCCGCCAAAATTGGAGAGGCTCCCTTTGGCACTGCTACTCTCTCAAGCCCTTGGCCCCCAGCCGTTTGTGGACTTCCGTTAGGAGACGTGCGTGGCTGTTGTATGGAGTGATTTAGTTTTCATTTGATCCCTTGCACTGACAACAAGATAAATAAGCCTAGTAATATCCTATCTGCTACGCTACCATCATGAACCTCATGCGTAAGTAGATGGACAAGGAAGTTATTTCAAATTCCCGAAATTCAATTCACTACTAATACTGGATTGTTGGTCACCAACATTCCTCGCAATAGGCTAAGACAAAATACCGCAGCGGTTTGTTGCACTGCGTGCATCTGCGCTGCCGCTTCCAGGAGTTTTTTGGCTTCTTCGGCAGCTTTGGCTACATCGTCCTCCTTCACCGCTTCCAAAACAAGCAGCCTATCGGGCCGGTGGCGTGCGTTGAGAAAGTCGAAGTTGCGACAGGATGAGGTTGAGACTTGAACTGAGGGAGGTGGCGTCGCTGCGTCAACAAAAAATTCTGCACGAGCCAGCGCGGGGCCATACACGGACTCGTACGGGCCACCAAGCACGGACACGAAACAGCGATGCCGTTCAGCAAGGCTAAAAAGACTGCGCTCCTCCGCGGAGGTGTGCGGGAGCGCATGCTTGTGCCAGGGCAAAATCCGAAAGTGGACATGCTGTGGCGTGTACTGGTTCTTGTCGCTGTGGCACTCGAGTATTGTCCCTACATTCTCGGCTTGCAAGTGCAGACGCCAGAGAAGCGGATTTCCATCACGGCTAAAACACGATAAAAGAAGTATTGAAGGAAGAGCAGATCATGTATCGATAACTTCTAAGTAAGTAATATTCATAAGTCTCTGAGGTTCATCTCGTAGTTGGTTCGTGTGAGTTCCACAAGCAAAATGGTGAAATTTTTATTGTGTGACTACCAACTACAACTAGGTCAAGTATCCTACATAATCAATTTCACCTGTACGTATTCCTTCAGAAAAGAATCGAATTATAGTTCAGGAATATTAGAAGCAAGTACTCTATTGTCGATGCATTCGGATCGATGTCGCGGGATGGATTGCGTGATATGCGGCTTCCATCATCACAGGTGGCAAAGGGTCGCAATACTTTTCCTAGGGGAATATCGTTTGTGCCTGTGCGTTGGTCGCCGCCTGGCGCGGCTCCTCCGCCTCTGTTCCTTCGCCCTCCGCGTCGTCCCCCGCGACCTCGGCCACGACTACGACTGCGGCGCTTACTTCCAGGACCGGATCGCGGGAGTCCGCGAGACCTAGAATTATCCCTAGGTGACCTTCGTGGGCCACCGCGTCGGTGGTTGTCGAACCGTCCTCCTCGACCGCCTCGCGGCCGCCGCCCACCTCCTCCTCGTCGGCGGCTGTCGTGCCGACGACTGTCAGCATCGGATTCCTCGCTCTCCGCCGACATCTCGTAGTCACCCGAAGCCTTGCTTCTCAACCCCCTCTGTCCGTCGCCAGGCAACCCGCGATCCGTTGTTTGTGCGAGGCCACCGCTTGCAGAAGAGCCGTGGCCCGATACTAGTCCGTCGGGACCTTGCTCACGTGGCAACCCGTTCAACGCAGCCCCTGGCGCCAACATGCCTTGCTGCTGTTCTGCTCTGCTACGCGAGGCAGGCGTTAGCTCCAACGCACCTCCCTGGTGCACCAGCTCGTCTTGCACCTCTCTCCGAGACTTGAGTACAAGTCCACCACCTGGCTTCTCCTCTGGTGGCTGCCCGCCGAGCAATGCCGGATTGATGTAACGCCGCGGTTTTGCCCGCTGCCCATCTGTGGAGGCAGTTTTGCCCACTGTGTTACCTGCTCCGCCCCCGAAAGGTGCCGCTGAACTACTGCTCATACTATTCCCGAATTCATGCTGGTTCGCCTGCTTTCCAGATGATCCTCTTCTCACTTCATCCGCAGACAAGAGGCGAGCCCCCGTGCTTGGCCGTCGCCCCTGAGCGTAAAGGCTTGACCTTACAAGTTCACGCGTTGAAGAAAAGACGAGCGCCTCTTGGTACAGATTCTCCACTACAGAACCGTCCCGACATAACCAAGCCCCGTCTTTATGCCTCACAGACGGTAGGTACTGGTACAACACACTGAGCGCGATACCCAAATGCGAGCGCGGCACACCCTTCACCATCAGTTTTCGGTACTCCATATCAGTGCTTCCTATGAGAACGATCATATGCTGGTTGGGTTATTCTTCATGATCGACGTTGCAGTAAGATTACTAATCAAGTATAAAAACTCTTTCGCTTGCCCCTGATATCGAAAGAAAAGTAAAAAATTTGTCTGATGAAGTACTAAGTGTGAATCTCGTTTGAATTTCAAAATTCTCTTTCCCTTGGCTAATTCATTTTGTTGTAAACTTGTGGTATACCTTGAGCTATCCATGGGGCTGTGCCTCGCTTGCTCTGCCGGCTGACTGCTGTCCGTGCCGCTAGAACCTCAAATTCTTGGTCGTCGTTAACGAAATGACCAAGGCCCTGAATACAGCTCTTGATCTGGAGAGCGACGCCAGAAACAAAAAGTTGGACGTCATCCTGGGTGATCAGCGCAGCGGCCTCCGCGTCCGTTTCCTCAAGTCGCGCGCTAGTTGTACCAGCGTGACCTCGCACTGCGCGGCGTAAGTCCGTTTCTAAAACAAACACCGTCTCGGAACAGACATCCTCCTCTTGGCAGTTGATGCCAGCTTGATTACCATCTGATCGTCGTTTTCTCTCCTCCTGCGCTGGGGGTTCTACTCCAGCTGGCTGGTCGTTCTGTGCTGCTGCACCTTCAGCAGGAGCTGCTTCTCCTGTCGCAACAGCTTCGCCCTCACGCTTGCGTAAGGACGTAGAATCGGTAGACTTGAGCTGATGAGAGACTGCTGGGCTCGTACTCCTAGTCATTTCCCCGTTGCGGGGCTGCGACTCCCTCCGGGGCAGCCCCTTGCGGCCATCCGAGCGATCACTCGCCGAGGTTCGCTGACTCCGCGAAGGCCTTCGAACTCTTTCTTCCACCGCTTCATCTGCTCCCGCGTCCTCATCACCCTCATCATGAGCCTCCTCATCACCTGATATTATTGGAAGGTCGTCGTCATGCAACTCCTGCTCTCCATCTTGTTCATCCACCACAACATCAACATGCTCCTCATCATCTTCATCGTGCTTCTCAGCGTCCTCCGAGGCTTGCTCTAACTTTCTGCGTTTTTTGTTTTTCTTTTCCTTAGCGTTTTTTTTACCTTCTTTCGCGCCTTTCTTACGCTTTTTGCTATGCACGCCGCTCTCTTTCGACGAGTCTGCTGGCTCTCGGGCTGCCTTATTTGTGTCCCGGCTCGCGGTAGTTGCTACCTGTTTTGATTGCGATGGTTTGGCTTGTGCCAGAGAATCTCTCATTCCTAAACTCAAGAACGCCGCACTACTTGTACTAGTTATGTCAATGAGCCGCGCTACTGTTCATAGTCTTGCTTCTTCCTTCGCGATATTAAATCAGATGTTCTACTGCCATGGCATGATTTAGATTTAGACTTAGATTTAGGGAGGTTCCCCTATGAGTCTCACATATAGACGTACACATACTTCATGCGGGAGAAAATCAATCAAAATTGTTAAGACCTTCTTTTTCTTCCTAGCTGCGGCATGGCGCGACCGTCCAGCGTCTTCGCTGGTGCTGCGGTTTCGGCCCATGATATGAAACGAGAGAGTTCACGAGGACATGCCCATTTTTCTGACAAATTAAACTACAAAGACTGATGTTTCGTCCAACATAGAAAATTGAATCTCATGAGGCATCCACTCAAGGAATGTCAATGCTAAATTATCAAGGTTATAAATATTTTCGACAAAATAAAACTTGCACTGTATGGATATTCGCTACAGGGGTACTCGCTAGAAAGAAAAACTCCTTATAATTAGACTCGATTCAAGATTGTTACTCAGAGCAACAAGACGAAGTCACTAGTTCTGTACTAGAAAGGTCAAACAAACTTGAATGATCGGAAAAAATTATGAGCGGGGTGGAAAAAAGGCAGACACAGTAATGACTAGGACTAAGAAAAAAGCCAATTCAGTACTTCCAGCGTGGCCATCTAATACTAACTTACTTGTTTGGGCCACTAAGAAAGCACCTCCAATGCGGCTACTGCCTTTTGCCGAAAGTGTCGCAACGATCTAAAAAAACACTTTCTCCTCCCCTGGTGTTGTTGATGTAATTCATTAGGTTATACGTCATTTTTTGCCAGAAAGCCGCGATTCTAACCGGGTCTCATCAAACATGCCCCATCATAGAATCTAGTTTTGCCTTTATCATGTCACTTCGTCTTTGTTCTTTATCAAAGTGAGGATGTATGTCGTTTCTTCCTCCTTGCACTAGCTCCAAGCTAGGACAGGCTCCATTTGCTTGTCTTAAATTCTCAGACTTTCATCCGTCTACGTACATTATCTCAAGTATAAAAAGCGTCAAGAATGGCCCCGCTGCAGCCTGATTACTTATATCAGCGTTCTACGCATGTGATCTCTAGTTGTTCACTCCAGCGCGCTGCGTGAAGCCATTGTGTCTGATCTTCGGTACGCTGAGGCTGCTTACGCCATCTCAACTGAGCTTTGGAAGATTGTTTAGAATTCCAGATCTCAATGGAGATCTTACGGATCTTGATTATGTGTATCTCCGTCAAAACCATATTCTTAATGTTCATTTACACGAGTTGCTTGCCTGCTCCAGCATCGTTCCTGGAAGCAACACCATCATCATTCAGGAGAGTTGTAAGATCGTGCGTCTATAGTGCGTATTGCTGTAGCGGTTGAATATAGTACACAAGATATTTATGAACAAGAGAATCAGTGGCTGATCTATGCGATCATCAATGTTTGCGCTAAAAAGAACATCACACAACGTCGTCGTCGCGAGCGACTTCATCCCGCGTCTTCTACGTTTTGATCCTATATCTAAACGAGACTCAGATCCTCTTCGCCAGTCGTCTTAACGAGACGCAGATCCTCTTCCGTTGCGTATCAAGCGAGATCGTCAGACAGGAGCCCGCTCTTACTCCGCCAACTAAATGGGAGCATCAGCGTCCGTGGTCGTGGGGTCGGCCTCATACTCAGCGGCGCTGAGCTTACGAGACCCGTCCTCTGCGCAGCTGCAATCCTAGACGATCTGTCTGCCAAGTGCCCTCTCCTCCCCACTACATAATGCACCTTTCCGTCGTCGCACCGGATGATCATACCACACCCCAAGAAGAAGCCAAAGGATGCAGCTCCCCCAAGAACACCTACTGGCAGTAACAAAACGTTGCGCTGGACGACGCTGATTTCGTTGTGGAAAAAGTAGATGTTATGTACTTTTCTTCTAGTCTGCGTACAAGCTAAGCATGTTATAAAGAAAAAAATGAAGGGAGAATACCCTGTGGGAAGTCCATCAGTACCTATAATACGCTCCTGTTAGAAATCCGAAGCATCCTCCTACTGCGGCGCCCATCCGCGCGCCCATTGATATTGCGTTTACGCAATGCCGCGCACGTGGAGGGAGCCCATTATAGAAACTTGTAAGATACGAGTCTGAAGCTGCTGCTGTTCGATATCGCCTTTGTCGTTCCAGATATGCCTGAAATTCAAATTGATGTTGTTTTCCATTCATCGAAAAGCTTCAAATATACTACGAAACTATGAACCAACTACCACGCGAATATGATATCGCAAAATGTAACTACGTCATCGTCTATGCCGTCGCTTTCGCGGATGCTACTCGTAAATTTTGAGAAATCAGTGTTGTCGTAGTCCCGATATTTCCCTGTACTAGAGGTTGTGCTGACGTCTGCTGGAGGTGGGGACGAAAACTTGCTCGCTGAATTCCCAGACGAAGAGACGCCAACCGCAGGAGGCTCAACAGAAGGAGCTGTCATCATTCTACGATGGGGACGCGAATTATGAAGTACTCAGGGTATATTCGATGAATCGAGTTCAATTTCGTACTTACTTCCTCAGTCATTCACGGAACGCAGTGACAGCATGTCCCATCTTTCTTGGCACTAAAAAATAATAAATAATAAGTTGTAACTGAAACTGTATAAAAACAACAACATATTTTCTAAAAGCAGTATAGCATTAGCTATGATTTTTCGTCCCTCTATGAAAGTATCTATATACTCTTATTCATATTAAGCAACACGTTGAAGAAAATTAGGAGACTCTAGCTTGCAGGTTCGTTCACAGAATAAATCAGACCGCGGCGTGATTTTCAAAACTCCAGAGATCGAAAGTGACCAACCGAACTTCCATCTCCCGTACATCTGCGATCCTGACCCTCGAGTGATATCCGCACAAGAGGCATTCACAAGGACTCGTATCAGCGTCCTTGCCGATAAGATCGAACATCTATTCAGATCTGTCGCTTCTACACTTTGGCTAATGTGATCGCTGAGTACGATCCAAGAACACGCAGCAATGAAAAGAAGTGGAGCTTTCTCTTTCCAACGAGAAAGACACATTCTCGTAAGAAAGTGAGAGTCATGATCTTCGTGACCTGATCGGGGTCGAAAGAACGTGAAAATCTTTCAGATAACAAGCGCCAATAGAGTTCAGTCTATCAAGCTCCACGAATTTTGCGTTCAATTGCGCTTCGCAATGTGGGACAAAAATCCTAATGAACATAAACATTCGTTATAACAGGAAAGGAATCAGCGATGTAACATTTCGTGGAAGATAAAGATATTTCTTTACGGTCGTCTGCGTCTCTTCATTTCTTAATTTTTCCAGCTAAAACCAACAAGTTGTATCAAGCCGCCAGAAGCAGGATACTGCACCTCGCACTGAAACGCGAAAAGTCGCGCTTCTGCTATTTTTCACTTAAGTATGCTCTTCCAGTTCCGCCGTGGCCGTGGCTACTTATCCTAATATGAATATCCGACAACTCTGCCTAGCGTAGACTAAATCCTCAATTTTGTCACTCGATTTCTGAATATGCCTGCGCTTCGGTCGCATATTCTTTGATCACAATATTTCAAGGCTAGCCGCTACAGTACTTCCATCATTTAGTTGTGGTATTGGTACACGAACCTCTATATAATGTCAACTCCCAAATCAATACCCACCTCCTGGTTGTTGTGAGGGACACCATAAAAATGAAGGTACAAATGATAAAATTAGATCATTTCAGAAGTTGTTCATGCGTAGTTGTTCTACAACATAGTAGTTTATGTTGATGTTGACAGGTCTATTTTCAGTTGTCAACATCCCGATCTTGCTTACACAATTTCCCTATAACATCGCCTCATCTACAGCGAAGCCGTTCAGTATCAAGACTATGCTCGTGCTCGTCTGCCAAAATATCACAGTTACGTTTCAGAAGGCTGCAAGAAGTCAGTATCCCACTCCCTTTCGGCCTGCAACCGCATCCACGCACCTGTAGAGGGCGCGGCATGCCTCCTCTGTTCAGCCGTCGAGGACCCCAGCACCGCTCCTCCTTGACCGCTCATCCAAATCCCATCCGCCCCAGGCCGCGCTTGGTGCTCCGGAGCGGCCCACCATGCTTGCTTCCTTAGAAACCCACTATATCACAATGTTTTTTTCTTTCGAGGAATCAATTAGCATGAAGATATTGCACAGGATTTACTCATATACTTTCAAGGGCTCAGGGCTGAAGGCTCCCCCGATCTAACTTTTTGAGGGGCGGGGCCTCCCGCCCCGGACCCTTTTGCTCGAGGGACTGCCGGACAAGAAGGCCTCCAAACGCCGACCTTCACGGCCTCTTGCCTGTACCCTAAAGAACCCAAACCCCTGAGGCCGTTCAAGCACCGACGGCCAGGGGTGGGAGGCTTCCGAAAGCGGCAAAGGTGACAAGGCTCGACCCCTTTGCCGTGTTGCATGTACCCTACAGGCCTCCCACGCCGTGTTGCGTGTACCCTACAGACCTCCCGTTTGCGGGCTCCTCACTCGGGGAGCTTCTTGGGAGGTGGAAGGCCTTTGAGGGCCGCAGGTGGCAAGGAGGGCTTGACCCCTTTCGCCGTGCTGCACGTATCCGACAGAACCCAGGCGGGCACGCCTTGCCCCCCCTCCTCCTCGCCTTTGGCTGTCAACCCCCCGGGCGCTTGGTGGCGGCTGACGCTGCCACCAATTGGGGGGATGAGCGCCAAAGGGGCCAGGCCTCGCGACCGTGGCCGCCTCTGGCGGCCTTCTTCCCCCGGAAGCCGTCGCCCTGATAGGGTCCACGAGTCGGCTCGCCTGTGGGGTACACGCGGAGAGCCGCCAGGGGGCCCGGCTCCCCCTTTTGAGGCCTTCGCCCCCGGGAGTCCTTACATGTCACCACCGCGGAAAACAGGGCGCGTGGACGCTACCACCGCTCCATCCACAGGGGGCGGCTCCCTCCCTGGTAAATATATGGTTCTTTTTAAGAGTCACCATTTATGTTTATCTTCATTCTGTAAGATAATGTAAAAATTCGATTATAGTGGAAAAACAACATAACTCTTCGTTAGCAAGCCTACCTCGTTCCTCCGACCTTGCTCCACCGCCGGCGTTCAGTTCTTCTTCAGCGAGATCTTCGGCACCTCTCAATTCGTCATCTTGAGAGAAGTCATCCTCTTCCGCGCCGAACTCTACAAGCGTCTGCACCACGCCGCGATTGTGTGCGCGCGTAGTCGCAAGAGCCAAAGCCGTTTCCCCCCGTGCGGTTCGCACGCGCGGATCAGCTTCTGCCTCGAGCAGAATGCGCACAATCACCTCACAACGAGTGCCCACGTTGCACGCTGCGTAATGAAGGGCGGTGCAGCCGTGCGTCCTATGCGCGTAATTCAGACTCACAATTTTTTCTGCATCCATGACATGATCAGCCACCGTCTCCACCGAGGTAAACCAGGTCGCACTTTTTGCACTTGTGCTTGTCCGGGCAGCAGAACTGCTGGCGCTACTCGCGGCGCTACCCGCTGTCTTCGTAGAGGATGAGCTTGGGTCTTGAGCGGCGGCCTCCATTTTTCCACGATTCGCCTGATCGTGAAGAAGTGCGCTCGAGAACATGTTGTCGAAGCCCTCTGCAGGAGGTAGGTCATTCAACTTTACAAGTGCGCGCACAATGCCGACATCCAACTTGAAACATGCAATATGAAGTGGGGTCATGCCGTCATTGCTCGGCTCGTTCAACAATTTCCGCAGGTACTCTCGTAGTCGCTGATGCCGCATGCGGGTCACAGCATCCACTTTCGCCTCCTTTTGAACCTTGTCTCCAGTCGTCTCAGTTGTTGTAGCTGACTCTTTCGGTTTCTGATTATTTCCTGTAGCTTTTATTGGTGAAGATGCATGGTCTGTTAATGTTTCTCTAGTACAACCGCCCGCCGACGTTTTCACGGAGAAAAATTTTGCAGCCTCCTCGAGCATCAGCGACAACATCGCGACATCACCACTGGAGCACACAAGATGAACCGGTGTCTCGGAATCCGTATTCGCGGCTTCCAACTGTCGACTTCCAAGCGGCGAAATAAGATGAGGCTCTCCATCATCCGACATTATAGAGTTTTCATGTGCGACCGCATTCAGCCGACGTTCGTACTCGCAAAGGCCGCGCACACAATGAGCATAACCAATGGCACAGTGCATGAGGCACGACCCGTTCCGGTCTGCTTTCTTCAAGAGCAACTCGTGCATCTTCTTCAGTCGGGCCATCAACCGAGAAATTTTTTCTTTCTCACCTTCTTCTTTCTCTCCATCGCTGACGCCCCTCGACACTGAGCGCGATGGTTGCGATCCTGCTTCCCCCCAGCCTCGCGGTGACGGCGATCCCCAATCCATGGCGGCGCCCCACAGTCCGAGTCCGCGGCGTTTACTCGAAGACACAACAGAACTCGACGTAGAGCTCTCTTTTCTTAGGCTCGGCGGCGCCTCCGGAAACCTAAATGCGGGGGGGCTGAGGCACTCGAGCTCTTTCTGGTCGCTGCATCCTCCGTGATCCATGATGAGTGAAGCCTTGTGCACCTTATGTGCCGCATCGAGCAGAGTCTCTACTGGTCGCCACAAACCCTCATGCAGTAGGCGTCCCAAGAAAGTACAGCCTGTTCGAATGTTATCCTCCTCCTCATCATGCTGGCCGTTATAGGCGTCGCCCGGATCCGAATCGTCAGCATCTTCGCCGTCCCGCGAATCTACCCGCTCACCAAACAAATCTGTCCATGCCAGGACCCCAAATTAGAACAAGAACGAGGAATACCAATAGTACGAGGAAGGCCTCCCGCAAACTGGAAAATGAGCACGATATTTTCCGCCTCACTTGTCTCGTTGTTTCTCCATCTGTGTTCTCAGAAAACTAATAAGTCAGTGAATCTACATCTGATGCAGCAGGCAATGAATTAGAATCCTACACTGTAAGTAAGTACCTCTAAAAAAACAATGCTTTGAACCGAAGAAGACCAAGATCTTTTTATCTCCTCAAACAAAAAAATTTATCATTAGAGCCAAAGCCTCGAAAAAATAATAAACAATTCTAATTCTTAGTTTTGAAACGTGCTCATCATAACCATTTTCGACGAGGAAAAGAAGAGCATCTACAACAAAGACACGCGTTTTTTGATGCCGAAGGACCCTGTCTACACCGTCTAGTGCCGGAAACTCTAGAAGCTCAGCTGCGACTGCACGAAGGTGATCCCAGCTTGCAAAGTTTACGCACACGCCACCAGGTCGGGAGAGGTCACACGACTGGTTTGCTCTTCCGCTTCCAGTCCCCATTCTCGGCGACGCTGCATATCGCTGTACGGAGCTTCCCTGGCTGGCCGCATTATTTCCTATCGATGAAGATTGTTCCTCCATTGAAAATATTTGGGCGACGTGTTCTGTCGCGGGCGCGCGTGATCGGTTCACGCCCCCAGCTGTCGGCACGACTCCGAGAAGCAGCAAGAGAGCCTGCAACCAATCTTCACATACAATGCGCCTTTCCCTCGGTCGGACACTTGGATGCCGCTTTCTGCTGAAACGGATAGAGAACGGGCGAGCGTCGACCATTATTCGCAGGCTTCGACACAACATGAATGCTGTACAGTCCAGCAATGCAGCGTCGTGGCTGAGAAAAACGCCACTCCCATCGAGCTCCTCAATCAAAGCACTCGATGAAGGTGCCCCGGAAACAACGCCCCTTTCGACGCTGCTCTCCTCTCCAAGAGGTCCACCAGGAGCTTCTGCTGTCTTAGCGCTCCCATCTTCCTCAAGGAGTAGCCCTCCTTCACGCGGCGAGTCAGCTGACGAGGGTGCGGTCGTCGATCCCTCTGCCAACAGTGAGAGGCACACAGCGGGAACGCCCATACGCAGTGCCAGGACTTCACGACAGAAATCCCGCGTCAAGTAGGGGGGTTCATCTCCTGGTGCTGCAAACGAGGGAAGAAGTTGTGCACTCCGCGCCGTGGACCACGCCTCGCGTGCGCGCTTGATCTCTCGAGAGAGATCGAGTTCATCGCTGGAGAGTCCTGCGTAGAAGGTCTTCGAAAGAAGCAACTGGAAGACGTCGTCCGGTTCTTGTGCGGGAGACCCATCCATTTTGTTGAAAGACCAACAAGAACAGCATCAAAATCTTGCTTGATATTGGAGATTGTGTAATTTTAATTTCTAGTTTTATGGCGTCGACGTTAATCGTGGGCGTTGAAAGCGGAAGCCCAAGCGCTCCAAGAATATATTGCAAGAAGGGATAGCCTAAAAGTAGAAAGAGGAAAACAAGCCGGCCGTTTATTTCAGTGCTTTGAGCGTCGCTGGACCTAAACCTTCGCCGTTTTACGGGCAAGAGCCAATCAAGATTTGCAACACAACCTCATACTATAAGCGCTCCAAGAATATATAACTTTGGCAGGTAATACAAGCACAAGTGCTATGAATGCGAACTTGCTCAATAAGAATGAAAAACACCCTCATCATATCCACCAACAGGATATCCATCTTAATCTGCAAGTGAGTATCCGGAAGCAGATTGATAAGTCCAGGAGCATAATTCATGAAAAAACCATTTAACGATTTTGATGACTACGGAGGTATGAAGTTACACATGATCCACATTCTCAAATAGAGGCTCCTGCGACAGAAGATCAAGATATCCGTCGACATTTCGGTGTGTGCAACGAACTAGACGAGATTTGAAGGCATCGCTTCATTTGACGTAAGAAGTCTCAAAGTGGAAGGAGGACAACCGTCCACATCTTATAGCGATTGATACATAGTACTCATGTTATAACGAAGAACATCAAGATACTTCGATTGATGCCGACATGTCGGTCAAATATCACACGACAAGACACAACAAATTCTGGGATTCCACTTCAAAGAAAAATCCTTTGTTTCTCAAACAATCTACGAAGGAAAGAGATCGAGCGAATCCAAAGACCATGTCGAGACGGCGCGAGTCTGTAAACCGGATTCTCAAAGTCGCTCGGGTCGTGGTCACTGCGTCTTTTTACGTTCATCTTTTACGAAGAAATGCATCATACATTGACTAACATTTCTCTTCCTGTACCAAACTCAATAACGAAAAGGCGTATGACAGGAAAATTCTCGATCAGTCTCTGGAAAAAATTTTGATCTCTGGGAGGGTCCCGCACCTTATCGAGGAAGCCGATCCAGTCATCGACATTCGCTATGTGTCCCTTGAAAGTCTTTAGTTTTTTCGTCTGGCAAGCGCGCCGACTGCGTCAAGGAGCAGCAGCCACTTCGAAAAAACTCGGTCTGGCTCCTCTGTCCCGCCTGCAAAGCAGTCTAGCTCGACGACCGGGCTCCCCTCTTGGTAACCAACGAAAGTCTGACCCTGGCACTGGAACACCAGTTGGTCAAAGGTGGCCAGAAGTCTCGTCCCTCCCGACGGTTCTTTATCAGGCAGAGAGTACACCTCTAGCAGAGGATCTCCAGTACGAAGGAACACGTAACGAAAATCTCCCTCCTCCCGGAACGAAAGATAATGATCCTCCGCTTGACTCTGCTGAGAGGCCGTTTTTGTTAACACTGGCTCATTACGTACTATTGGTAGCGAGGCCACTCTTGAGGACACCCCATTCAAATGTCGGACCCAAAGAAGGCCCCCGGTGAGACTTGTATTTAAACGGTTCAACAAGATACGCAATCCGTTGGACGCATGAGCCTCTATCTCCCTTGTGCGTTTCACCGTTGACATCCCTTTACTGCTCAAGAATGGTCCATCAACGCCATCTGCGATTCGGTCCGTAGTCCCAAAAGTGACACAGTCACCACGACGAGACTCCTCGAGCCGAAGTTGCTCCCGGCGAATGAGTTTTTGGTTCTCTCGATTTAGCATCGAGATTTGCGGTCCGAGGTCGTAGTAACACTGCTCGATCACTCGAAGCCGACGCAGATCCTTCGCGCTCACTGTTTCTTCATCCCTCTTCAGTGCGTCAATATTTTTAGGCTTGTCCTGCGCATGGTGTACATGCTCCATCGAATGGTGTGCATGCTCCTTCGAATGGTGCGCATGCTCTGTTGCATGGCGTGCATGCTCCTTCGAATGGCGTGCATGCTCCGTCGGATGGTGTGAATGGTGCTTCTCATGCTGATGGTGCTTGTCTATGCTCCTCGCAGTCGCTGTCTCCTTCTTGTCATCACGTCCCGTCTCCTTTTGATCCGTGGCTGTTGTACTCCTTGCATGAGCTGTCTCACTTTCACCGCCGTGCCTTCGCTCCTCCGAAGTGGGCGCCGGCTTCTTCCCGGTTGCCGTAAGGGGCGCGGCGGTTGCTGTCGCACCAGTCGAAGACTTGGCATGGTGTTTATGCTCTCCAGAATGGTGTTTATGCTCTCCGGAATGGTGATGGAGCCTATGTACATGCGCATTCTTTGAAGAAACAACCTTTGCCTCAGCTGTATTCATATTTATCAGATTTTAAACCTGAGTTGGAACCGCGCAAGTCCGTGAAGTGTGGCTTTGACAAGACACTACTACTTTTTTCCCTCGAAGAGCGGCTTGCAGTCCTCATTATAGAAGCCTCAGAGGCCGTTAAGTGGGATAACTAGGTGTTGCGGCTACAAAAGAAAACCAAGGTCGCAAAGCCTGCCTTCTGAATGCGTATGATCCTTTTTTTCATCTTCATGGTCCTTTCGTATCTGCAGACATATTTTACTCGATACGTTCCTGAGATAGAACCTCCACCCTCTCGACGTCGTGTTCATCTTCTATATGTTGAACACACTTGGTTCTGATACTCAATCTCAGTAGTGACTGCAATATGAAGTTGAAAAAGCAACCAGGAAGGCTTCGAAATCATGTTGATGCACATGCTTTATGACACTACGGGACCCACGCTTTTTTAATAGCATTTCGCAGCGAAATCGCGGAATAAAAATCAGTCTGATATCGGTCGTCTCAAACTTGTTGTTCATGACAACTACAACTTATGGTGCATCATACTAACTTTGTCTATATCTATGTCCATCTGATGCCTACTTGTGTTTCTTATCGCATGATTCTTAGAATGATATTCCGCAAGCACTTGGTACAGGTTGACATGGATCAGGAGGTTGAGAGCTTGCAAGAAAAAATGTGCAACATATAATTATAGAGTCACTATGAGCGACCATTAAATGTTGAGTGTATCTAGCATGGAGTGGCGCAATTATTTTTCACTGCCGTGGATGTTCGAATTCCATGCATTTCTGTTTTTATCATCTAAGATCTACGTCTAACTAGACGAAACATCTACATCTATAGCTTGTAGAAAGTTACTTCGCTACATACTCCGCTACAAAGGAATCTCTTCTATTTCGTAGAACCGCACAGCGGTCTCGTTCGCCCAACTTGTTTGGACGAATTCAGACTTTCGCTCGACCAGCATCCGCACCCTGCCTTTCTTGGAAGTTTCGGCATCGCGGTTCGGCACAAAATGTTTGGGGAGGCGTTTCATCGAAATCAAAAATCGCAATCGCGGACATTCGTCGACCACTTTTTGATGTAACTGGTTCAGCACTTCTTCGGTGAGACAGGTAACGATATGAAAGCATGGGGGGGAGGAGGTTTGTACTACTAACATATTCAATTGATCTGCTCCTAGAAGTTGTACTACTAGTATTTTCTACCAAGAACTTTCAAAGTTTTCAAATCAGAAAATCAAAATTATTGAAAAAAGTAAAAGTGCCTAGTACAGAGAGAAAATTAAGATAAAGTGTCATCCTCCTGAGAATCGAATTCCGTAACTACAGACGAAAATGACCGTCGCGTCCGAGATATTCAAGCGGAACATGTCTCCCTGCAGCAGCTGGTACGACCCACCGAGGGCGGGCAGCGCATCTTCACCCACTCTCGAAGACTTCACTAACTCCTGTGACAGACCGATCGATCTGTTAAACCGCGACTCGCTCAGCTCAACGCCAGTAGCCCTGCCAACTGGATGATTGAAGTAAACCTGCATGATAAACTTCCCGAGACCACTACCCAAATCATAGAACACGTCTGCGCTGCTCAGACGGCTAGTAAGAAGGCGATTGGATAATGTCCTCTTGCGTTTGGTGGATGAAAACTCCTGTTCATCATCATCTACTCCTCCCACTGCGTTTGTATTTGTTGAGCTGACTTCTCTGGATCTAAGCTGCCGCTGTCTTTCCATCTGCTTTTCCAGTTGCAGCATTATAGTTGAAACGCCTCGATAAGTTACTTCACCGTAAGTCGGACTGCTGCCTTGCTTCTGCATCAGCTTCCGCTCTTCTCTCGAAATCGTGCCCACCGTCTTTGCGTATACCTCGTCCATCAGACGTGAAAGACGAGTCTGTGTAATGTGTTCGTGACTGACAAAAAACTTTTGTGTTCCTGCGTCAAATAAAGCACAAGTTCCATGGCTTGTAGCGGTATGTATGTATGACCATGAAAGGTGAAGGATCACAACACGAAACAAATGACACAGCTCATGTTCAACGAGTAATTGCAGACTCTTTATCAAGTGAAAATCTAAAAATCATCGGACATCCTCCACTATTACATCTCGTTCCTCCCATTCACTTCCGCCTTGCACCGCAGTGACGTTCAAGTTCGTACCCGTTATCATTCGTACTACTTGGTTGAAAACATTCGCAACTGCAGCTTTTCCGGTCTGTCCAAAGCGCTGGCCGAACTCGGTCGAAACCATACCGATGACGAGTCCAGCGAAGAAAGTGCTGTACTTATACCACCAAATATTTCCAACAGCATCTTTCGCCAATCTCTTTGCAGCAGTGCACTTCTGGTCGATTTCTTCGTCAGCTGGTTCAGTGCACTTCTGCTGAAGACTTTCACCCGCGGCTAGTCCTTGTCTGCCTTGGTCGGGTAGCTCTTTGTTTCCGTGGCCACAAGCTGGCATCGCGGAGCATCCCTGGACCTCTAGTTCCGCCTTCTTTATCGAGACATCCGCCTCCAGGTCTCCCTCAGGCTTGCTACAAGTTGTAGAAGCAGTTGGAGATGCTTCATTAGCAGCCGCTGCTCGCGTCTTCTTACGTGCCATGATGTTTGTCTGACCGAATATACACCTCCAGCAAAATTAGAACAAGCCACAGCTTTGTGTGCGCTCCTCACTCGTTCCACCCTAGTCTCTCGGCAGTAAATATGCTCTCAGAAAGGGCCTCTCAGAGCTGACGGGGTCAAATCTGTAGTGCTCCACGACAGACGCATGTTCGCCTCGCTCTTCCAAAAAAAATATTAAAGAGGGAGCCAAATAAAAAATCAACAACGTCCCCTCCAATCTCTCAACCACACACACCCGAACCAACAACACGCGACCCACGTAAAAAATTTTTCTGCTCTTTTTTCTTATCAACAAACGAGCAAACAAACACAACCCCCGAACCCCTGAACCCCGGAACATGGCACGGCATCCTTGTAGATAGAGGAACCCAGGAACATGGCATCCTTGTAGATAGCTTCCCCCTGGGCCAGTGAGTACTTGAAGAGAGCTTCCCTACCTTAGGAACTCTGGCCTTGAGGCTTCAAGTCTTCAGCTTGAAGCCTGCAACGCGCCACCCTGGCACTTAAATTTATTTTTTGGGCGATTAAACTAAAAATCTTACGATTTTGAAAGTTTTAAACTGAAACTTTAAGTCTTAGAGTACGAAAATAGCAAGGTTTTTGATTTTATCAAAGAAAAATCAATTTTAAAAAAATGGATGCAAAATCTTCAACTTTATTCAGAGTAGACGAATCTGGTAAAGGTTCGAAATCTAAAAAAGACCAGCAAACTCCCGGGCCTACCATTTCCAGGCGTGCCTTTTCAATGGCCGCACGCCGCCCCAAGCCCGACTCTTGTGCTGTTCCACCCATCAACTCCGCCAGACGGCTTCGCGCGGGGAAGGAGCCGGGGAAGCGGAGCTACGCAATGGCGGGGGAAGTGCGTGCAGAGGGTGGACGATTCTCGTGGGAGGAGTGGCACCAGGCGCTTCAGTCTAGTATCAATCAACACTCCACTCGGTCAAACCCATGCTCGCACGCTCGCTGCATTTACTTCGCCACGCGACATCAACCGAAGGTGCATGCTTCTCCGGAGAAGACCACACTCGTCTTGGTGTGGGTGTTGCTTCGCCTGCTGGCGTATGAAGACTTCTATTTCCAAACTCCAGCCGTCCGCTGTTTTTCGGGACGGCTTTCACACTATCTCTAGCACACGTGTAAGCAGCTTCTAGCACATTCATTGTGTCGTAGGAATCATCATGGCCTTAGATAGTGAATTAGAAAAAAAGCTCACACCAACTTAATATCCAGCTTGTAGTTCTTGGAACATACTCTGCTCACCAGAAGGGGAAGAACCCGAGCTACTTGAAACCATGTCGTGAATCAATGTGATGAAGAGAATGGATTGAGGTCAGTACAGCATGGTAGAATTGAAGACATGGAAGAACTCACTTCTGTTCGTCGTCGGCAAGCACAAGTAGTAGAAGTGACAGTGACCTTGTCAGTATATTATTTAACTAACTCCGCCAGTTCGCCTTTATGCTTCCTCTTTCTGTTAAGGCGTCGGTCATCATGCTTTCACGTCCTGCTGAGTGAGACGTCGAGACCTTCATGACATTTCGAAAGAAGTCACGCACGACAAGCAACTCTCTTATACTGTTATGATCTACGTCGCCCGGCTTGTGTCCAGCGCCTTTGGCGAGCTCGGCTGCCACCACTTCATCGTCCGCGCGATCCTCGATCGTCTGAATAATCTTCTCCGCGTGGGGCAGCATTTCCGTGGTGATGCGACGAAGTGTTTCCAAATACGCCTCAAGCTTGGCACTGCGCTGTCTCAGCTGCTGTCTCTGAATAGGGGTGTAGCGATCTTTCAGAATCTGAAGCTGTTCCTGCTTGACCTCGAGCGTCTGCCGCAACTCGTCCGCCCGCTCCCGCGCTGTGTCGCGCTCCTCCCGAGTGCGCAGAAATTCGGGGTCAGACAACAGAGATCGCATGTCCTCGCTGGACAACGACTGCGCCTCGGCTTGTGTAAGCGGTTTGCCCGTAACCGCCGATGTGCGGGGCTTTTGTGTGTCCAACGCCTGGCCAGGAACGAGATTCGCAGCTGACGGCCGAAGAACTCGTGGAGTCGTGGCCGTACTCGACGGTCTAGATACATGCAGATTCGGCGCGGCTTCGCTCTCTCTCGGTCTCGAGGGGACTCCGCTCGACAGTCTCGCGGAAACAGCCCTGGTACTGCAGATGTCTCGCTTTTCAGACCCAGCCTGCAACGTAACTCTCTGTGACTTTCCAGTCCGCTCTGCAGGGGTCGTGCTGTGGTCCTCAGTAGGCTCCGTTTGAGGTAACACCCAATCGCGTGTGCGCCCTCCCGGCGAGACGTTACCAGCTGGACGCGCCGTGACAACTTTCGCTTCACGAGCGTTCGTCTGTTTCAGGAGTCGCTTGAGGCCTTCCTGCTTGCGCGCCTGCCTCTCCTCAGCAGTCTCCTTGGGTTCGTCAGTCGGAATGTCGCCTGGTGACGTCGATCGCATTGTGGATTTCTTCGCCGTAGCTCTCTTCGGCGAAGCGCCCTTCTTCGCGTCTGGCGATGTCACAAATTTCTTAGGAGCACTCAACTCAGAGAGCCTCTGTGAGGTCGGAGCCGGTTGAACGACCGAAACCTGCCTTTTGCTGGAACGCGCTGACCCGGGACTCGCAGACTCACCCTCAGCCCTCAGATTCTTAGGCGCTGCACTGCCTTTCCTTCCATCCACCGCCACACCACTTACGCGCCCCGACTGCCTGCCACCACTTCTTTCCTGTAGTTTTAAGTGGCTAACATCTCCTCCATGCTCCTCTATAACCTCGATCGCGTGCGCGCATTCGGACCAGCCACCGTAACCAGCCTGCTGACAAGTAGCAACTAGTGCCTCCAAGTGGCCTCGCTCCGCAGCAGGGTCCTCCTGCTGCATCGTCGTCCGCACGATTTCCGCGCGCATATTTTGCAGCCATTGTCTACAACGAATGGCAAAAACGCCACGAATCCACCCTTGCAGTTTCACGATGGCCGCCTTTCCCTCCGGCGACGTGTACAGTGCCGAGCGCTCCGCTCGTAACGCCCGTTGCATCTGCTTCCCCAAGCCTGAATATCCTGCCTGCAGCGGCCCCGACAAGCCTTGCGCTACTGTGACTGAGGATGCCCTCGTTGTCGCGCCAGCGGTGCCCGCCGCATCAATATTCATTTTGTTGTCGTCTGGCTCGTCTTGGTTGTTGACGCCAACAGCTTCTTCCGCTTGCAGTAAAGCAGCCGCCGCGTCCGAGAGTGCCGTGAGATCGACCGGACGCCCGCCAACTAGAGGCTGCAGCACTCGCTTGCGACGCCACTGCAACAACGCTACGACGTCTGAGAGTCTGTGGCGCTGGATATCGCGCAGTACAATGCGCTTATCTAGCAGCCGACTCGCACAGCGACGGTTGCCGCGCACACAGAGCACAAAAAACGCGCCTCCACTTTCTAGTCGTTCTCTGGTCTCTACTGCGAAGTCTAATAGAGCCTGTTTCACTCCCATCCGCTGAGCTGCTGCGTCTCCGCCGTCGGTGCTGCTGACCTCCTTAGCGCTCGCCACAATGGCGTGTTTTGGCCACATATCATGTCCGACGCTGCCGAGCGCGCACAGATCTGCTGTGGCGAGACGAGCGCGAAAATCCGCGTCCACGGAGTAGTGCCTTAGGACACCGTCTGCGTGCAGGACCTCCAGCGGCTCCACATCGCGGTCTACTATTTCCTGTGTCACTTCTTCTTCCAACTGCTGCTTGCTCTTACGCAGTTCTGCGGCCGACAGCTGTGCATCGACTGGCATTTTGGAAGCGCGCGCGGAAGCCCTTCGCCGGGCCAGCGTCTGCTTGAGCAAGATCTCGTCAAGAAACGCTGTTGACGAAGACACCGCGTTGTCCGTCACTTCTTGTTGAGCCGCGATCCGGTTGGCGAGTTCCTCGCCCATATGATGGTGCGCGGTCGTACCCGCGCACGCCGCCACGCGGTATCGCCACACAATATCAGCTCGCAAATTCTGCAAAAGAACTGGCAATGACCCATGCCCACCCGTCGCATGATGCCGCCCCAGCGGGCCTTCTGACAGCACTAACTGTGCCCTCTGACCACTTTTTCCCTCTTTCCCGGTCTCTCCTGCAGCTTCACCTGCTTCCGCCTCCTTACTCACTGCAGCCAGTTCCGTGTTCACGCATTCGACGACGTACTCGACTGCAGAGCCATAAACACATTCGCACAAACGCCGCAATTTTTTGCACCACTGCTCCAGGACTGCGTCCTGTTTCTCCTCCGCACGTTTCTGTGCCTCTTCGCCCTCAGACTCTGACGGCTTCTCGGGATGCGTCAGCTCCTCCTCGAAGGCGGCCTGAGAAACTGCAGCCGCCGCTGGACGGACAGCATCCTCATAGCACTTATAAAGCATCTCCCACGCATGTGCATCTAGCGAATCATCTTCATCATGAACACGATCAATCAGTCCCGACAGCCACATGACGAAATCCAACTTCCGAAAAATCACGTCCTTGTCCACACGAAACTGCTCGAACAACGCCAGCGTTTGACTCAGCGCTACCTGTCAAAAGCACACTGATTTATGGTATTGATACAACATGACTGAAAAAACGTAGCTGTTTGTGCATGGTCAGTATTAATGAACATCTGTGATCGTGATGGTGATCGCAGCAGATAAGCTCGATTACATGAAATCTTCATCGACGAGTACCTTGTCTTCCTTAAGCGAGCGGAGATCGTCGCCACCGAGAACTTTTGGAAATTCACTGTACTCTGCGTCCACATACGGTCCACCGTGCTCGTGAAGGTACGCAAGGTACTGGTAGAAGATATCAAACGTGCGCTGATCCTTTTCGACATATGCCGTCCGTTTCAGCAGCTTCTCCTCTTCATCCTCCTCCTTGTCAACCTCTTTTTCTAAATGCACCAACTCATTCTCCATGGCTAGGTTGCGCACTGCGAAGCGCGCCCCCACAATTTTGCTGACGGATGCAGACGCTGCTAGCGCCGGAGCTCGAACCGGCGGTCCCGCAACATTCGGAGCTGCTGACCCCTCATTTGCGGAGCCTTCCGTCTGTTCCGTCGTTCCCCCCAGAGCTCTAGCAAGCTTTGCCGTGGACACGCTGTTGCTATGCAAGCTCTGCGCCTTTGCATCCTCGTCCGGCACTAAGCGGTACGTGAGCGACAATTCCACCTCAGCCTGCGTACTGCGCCAGCCGCCTTTCACAACTGTCTTTGATTCATCGGCAGATGTGAAATCTCTTGGGCTGTTTTTCAGGTGAAAGGGATCCACACGGCCCTCGATGTCGGCTTCCGCCTCCCCGGCGGTGCCTGCGGCAGCCGCTGGCGGAGGTGCTCTGCTATCTTTCAACACACTGATGAACGGCGAGAGCAATTCGCGCGCCTCGATAATCTTGCGGGTCTGCTCTACTGCATTTGACGTATTTGATGCCACCCCAGTGGCGTACGTCAGGAGCTGGCTGAACGTGTGCGAAGTTCCCGCTGCTGGTCCTGAGCTCGTCGCATACACGAAGCTGCTATCTCGTGTCCGCACAGCGCGATTGTAAGCTGAGGCTGCTAGTCGGAACACATGTGGCGGTAACGCGTCATCGTCACCGGTTTCGCTGCCAAAGCTGGACCCCCGCCGAGCGCTTTTCCGGCCAGCCACCGTGCTTTTGCGCGTCTCAGCCCTGCCACGATCTGCGATGGCGGCGTGAGTGTATCGAGGCACAAGGGTGAGCGAGTACGCGGCACTATCGGCGCTCTTATTGGGATTCATCTGTACAAGGGCATGCGGGCCAACCTGCGTGCACAGATCCCCGCCGGCAAAACGATGCAAAAGAAGCTCCTGTATGAGCTCGCTACTTGTCAAACCGGCTCCACCAGCGCCCCCCATGTCCGCGCATGCGCCCGACCTAGAAAACATTGCAATACTGGGAGACTCGCATATCAAATGAACATCCTTAAATAGTGTTCAGTCAACAAAGCTGTCATGAATACCGCAATGAAAAGGCTAAGAGGTACCCGATTGATAGTCCGCGGGTAGAATCGGTTCAAGTTCTTGGAATCAATACCCTAAGCCAACCCTGACTCAAAGCCATGAAGCAGGTGTGCATGAAAAAACTGTTGTACCCTGGTGCCGGATAGCATCGTGTCGCAACCTCTTTGGCGAGAAGAGTCCGCGAAGTGGGTTTGGCGTGAAATCCTATTGCTGGCGCTGAGTCCTCTACCGTGATTCCTCCACCTGGCATTACTTCGCGGACTATCCCGACCGTCAGCAGCGGCCCAGTGACGTGCCCTTTTCCAGTTGTATGATCATCGCCAGGGGATGACTTGGCAAACAGGTCGGTCCAAATCTTTTGATCGACGGAAAAGCCTGGTCCTCCCGTTTTACCCGCGGCAGAAGCACTGGGCGGACTACCAAGAGTCGTGCCCTCTGTCTGCGATGCACCGCGAGCACGGTTGCCTAAAGAATAACGAGCAGAAGCGAGTGCCATCTTGCTTGGTTCAAGATGTACTTCTACAACTTCACTTAAATCTTAGTTAAGCGAATGAATCCAAGAATCAGCACTTCGAACAATTCTCTTCTGATTTCGTGAAGACACACTCACACAAACTCAAATTGTTATGTACTGCAAGCTGTCTACCGAGTTACAAACGCAAGGACAGAAATACTTTTCATCTCGAGGTGAAGGTCAACGACAAAACCACATAATTCAGAAAAGTGGGCGTTGGAATCAGGTATGCTTTGGGGGTGTAACTCACGTCTGCTAACTCTCAATATCGCGTAAATAGCAAGCAGGAATAAAGTCCGAGCACCTACATACGAATCATACCGAGCTCATCATACCGATCGATATGCTTAATTACAAACGACGTAGGAGAGCATAAGAACCGACGATGATTTCCCGCATGTAATCAGTAGGTGTCCTTAAACTGCGGTGACACAAACAAGAAACCGATGTCCACTACAGAAAGTTACGATTCCGCTTGCAAGCTTGCCGCAATGAAAAGCAGCCAACCAGTGGCGCTGGATACAGAGAAGTTTCGTGCTTCACTCAGCATCTTCAAAGAGAATTAGAATCAAGGATGATTGGGCCGTTAAACTCTAAGTGTCTGGGGTGGCACACTCTGCGCTTGTGAAGGCCGGTCTCAATTTTGGGTAAGTCCCCCATCCCACCGAAGTCCAGAGGCTCCCACCCCTTTTTCGCTAGCATTCCCATCGCGATTCCTCTTGCTCTTTGTTGTTCATGATACTCTTGAAGTAAAAGCTGCGCCAAGCCTTCACGAAACCCGTGGAGGGATCGTTCAGGCGATCGCTCAAAGAGTCGATCGTATCGAACTCATCTATGCCGGCCTGCAATAAAAAAAGTGGGAGTACAAAGCTGGAAAATTACCCAAGGTTAGGTCCTCGGAAAGACCACAGCTCCCCAGAAATTCTCGTTTATTCGATGCTTCGGGACGTATTCGGGCTTTAATCAGTTCAGTGCCTGTAATTCGAGCCCATCGCGGTCCCCATTGTGAATATCATGCGGAAGGCGCAGAGCGCGAGCAGCTAAACGATGTCGCGCTTGTCCCAAGTCTCTTTCACGTGCTTTTCGTTTTCATTCGGTCCTTCCAGGGCTGGCGGCGCTGCCCCTGAGTCCTGACAACCGTTAGCCACATTGGCAGACGGCGACGTCTTCTGCTTGCCACTCTGCGAAGGCGCGACAACAAGGTTCCACAAATCCTCTACGAAGACGAACGCGGCGATCGGCGATGAGCACACGATGCCGAAAAAGAGCCAGAACCACACCTGGCTGATCGCGCCTGCGATCACGCACGCCATCGAGATCGGCGTGGCGAACAGGCAGCACACCTTCCGACGGTAGATGCGAGCGAGTTCCTTGTCCGTGAGCACCATGTGGCCCGTTACCTCGAACGCCGACTCTAAATTCCGCGACTCCGTAGTCGTACGCGTAATTGTCAATTTCCAATTCATATATACAAAGAGCACCGCAAACGAGTTCAGGCAGATAAAAAGTGCGTCGCGCCCGCGGAAAATCATTAAAAGCGGCACGGCCAGTACTATGATCGGCACCAGGCAAAACCGCCGCATAAACCCAATCGCACGCAGAAGCCAAAACGCTGCCTTGGCCTTCTTGTCCAGTCTGGAGGTGAGTTCTTTATGGTCTTTTCCAGCAGCGAGAAGTTGTTTGTTCTGCGCTGCGGCTGTCCTCTCCCCGCGCTCCAACGCGAATTCGCACAGCTACACGTCCCGCAGCTCGCGGCAGATTGTAAGCCCGATGATGAAACTCGAGAACAATCTTACGTAAAAGTCGGTCACCAACTACAGCTCTTTCGTCGTAAGCGCCAGGCCGATACTCCAGTCTACGTATCGGTACAACCCTGATAATTTGTGCGTCCCTTCCTTCGCGGCGGCTTTCACCCGCCCGAAACTCGCCGCGTCGTCCGGGTAATTGGCAAGCCTGGCCACTACCGTGGGGGCCTCGTCCATCTCCTCGGACAGTCTCGCCAACACGTCGCCCCCTATCGCGCAGGCCTCGCACAGCTTGGGATACACGCGCGTCTCGTCCCGGGCGATCAGCGCGTTGTTTTCCTGACCGTACTCCTTGTTCGTCGCCTTCATGCGCGGCACCCAGTACGCATCGAGGATTTGCTCCGCTGTAAGTAGAGTGGGAGCTCCTGTGCCTGCACCTCTTACTGCAGAAGAAATGGCATTAGCGCTTCTGGTGCTGCGCCCACCGGTCCGTGTTGAGGTACTCCTCGCACAGATCGCGGTACCAGAGGTTGCAATCTGCGCAGAAGCCACCGTCAGGATTGCACCAATGCCCGGCCGCGCAAATCGTGCTGGAAAACGTCCCGCGAGTGGGCCGCGCGCATGCGCCGAGCACCATCGGCGCAAGCAACAGCTGGGTGAACTTCATCAGACAGGAGCTACACATCCAGTGACCGCCGCGTTACATGCTCTCCTTCAGAAGAGCCTCGTGGGCAGCGCGGTAAGCGCCGATCATGACGTCACGTTTCTGGCGAGGCATCGGGAGGTTGCGGCTGGTCGTGGTGCTGGTCTTTGTCAGTATCATGCGCTGCTGTGGCGGCTCGCGGATTCGGGTTTGGCTGTTCCTGCTATTGCCGCACGGAGAATGTTTCACTTCTTCTTTCAGCCGGGGAGGTACTATTTCTGAACGTCGCCACAAGGTCTTCGTCGCTGACCCATCCAGCGCGACAGAGCCACAAGTAGAGCGTAAGCTGATGAAGATTCAGCGGTGTTTCCTGCAAGCGGCGGTGAAAGGCATAGAGGAAGTCTCGATCTCCGCTGGTTCTGCCGAGAGGCGCTCTCTGGTCGTAGGTCCCGTGGCTGGTCAGCCCACTCCGAAACTTCGTAGGTCGTGGGGTGAAAGGCAACATCGGGGCGCGCCATGATAGGAATCGCGGCGACGAGAATGGTATACGTGAGATTTTGACACTCAAACAACTGTTAACTCCTTGACCCCACTTCAAAAAAAGACCGTGTCACATGACACGCGGAGACGCACGAGGGCAGGGGATCCACCCTACGACTTCTACGTACTATCTGAGTAATGTGCGACTGCGAAATGTATTTTCGTGGCGAAAAACATCAATAAAAGCAAAAGCAGCCCCAACATAACGCGCATTCATCGACTTCGACAATTTTGCGCGTGCAAATTCATCATACTGCATCCCGAACGACCACACTAGGCCATCGACGGGATGATGCATTTCCTGCGGTTGTATAAACGGCCGAGGAAGATCGTGGATGGTGAGGTGCCACACGGTCAGAGCTTCTGACTCCTAATCTCATTCAAAGCCTTTTAAGGCAGCCGGGGATCCGGTGCAAGTTCGTATGACCTGAATTCAGGTGCACGGCGCGATGAAAGATTTTCTATTTTTTAAGGCTCTAGATGCAGTCGGCATCAATCACAACTCATGACTTGACTTCGAGCTTGATAATCATCATCCAAGTCAAAGCGCAAATGCGTTTGTGAGCAACTCCCACAAGCAATCGCATATCTTGAAGATATGTTGAGAGCTCTCTCCTCTCCTCTATTCTACATCAAACACGTCTTTAGTATGTTTTCGCGTTTTCGAATCCGCCTGATTTCGCATCTTTTTTATGTTCCCAATCCTATGTCATCTATCACTATTTCAGCCAACAGGTATATCTATACAGTATAGTCGCTGTATTCTTTTCGTAGGTGTGAATATTTGCATGATCACGTGAAGAAGTATGTAGTCGTAATCGAGTGGCATCATTTCAGACTTGAGATTTCATTCATGTGCTACCTGTTCTAGTTTTTTTTTGTTACCTGTGTCTACGATTTCCCGCACTACGAACATTCAATTACCCGGCGGGAAGCCTGAACGATGCACGACGGCCAAGCACTAAAGCTATGCAAACGGTTAAGCACGACGGCAACCGCTATGAACGACCTCTCCTACTGCGTTAAACAGTCAACCGTTATGGACACTATCTGACGTACCCCGAGAGAGCAAAGCTAAACCCTGTGAAGCGAACACGCGATACGCTAGAACGGTGGCCAAGCCTCTGCTCAGGCGAGCGATCACGTGCGTGATGCACGGGCGAACTCACGGCGCGAAAAGCGGAGCCACTAAGTTAAATAGATCCACGCGTGTTCATGTAGGTCGGCCCACGTAGAATCACGAAGCAATCTCCAGCTATATCATCGCATTGGTGGAACAACACTAAGCAAGGGCCTTCAAGCTTCGCCCCGTGCACAATCCTCGGCCGCGTTCCGCAATCACCAAAAAATAACCAAAAAGAAAAACAGAAACCGGAGGGCTTGCCTTACTCCTGCAAAAGGGGCTACCTTATGCCTGGCAGCCACTACTCTGCTAAGAGCGGGCGGGAGAAAAAAGGATCGGTAAGGGAGAGCGATGGGACGCGAGAGCGATGGAACGCTCTCCCCCTTTTAATTACGCGGCATAAGTCTACTAATCCATTGAAGCAAAGATCTAAACTATTTAACTCTAACGCCACTCACATCGCGCAAGACAGAAGAACTTCACACATAGCCCGTCGCATTTTATCGCAAGCGAGTCAAACGCCATGCTCACCCCTCGCGACAGATTTTACTCTCTAGCCCTCTTTGAATTTTTTTTTATGTTCCAGGGCTGCGCGGCGCCCTCCCCCCGGTGGTGTGATCTGTGGGGGCTCGCGCGCGCTTTTCCGCGCTGATTTTCGCAGATTCTAGTGGTGGAAGGCGTTCCCTTGCGCCTCTCCGCGTGTTCTTCAGGGGCCTCCTGGCCTCTCCCCTGCTGACCCTCACAGGCGGGAGGCCTCCGGGGTAAAAGGCCGCCTAAGGCGGCCACGCACGGTCGCAAGAGCGAGCAAGCCGATGACCAAGGGCCCGGAGGGTACAAGCCGCACGGCTCAGGGGGCCCAGCCCCTCGCATTTTGCCGCCTCCAGAGGCCTTCCTCCACAGCCGGCGCACTGCTGCGGCGGCGAAGCATATCGGAGGCACTTAGGGCACAGGCAGGCACCTAGAAGGGCGCAGGCGGTCCCTTGGGCCCCTTTTCGAGCCTCCCACCTACATCGGAGGCCTGTAGGGAACAGCCAGGCAGCTGGAAAGGAGCGGAGGTCACTTGGCCCCCTTTTGAGGCCTTCCACCCCCGGCACACGCCTGAAAAAGGGGTCCGGGGCTGCATGGTCCCCCCCTACGCTAGGGGGGGCACCGTCGCCCTGAGCCCTGGATCATATATAAACGCAAGGTAGATCAACTACTGAATCCTTGTTCTTGAGGTCGATGTAAGCCAGCTAGTTCACCATAATTGCTATAGGCTGATAGTGCTGAAACATTGCAAAAAGGTCACTATTAGGCCATATTATCAGTCTAGCTTATTAATCTATCTTATATATTAGTCTTCATTGTCAGCCTATATTATCACCGCCCCACGGATCACCGCCACAAAACTCGCCGCCTACCCCACCGGACAGCACTCCGCTTCCCCCGCGAGGCTCTCGCCCATAGCTTCCGGCCCCTTCCCCTCAATCTCGAACCCCGATAGCCACCGACCGTTTTCCTGTTGGGGATTACGCTGCGGCCCCGTGGCAAACTACCAGAAAAGAAGCCAGAAAAATGCCCGGCCGACTGGGGTAGTGGCGCAATCTGGGGACACAAGTCTGAAGAAGAGAAACATTTGCCGAAAGACCTCCGGCGAAAGACCTCTGGCAGAAGACTCTTGACGGAAGCCCTTTGACGAAGAGACCTCGGACGAGAAGGCCGCTGACAAAAGACCTTTGACAAGAGACCCGCGACGACAGACCTCAGACGAGCGGCCTTTGATTGTCAAAAAAACTGACGAGAGAAAGGTGGCGATAGGCACTTGACGATCGAGGAGACCTCTGACGAAAGAAGTCAGCCCGACGAAAGCGGTCACTCTGGCGAAAAACATCAGTCCGGCGAAAGGCCTCTATCTGACGAAAGACATCCGCAGCCCGAAGAAAGGCGCCACTGGCTCAGCCTGTTCCGACGCATGGCAGCCTCCTGGCGAAGTAGTGCGCCAGCCTGGCGAGAGGCGTCACCTGCTCAGTCTCAGCGCATCAGCCTGACGAAGAGCGCCAAGCTGAAGAAAGCCATCAACGAACGAACCAGACCAAAGGCGTCAGCCTTGGCCCAGCAGCGGACTTAGTCGCCAGTCAGGCGAAGCGCTTCAGTCTGACGAGAGACGTTAGCCGGACGAGAGACGCCGCCCAGAAGAAAAGCCGCAGCCTGACCCAAGGCGCCTGCCGAGGGGCGCCGGCCTGCCCGGCGAAGGCCGTCAGTCTGGCGCAGCGCGCTGGCCTGACGAAAGGCATCAGTCTGACGAAAGGCGTCAGTCTCCATCCTGGCGAAAGCCGTCAGCCTGACGAGGGGCGCCGCCCTTCAGCGGCGCCCCACCCTCCCGCGAGGTGCGCCCTTCTGTTTCTGACGAAAGGCGTTGGACGAAGCAAAGACGAAGCCCCGCCAGCTGTAGGCGCGTAGAGAGACCCAAGCAGCGCGGCCATGCGTTGCCTTTTCTTGTTTGACCCATCAAGGTCGCCCCTCGTTCTTGCCTGGTGCCACCGCGAAGCGTTCGCGCGCGCTGGGGTTTGCGGATTCTTGTGCGTGTCTGGTGGCCCTCTTCTGGTTTTTTTGTTGGACTGCCGTGAGGGTCTTGCAAATTCTTAAGAATTTGCATGACCCTCCCGGCGATCCCATAAAAAAACGAAGGCAGCGCAATTCTCTGCCCACGAGTCGACGCACCTGAGTCGGCCAGCGCCGGCACTCGGCTCGTGTCGTGGCCAATTTGCAGAGCGCAACAGCCCACCCGCGGGCTGTCTCTACTCTAGCGGCTGTAGACCGTGGGAGGCAGAAAAGTGCTAAACTTGAACCCGGGCGAAGCTTGTGGAGGCTAGTGCTTCTTTATGCTGCGACACGTTTCTATATTCCCATGCTATTAATCTCATACATAGATACTTATGCTGTGTTATTTGTTGCAAAGGTTGAAAAAAAAGCGGCGCGGTGCTTTAGAAATAAATTCATCCTGTGCTTAATTATTTGATTTTTTGAAAAATGCAAATCTATATTTGTTGCGTCACTAATAATGTTGGTGGAGCAGACCTAACTAGAAAAAACAAAAACCGAGAGAAGAAAAGTCAAGTCAAACGTGTTGCGGCACTAATAATCAAAGTCATTCCCTGAAAAGTACGTAGCATCCTCTACGAGTCTCCCTTGAAAAGTAGCATCCTCTATGAATCGCCCCTGAAAAGTAGTGTCCTCTACGAGTCGCCCCTGAAAAGTAGTGTCCTCTACAAGTCAACCCCGAAAAGCAGCATCATCTGCGAATCGCAACTGAAAAGTAGTGTCCTCTACGAATCGCCCCTGAAAAGTAGTGTCCTCTACGAATCGCCCCTGAAACGTAGTGTCCTCTACTAATCCCTGAAGGACATCCCTACTACTTCTCCGAAGGATGCTCCTACTACTTCTCCGAAGTATGTTCCTACTCACAACATGATAATGATTCCTCGTCACAAGAACATGATGATGATCCGTCGCCGTTCTTGGCGCCTGCGCTTGCCGCTCGCCTGGTGCCTCGAAATCTCGCCGGCTGCGCTGCTCCGGCGCTCTGCAATTCTCGACTTGCATGCAGCTGGTGTGCTTTCTGTGCAAGAATGTCACGACTTGGCCCAGGCGCTGTCGTCCCACTTTGTGATGGTAGGCAGCATTGTGAGGCTGCCTTCGGAACAGCAGCCGCCACACCTGCTTGTCCTGCTTGTTGGTCAATCTCGACCGGCCTTGGCGTTACTAGCAGAAATTCCCTTTGCTCCGCCTGACTTTTCTGGTTAAATACTTTCCTGTATGCAAATGTGCGCGCGTCCAACTCTTGACTTTCCTTTGTGTATCGAGGGATATAATTTCCACAGTATGGCGGTATGACAATCAGGACAAAGTCTAGCATGTCCGTTGGGGTGCTCGCACTTAGAGCCTTGGACCTGGCGGCTGCCATGGTTTGCTGGAGTCCCATTAGTCGCCTTCCTTCTCCTGGATTTTGTGCTCCGGTTTCTTGCATTCGTCGGGCAAGCTCCTGTTCGTATAGCGTTGCGGCTGATATCACGATATCCCCACAGGTGGCGAATTGCCCAGCACTACTCGTAGCTGCAACGAAGAAACCCCTCGAGTTGCTACCTCGTCCACTGATGTCCCACACTAGCATTATGACCAGGGGCACCGCAGCAGCTGCCGGCAACAGGTCATACACTAGAAGAGCAGCAACATCAAGAACAGCACAGCAACTGCCGGCTACTCTGGTATCTTGTCCTCTTTTATTCATCTTATAATTGCTTGTCGATTTACTGAGCTTCTTTCTTTTGCACATCATCCTTGTTGAGGAGCAGGATAAAGTCCGCAACCGCTTGTTGTTGTAGATCTTGTTGACCTTGTTGATTCCGTTCTGGATCTTCTGGATCTGGATTTGCTCTTCGCTTCTGTTCTTGTCCTCTTGTACTGAGAGTTGTGGTCGTTTGCACCTCCTGTCGCAGCAAAACCACTTGTTTGAGGACACACAAGCAGAAGAAGAGGCATCATGACTCGGTATCATGTTGATGTCGTCGTTCATCAACTCGCTCTGCTAGCTACTACTACTAGTCCAACTCGGACTAGGTCTAGGAGTATCAAAAGAACAGCTGGAGGCTCCAGTACTACTTAGTTGAAAGAACAGCGTCAGCAGCTACTCCTACTTGAAAAACAGGAGGCTCTTCAACTTGACAAGTCGAAGACATGGCCATCTTTTGTTTCATCCCTAGATGCTTCTAGTACCCAGCTGGGAAGATGCTATAAGATAGGAACTGATCATAGAAAAATACTTGAGCCAAAAGAATGGCTACGTCATCAATAATTGCTGTTGTGAGTGCGCAGCAGCGTAATGCAAATGCAATTTCATCTCTTTTATTCATGTGTGACAAACAAGTTATTTACTAAAAGCAGGTGTCTACTGAGTTACAAATGAGATGACAGAAATATATTTTGTGTTAAGGTGAAGGTCAACGATAAAACCAGAGAATTTAGAAAAGTGGGCTTTGGTTCACGTATGCTTTGGGGGTGTAGCAGATGTCTGCTAAGTCAGTCTCAATATCGCGTAAATCGCAAGCAGAACAAATAAAGTCCGAGTACGTAGATACGAATCATACCGAGCTCATCTAACCGATCGATAAGCTTACAAACGGCGGGGCAGGAGCATAAGAACCGACGATGTTCATATAATCAGTAGAATGCACCAGATGTTCATTGTCATCACACAGCAATGACACACACAAGAAACCGATGCTACCCAAAGTTGCCATTCCCGTTGCAAGCGTTTCGAAATGAAAGGCCATGTGCCACTAGTGGGCACGAAGAGGTCACGCGCTTCACTCAGCATCTTCTTCAAAGAGCATTAGAATCAAGGATGATTGGGCCCGTCAAACTCTAAGTGTATGGGGTCGCGTACTCTGCTCTCGTGAAAGCCAGTCTCAATTCTGAGTAAGTCCTCCATCCCACCGCAATCCAGAGGCTCCCAGCCTTCTTTTGCCATCATTGCCATCGCGATAGCTTTTGCTCTCGGATGGCCTCCACACTCTACAGGCTGCACTTTGTTGTTCATGATACTCTTGAAGTACAAGTTGTGCCAAGCCTTCACGAAACCCGTGGACGGATCGTTCAGGCGATCGCTCAAATAGTTGATCATATCGAAGTAAGGTCCGCGCCAATTGGGCCCATCCGATGTCGTCGGTGGCAGCACTTGAGAACTACCGTAGCGCGAAAATGTCACAGGCAAATCCATAAAGCACTTTTTCTTGCTGACGATGTCCTCACGATACGCATCGATAAAGTTCCTCAACTCTGTCGCTGGAATGGCGAGAATGATGAAGTTAGCCCGCTTATGAAACGCAAATCTGCTATCATTGCCATACCTTTCTACTTAAGAAACTTGATAATCAATGATAACAGATTTTCGCTTCATACCTCTCGACCATGCCCTTGTAGCTCGCACCCGCGAATCGAACTCGAGGAGCAGCGCTCTTCAACGTCAACTGCTGTTCGATTTCAGTTGCAAGCTGTTGCGCTTTTTGGGGATCCCGTGAGCCGATCATCATGGGAAATCCAACCGCAGTATGCCGAAACGCATGAGCGCTACCCATCATTCCCGTTCCTGCGACCCCCACGACTACATCCTTGAGTACGTCGGTCATTCTTGATGATTTTCGCCTTGTTGTATTCAAATGTGCTTGAGAACGTCGAGCATTTTGATTATACTATGTCCTGCTCCTTGCACTCGAATATCTTTTATCTCCCGGCATCGTCTCACTTCATCCGACATCATTTCCATCGAATCTTCCCTTCTCCTTCATTCATTCATTTATTCACTCAGGGGGCCTCCGCGAGATTCTTTTTTTTGTTACGTTGGTCTACAATTTCCCGCAATAATTCCATCCAATTACCCCGCGGGAAGCCTGACGCACAACGCCCAGGCGCTACAATCACGCAAACGACTAAGCACGACGGCAACCGCTGTAGAAAAGCTAGAGCCCAAGCCCCACGGGCATATTAGTCGGCGGCTCTTAAGTAGAACAATGATGGAACATATCTGATGTACCCCGAGCGACAAGAGCTAAGCCCTCGCGGAACGAACACGGATACAGCTAGAGCTTTGAATTTGATCTGGCCGCTTGCTAGTTAGGATCTGACGCGGCAAGCGGTGGACACACGGCACAAAGGGCGGCGCCACTACAGAGATCCACTGACTTTAGGGCGAGCCGGCCCGCGTAGAATCGCGAAGGTTTCCCCGGATATATGATCGCATTGGTAGCGCTACACTAAACTGGTCTTCAAGCTTCGCCCCGTGCACCATCCTCAACCGCGTTCCGCAATCGCCAAAAAATAACCAAGAAAAAAACAGAAGCCGCCGACTAAGGGGGCTACCATATGCCTGATAGCCACAGCTCTACGATGAGCAGGCGGGAGGTAAAAGGATCGGCGAGGGAGAGCGATGGGACGCTCTCCCCCTTTCAATTATGCCGCTCCTATAGTCTATTATACATCTTACTGGCACGCGCCAAGCCCTCGCACCCTCAAGACATACTGTTACCACCCCCACGCTCTTCCACCGTTGTACTCTCTCGTGACATTCACAGAAAAACGCTAGCAATTCTCGAATACGAACGGAGTCCATCCTCGTTGCTCTCGTTTCGAGCGAGGCAGAGGCATACTCTCTAGGACCCAATCGGTTTCCTCTAAAGGACTGCCGGCGAGTCGCCGAGATGTATGAAGACCATCCGGGTCGCTAGATAGTTGGCAAACAAAGCGGCCCTCTCAACAGATTTTATTCTTTTGTAGGTAGCGCCAAGTAGACCGGCTCGCGGCTGCAGTGACTGCGCCGCCACGTCCTGAGACGATACGTGGAAACAGCGTGCCTCATGCTCAGCGGACCGGAGCCACGCTGCAGATGAGGGCTCATCGTTCTCCTTGTGAGTGGCTCCACGTCGCAAGCACCTCCGAAGTGTGCTGCCTGTTGTGGGGTCTCTCGCGTACATCTTGGCTTCTCTCTGGGTCCATGTCCTTCCTGCGGTATTTCCACTTTCCAGTGTCACTGAAGCTGACACTAGATAAGTATGTGTGTCTGCACTATTCCTGAATCATGCGGTGAAATCAATCATGTCTTTGAGCTTGACGGTTCATTCCCCGATGAATATGAATGTTATTAAATCCATCAAAGTACCATGATGAACCTCAAATTATCCGATTGTAACAGTAACTCAATGAGCAATCAGACGGACCAAGAGAATGCTATGATATGTAATAATGTGCGTCGTCTACTATCGAAACCCTGATGTTATCTAAAAGTTTACTCTCCACTGGTACTACCGAAATTTTTTTTCTATTTTAGACTGAGCCTCCCCGCAGTGCGTAAGAGTGAGAAGCAAGATGCTTTGTCGTGTTTGCTTGTGAGTAAAACTATAATAACTCCAACTTAATTCCCGAATATGAAAAAGCTACTTCGAATCTACTACGTTAAACTGGGATCAACTACTGAGGAGGTCAACGTCGTATTACTACTTTTAAGAATTTCTTTTCTTTCACATGCAGTAACTTTGATGCGATAAATTTGCTCGTGAGGGCGTGTACTGCTCGTGAGGTCGTGAAGCCAACTGATACTAGGGCACAGCTAAAGTAGATCCCGCCTTAAGATAACTTTTTGCTGCGTTGCTAAAACAAACTAGGCTTTTTGGATCTCAATCTTGTTGAATCATCTGCTAGTGACTTCTAAAGATCTGATGCAACCTATGGAAATGCATCCAAGTCATATAGATGCACAACTCACATTTATAAGATACTTCGACACAAGAAACGTCAAAATGAAAATACTTACATGTTGCACTGCGACTAGGAGAACAAAATTTCTTGTCTCCTAATAATCTGCACCTCTACTTCTACGTAAGTTGAATGTTGTAATGACTAGCAAAATTAAAACTACAACCATGAATTGCATCTACTTACTTAATAGAACTGCTGAGTATCATGTGAAGTGACGTATCAAAATTATCAACTAGAAGTGGCGCATACACCCGTCTGTAAAGCAGCTGCTACGAGCTTTATGCTGAGGCAGCATCCGCCGTGACATGGATGACGTGTTTGCGGTAGACGGTGCTGAGGCCTGGGTAGCGCGCGTCTTTCGGAACTTCCTGCTCGAAGAGGCTATGCGAGCCGAAGTGCAGCTTGTCCTCCGGGATGTGGAGCAAGCAGTTCGTAATTCTCTTGGCCGTGGCGTAGATGCTTTCCGCGGGACGCGACTTTGCACCCGGAAGCTGGTCTTTGGCCTTCTTGCCGCCAGTGCGCTCGTTGGTGCGCGCGGTCTCCAGCAAGATCTTACCGCTGGCCGCGTCCGAGATGCGCAGCAAGACCACGTCGACGACGCGGGCAACGACACCGGGACCCGACACCTGCAAGTGGCATTCGCCTCGCGCAATCTCCTGCGCGACCTCGAAGATGGTCTTGGCACCGTTTCCGCCGAACTTGGTCACATCAATCTTCCCATCCTCGAGCAGCACCTTCAAGCCCTCGTCATCGATCTTCAAGTTGGAAGCAACCAGCGAAGACACCTCGTCCGTTGCCTTCTTACCTTCAGCAATGTTGACACACGAGAGCATATCAAAAATGTGGTGATTACAACAGATCTTAACGTTTAAATCTGACACATTTTTGAATGTCATCCTGTAATTTACCTTGTTGTGCGAGTAACGATTCGCACACGACTAGTCCTAGTACCCTCCAGTTTCAAATCAAATCATGATCGTGAACCTGTACTAGTATTGTAGGTACCTTCCGTCTTGATCTTCTTTTTCGAAATATCTTTGGGGGCGAGCCATTGCCACGTCTTCATCTCATTCTTTGCGCCCTTCGTCATGAATGCCTCCATCTTCACGCCACCGATCGCGGCGACTTCGGATGGCTTCAGGGTCTGCATTTGGATGGCACCTTCGATGATGTGCTTACGATACACCGTGACGACGCCCGGATAAGAGGGAGAATCTTCTTTCACCTCAGCAATCTCCTTCTCTTGCCATTTGAAACCGATATTGCCTGTGGAGGTTTTGACCGGATTCAGAAAGTCTTGGCGTTGGCCAAAAAAAATAAATTCTTTGATGGGATAAACGTAGGATATGAGGGAAAAGAAATAAAAATCTTGACCTAAAGAACAGCAATTGGAATTTAGCTATCAGTCGTTGACTTTTTGAGTGGATAACTGGCCAATGAGTGTAGAAAGACTGCATTAAATTCAAATAGTCCTTTTCCATCAAAGAGTTGGGTACGAATGTCGATGTGCAGGCGCTCGCCGACAATGCGTTCTGCGGTGGCTTTGACACTCTCGTTCGGGCGCTGCTTGGCGCCGGGCAAACGCCAGGTCTCGTATTCACGTCCGTCCGAGAGTTTTTCTTTCGCCTCGATAAGTGTGCACGTGGTTCCGTTCTGGCCCTGGGCGCGGATGCGCAACAGCACAAGCTCGACCACACGAACGATCTTGGAGGAAGAGAAGCCGCCGGTGCAGTCGTGCATGAGGGAGCACTCACCTTCGGTGATCTCAGCGCACAACTCCGCAAGAGTCTTTGCCTTTCCAGTTCCAAACTTCGCCGTCTTGATCTGGTTCTTCTGCAGATGCTCTTCAAGCGTCTTTGGGGTCCAGACGAAGCGCTTGGCACTTGGGTTAGAGAGAGGTAAAAAATCAAAACGGCTTGACATCTTGTCTGAGCGAACAAAGTATCTCTACAACTCTAAGTAATGCAACACCCCTGCTGCGCATGTTATGCCAGTAGATGACTTTCTTTGCACGGAGAGATGAAGTTGCAAAATTATTTTCTGAAAAGCTTGCGTCATAACCTTATTTCCGGTCTGATCAGCGCCGGAGACTTCGTACAGACTAGCCGCGTCTTTGGCATCGAACCATTTGTAGTGGATCATTTCACCGGCGTGCAGACCCTCTGCCTTGAAGTCTACGATCTCAAACTTCTTCACGCCTTCTTTCTTATTGTAAACTTGCGCCATCTCTTTTCGGCGCAATGCCATCGCCTGTGGTACTTGTTCTCTGCCAACCACACTGTCGCTCGAGGCCTGCTCTTCGGCTTCCTCCTTAGCCTGATGAAAAATGTGATCAAAAGTGCATGAAATGCGTTGTTAACCGAAGCGTGTGCATGCTCATAGAGAAACAATTTATTGTGACAAGAAGGAAGTGAAGATGTAATTACAAAAATTTACACAGTGAAAATGTAATTACATCTCGAAAAGCATAAATGTTCAAATATAATGACCCATCTTACAGGCAGATGGAACAAATTTCAAATCAATGAATGTAATCAGTCCTACCGCCGCTGGCGGTGCCACTGGTGTCGCGGGCGCGTGTGCCGTAATCCACGGATGCTTTAGTGCGTCTTGAATCTTGATACGCTTTTCTGGGTCCTTGCAGAGCATCTTCGTAAGGAGATCCTTGCATTGGGGAGTCGCGTAACCTGGCATCCTTGGCTCTTTCTCGCAGATCTGACGCTCATCGCGGAAGGGGAAGGTAGCATCCACGAGACCGTACATCACAACGCCGCACGCCCAAGTATCCGCAGGGAAACTATACCGACGCTGGCACATCTCCGGACTCCAGAAGACCTATGTGAACGATGGCGTTGTTCTTACCAGTTGTCGAGAGGGTTCTTTGTATCAGTCGGGAGGGTTTATATCAGTCGAGAGGGCTTATATCAGTCAAGAGAGGTCCAAAACTATACTACGAGAATATATTTCTTGATGGAAGACGAAACCTGAGCATCATACATCATAAGTCTACTAGAGTGACTAGATCTACCAGACTGACTAAATGATTTAAGTAAATACTCTTGTTCCGGTAAACTGACGTAGGATCTTGTTCGGTTGATGAGCAATGGCTGTTCCGAAATCAGTGATCACCAGGTGACAATTGGGGTCAGACAGGTCAACGCGGTCCATCAACACATTGTCTCCCTTGATGTCACGGTGAATGTATCCCTTTGCGTGGCAATGCTCCGTAGCCGCGAAAATTTGCAAACACGTTTGTTAGAGGGGTAGGGGTTCATTGCTTGGTACAAATAACTACAACATACCAAAGAAATTCAAAATTCAGCAACATCGAGGAGAACTCCTCGTAGCCAGCCAGCACTGCGAAGAATTTACAGCATGAACATTATCCATGTTGTATTACATCTACATCCACATCCTTTACTAGGCGCTATAATTTCAAAGTAGAACTACGAAGTGATCATCTCATTGATTCACAGAAATCATTATACACTTGTTGTACATAGTCCATTCACAGAGGAGATGGTACGAGTGTGCAACTCATCCAGAGTCTATGAAAAGGCATAAAGACGCGAGCCAATGTGTTCAGGAATTTTGCCTTTGTTCTTCAAATGCAGCTGCAAACCATCCACTAAGTCTCCGCCGTTGAATTTCTGCATGACGATACACACAAAGCATTTCTCTTGGAAGACAGCGACAAAGCCGACGATATTCGGATGATCCAGGTTCACCATAACCTCAATTTCTCTGACTATGAAAACAGAGATGGGAGAAGAAGACAATGGGAGGAGGAGACAAATGTTTGTGCTGTTCTTCTTGGGGCGCAGTGCTCGTGAAAATGATACTATGGTACAACAAGCAATCAAAATCATTCTGGTAATAGTAAGCCCATCGGGAAAAATTCTTTTCCAGGTCACTGAGTCAGCATGTAAAACATTTCAGTATTAAGGTGGTAAGATATGCAAGCACATAATGGTGATATCGGAGGTATCTGCCTCGACACGATCTATCATCTTCACTGCGTATTTCGCTTCGCCATCTTCGCCCGATGTACCGTCATTTTTCACGTCACGCTTACCTGAGGTGGAGGTTTTGGATGATGTGTGTTGGGGATGCGACGAACCATAACGCAATCGCATGAAAAGTTACGCATCCAGACTACATTTTAGACATGGATGCACTTCCCCTCTCCTATTTTAGTCGTTCCTAGTAGTCATTCTTCTTGTACTTCAAATCCATAAGGACTCATGCTAAGTCTACAAACTACTAACCCTTTGTTCACGAAGTGATTCTTAAGTATATCTATAATAGACTGAGTTATAGTATGGCATTCATGCATCATAACGAAGGGTTTCATCTAGTAGAACGAGTTATAGTACGGCACTCATGCACGACGCCGAAGGCCCCCTCACCGAGTTTGCGACCCAGGCGATACTGGTTACGGAACTCCCCCTCCCCGTTGACATGCGATCCTTTCGCAAGTTTGCCTCCCATCCCGAAGACGCCGGCGCCTGGAAAACACAGCAGCCGAATTTTGCCGTAACTCTTAAAGGACACGCAGTGGCACGATCTTCGCCCCACCACGCGCCTGCTTCTTAGAGGACGAGGAGATGAGAAGATAGATAACTGGGTACTGGAAAATTCGACTACAGGAGATTCAGTTTGAGGAGGTTGCTTAACAAAAGTGAAGAAATTTTCAAAAGGGAAAGACGAAGGCTAGACAAAACATACATCACAATGACAAAAGAAATGAGTCCTGGAAAGCAACATGATACAAATATTATTCACCGGCTTCCGTGGCTTTCAGTACAACTACTATAGTTCAACAAACAAGAATGCTGCTAAAAAGTGCAACCAAAACCCACCAACCTTTGCCGCTTTACAGAGTCTCTGACAGATCGCGGAAAAAACAGTGACAACTATATGACGTTTTTCGTGCCAGACCATGCACCGAAGAAAACTTGTGAAGTGTCAGAAGTTCTCATACTGTGATAATGGAAAAATTCAAAACAAAATAACAGATTCAGGCTCTAAATTTTGAGCCAAGAAGTTTCTTCCAGATAGACACAGATGCGGTCCACGTCAACCGATGACAGATAGCGGACCGACAAAAATCTAGTTTTGCTTTTTTTTAAAACAGACTCTTCTACAGAAGTCGCGATTTCCACTCTGGAAAAAAACTGAAGACACAAGTGCCCACAACGAAGCAGACAATCTTAACAGCCTGCTTCATGAAGAGAAAAGGCTGATCCTTTCAGGCTGTCACTTTTCAGCATCAAAAATAGAAATACACATTTTTTTGCCTACTTGTCTACAAGTGCACAAACATTTACTTACGTGACTTGAATCAGGGTCGTGGTCCGGACTTATGAATTCAAAGGGAAGACAGGGGCGCCGCCTGCCTTGTAGTAAAGCTAGCGCGGGTCCACAGAACCGCCTATCTAAGCGCACATTAACCCTGATGGATCAAAATGGGGAGGTTCAAGTATTCATCACAGAAAGGAATCGTTTCCAAACGCGGTTTTTCAGAACTCGAAACAAGTTCCGTATCAGAAATGCCGTAGCTAAGCTGAGTTAGAAGTCTTCGACTTTCATGAAGCAAACCGTCAACAGATCTTAGAACCTTAGAGGAAGCATCCAATGAAAAAATTTCTGGGAAGCATCCATGATAAGGTTATCACTTGTCAACTAGCGGAAAGAACTTGTTATAGTGTATGAATGTGTATATGAAGTCAACGCGTCAACTGGGGAAAAAGACTGTCCATGCGGCAAAAAAGGTGACGCCAAACAGTCAGCCCCTTAGCACTGCAATCATCAAGCTCGGGGATTCGATCCGGACAATCGTCGGGGGAAATCGAAAGGCGACGCTGGCGCCTGAGACTTTGCTCAGTCTATTACTTACTAGATCCACGCCACTGCTAGCCCCCGCCGCTCGCGTATGACAGAATAATGTGCATCAACCCACGTCGACATCAACAAAGTGTATAAATCTTCGTCAAAACAGCAGAGAACCACGAGAACTAGATTCCGCCGCTGCCAATGGCTTGCTTCCCTACTGTAACGTAACCGTTTCCGACCGGAGATTGTTCCTGGATCGAGATTCAAGCCCCCTGGACAAGATCCTGGGGGTAGGATCTTCTCAAACAGGTATATTCTGTTGAAAAGTATTAATTACTCATGGAACAACAACGACATACCTTGTTGGTTTTGGTGTACAAATAGTTCCTTTGGAAGAAAGCGAACGTATTTTTTCGAATCTTAAAATTGATGACAGGTTTCTTCTACGAGGACTAGTTATGAAGATATAGGGTACCTGAAATTCGTATGCCCTCGTTCCTCCGGGTCCGGCGACGACGTTTCCGATTACAGTATCTGGAACCGCTCCGATTTTAGCACTTCCTGGACTAAGGTCATTCAATGGAACTCCGTCTTCAAATCCTTTCATCTTGCCGCCCGGTCGGGCTGGCGGTGGCTGACTCTGCGTTGCCGTGGCCAGTGTGTCTGCCAGAGGATCGTCCCAGCTAAGTATTCTTTGCTTCACTAGATAGTACGTAACAGCTGCGAAAATGCCTGCGGGAACTAGGCCGCGCCACCAACCCTCAAAATCGTTATGGCCTGCTATGAGTGGCGCAATCGTCAGCGACACCATGCTCATCAGCTTTATCAATATATTAAGCGCTGGACCGGACGTATCTTTGAACGGGTCCCCAACAGTATCGCCAACCTTTTTTTTGTGGATGAAGAGGTGAAAGAAAGAAAGAAAGGATGAAATTGAAAGGATAAACTTGAAATGTCTCGACACATCTCCATCAAAATCAAAAACCTTCATAATCACACTTACCACGCACGCTTTGCCTTGATCGGACTTTTTTATCTGGAGTTTTTCGCAGAGTTTTTTGCTATTATCCCAGGCACCTCCCGCATTGCTCATCATAATCGCCAACATGCACCCGCTTGCAATTGCTCCTGCTAAGACGCCCATCAGGCACCGTGGTCCAACAAAAAGACCGATGAACAGCGGTGCGAGAATCGCGTATCTGGAAAGGAATTGCAAAAAAAATAATCTTACTTCACCAATCAAGCGAAAAAAACCACTATGCGTTCGCAGAGAAAGTTCCCAAATAAACAGTAGTTCTCTCGCTCCGCTGATGAAGCAACTAGGCATCACATCAAGATTAGTACGCTCCAGGCGCAATCATTTCGCGCAGACTGCTGCGCGTCGATATCGCGACACAGGTGTCGCTGTCAGGTGATACGTCTTCGCTCTCAGGAATGTCTTCACCATTGCTAGCTTTGATGATGCATTCATACAGACCTGGAACACCACCGTGGAACTGCCGCCGCACCTCTTGAATGATCTCAGCCGCTGCTTTCCCGACTGATATCATCGTCAATGCTGCAAAAAGGAATGGCAGCATCGCTCCAAAAATTACCTGGGTGATCCAGTAGGTTTGTTCTTGTTGGGTACGTAGGAGTAATTACAAATGTGGTTTATAGTTTTTCTCTGCGTGCAAAACGTGTATAATCGGCTTGAAAAGTTGAACTTCGACAAGCGTCTTTACGACATCAAAAAAGCCCGATGAATTAGTTGATCGTTGATATAACTTTTATTGTGAATGATGATACTCCGCTGAGAATGACTGGATCGCCAACTCGCATATCCATCGTCATCCCGACATCTACCTCGTGCTCGAACGCTGCTAATAAGCTCAGGGCCGTCAAGACGGCGCTGCCAATAGCAAAGCCCTTGCCAGTAGCGGCAGTGGTGTTTCCCAAGGCGTCGAGGGCATCCGTTTTCGCTCTCACTTCAGGCGGTATTGAAGGGTCCATTTCCGCTAACCCGCCCGCGTTATCTGCTACAGGTCCATAGGCGTCCGTCGCTAACGTGATTCCCAGTGTCGAAAGCATGCCTACTGCACTAATAGAAACGCCGTACAGGCCACCTGTTGCTTGTATCACTAGATGGAGGAGACTCACAACAAGATTGAATGTCCTTCTGTGGGTTCCAAAAGACGCTCTGCAGAAACAGAGTTCGTCGGACAAAAAATGTAGCATGTATACTGCGCAGCTCATTCCTCGTCATCACTTCGTGATAGCATAGGTCAAACTATCAAAATCGAATTCTATCTGACAAGTACCGAGGCTTGAACACAGCAAGATGACCAGGACGAGAACCACTACTGGTGGCACGCAACTGATCATGCCGACCCCTATGCCTTGGATGATGACTGTTGCTGGGCCTGTGACGCCTCGATCCTTGATTGACTGCACTGGCCCGAAATCGAAAGAAGTGAAGTACTCCGTGAATTTGCCGATTAATATGCCGCCGCCAAGGCCGAACCCCACACAGAGCCACAACTGAATTCCGAGTCTAAAGCCGAACATGACGAGGCAAAGAAACAGCGCCGCGCCCACGAAAATCCCACTGGCCATCAAGATTCCTTTCTCCAACGCCCACATTAGCTGGCTTAAATTTGTGTTCCAGCCGTCGCCTGCCTCATCCGTTTTGACATAGAAATAACCCACTATAGAGGACGCAACGCCGATGCCGGACAGGTAAAACGGAAGCGCTACCTGGATGAGCTTCTCGTCCTACGTCCAGAACTTATCGCTTGGTGAATGTGCTGTGGACAAGCGGCAATGACTGTGATCGAAGGAAGTCATCTAAAACGATTATCGACCTAAACGGTTACCATTCATGACATTATTGAATCAGTAGAGAAAGTTCGTCTTCGCCTAAAAGTTACATTGTAGTTCACGTATTACCTTGTAGTTCACGTACTCCGGATTGTTCGTGTCTAGCGTGGCTAGTGTTGCAGCTGCAATGACGCTACCAACGTAAGACTCGAATAGATCGGCACCCATACCAGCGACGTCTCCCACATTGTCCCCGACATTGTCGGCAATGACTGCTGGATTATGCGGATCGTCTTCATCTATGCCTGCCTCGACCTTGCCTACGAGATCTGCGCCTACATCCGCCGCTTTCGTGTAGATGCCGCCTGCCACTCTCGCAAACAGGGCAATCGAACTTGCGCCAAAGCCGAAGCCTGCTAACTCCTGCATGGTATGCACGTAGTCGTCTCCCGTTGCCACGAACAAAAAGACTAAGCTGAGACCCGTCAGTCCAAGGCCAACGACAGCAAAGCCTAGTCGTGGAAGCAGTTGTGAATTCATCAAAATCATTCAAATTGTACTTGTAGTTCAAAATAATTAAACATAAACATGTTCTTTTCTAAAGTACTAGTATCACGTGTGATTTCATTTACTTGGCAAGAATTCCAATGCAGACCCGGACACCAGGGACACCAGTGACTTCTTAGTCATCATTAACTACCCATGATGCTCCCCGCGGTAAAGGCGACTACGAGCCCGTCATTCAGCGTGCCCTCAGTGCACGCCACTGTGGTCCGCACATTACCGTCTGTCGCGACATGCATGCCGCACCATCCTGCTAGCGCGGAAAGCGCTGCTCCTGTCAGAAAGCAGAATGCTACGCGAAAGCCGATAACGATGCCTTGCTTGCCGGCGAAGAGAGCATGAAAGGGCTTAGCCTCAAGCTTGTAGACATCTTTCGTGAGGACGATGAGGGAATTTTTCAATTCATTCAAATCATCGTATCTTGAACTAAAACAAGACACGTAGTTGATCAAGAAGGGTATGTCTTGAAGATCGGAGGATTACTCAATTTTCATATTTCAAGAAAACAAAAAAAGTATACATTCGTTGTCCCCTCATTATACATTGTTCCCTCAACGACAATGAGTCATAAATCAAGAACAGCAAAAACGCGGCACCACCAACGAAGAAACCCAGAACTCGGTACTCCTCCTTCAAAAAAGCGATCGCGCCACTCTTGATCTGGGCGGCAAGTCGGTCTAATTTTGGATGTCCGATCTGCGATCCCGTTCGCGCAGCCATCAAACGCTTGTACAGGAAAGAGATGAAGACGAAGCAAGCAATGCCACCACATATTGCAGGCCAGGTCACCCCAAGTGGCGAGTACGAAACAGTCGTATGAGGCTTTCCCATTTTTTCTTATGGTCTCTACTTCTCTAAAACCAGAAAAAGACGACAGTAAAACAGCAACCTGCTATCACTAGTGAATTTTGGCTCTTTACCAATCAATGAATGTTATCATATTCATACGTGAACTAGATGGTGATCATCTAAAAGTATTGTTTCTACATTATCGTTCAATAACGAATTCTTCGAGTACTATGTGATTGGAAAAATGAAGATAGCTCTGCGTGCGTGTACTGCTAACAAGTGATTTCAGTGGTTTTTTTACTCAGAAAGTCCAAATACAGCTGGAACAACAAGAACGGATTGTTTCTATCAAGTTGTTCACTCAAATGCTATTTTTGTTTTTCTCTGATACGTTTTTCCATCACCCACCGATGTTGGCACCGATAGGCCTTACAGAAGGGTGGACCCAAACTTGATATCATGTGAATGTCTAAGCTTCTCAAAATGAAATTCTGACTCTTGCTCGTCCTTGGGTTTATCTCTCAGTACATATATTCCTACCATGCACTGTGATGCACACTTTCCTGAGATCAACGCTCTAGTACAGGATCCGCTCCAATTTGCTCGAGAGGCTGAAAACTAGCTTTGTTTAGACTGTTTAACTGATTTTCTTTCCTATTGAAGTCTTTGACCTCATACTCAAAAGTATGCGGTATAGTCATTCCTACGTCGCAACTGGTCCTGAAATTCATTCGAGAGTAGGGGTCTACTCCATGTTGATCAGCATGGGGGATTGGGAAGTTAGTTGGGGAATCTGCACCAGAAGAACGCTGTACTGCTACTTCAATAAAAAGACGAGAAGATTCGTGATCAGAAAATGTTCTGTACAAGCATTTGTGATCACTGTGGTCTGCTGGAGCCGTTTTCTGACTCAATTTTGGTCATCAAGGAATAACATTGTCAAGCAGCCATCAAAATCCTCGTGTTCCTCACGTCCTAGCGTCGTGAGCGATATCTCCAAACAGGTGTGATCAGGAGCAAGTGCCCTACCTGTTCTCGTCGGCTACTATTCTTCCATCTCCACGCACACGTAGACGTAGTAGTACAACTTCTTCCACCAGGAGATTTTGTGTCGTGATCGCCCACTCTAGAGCTTGATGTAGTGTGAATCCCAGCACAGCAGGCCGCAGTAGTTTTTACTCTTCTTCATCCTCCACCTGCATCGCGTTTTGCTCGAGCTCCGAGAACATGAATTCCTGGTTGTACTCCATGAGGAATTGCGTCGACCGCTTTACGTCCACAAACAGGGAGTAGACTTTTCGAATGTCCGGCACATCGACCTCCTGTCCCTTGCGCTTCATGCAGACCAGGTTTGCGACGCTGATCAGATGGATCGCGTACCGCAGAGTGCTTTCCATCCCGATCTTCGTCAGCAGCTCCTTCGCCGATTCGGTCATCTCCACGTCCTCCTCTTCGGCACGAATGTCCAAAATCTTACGGATTTCCCGCTCCGAGTAGGGCACAGTGCTGATGATCAACGCTCGGTCCAGCAGATCCAGCGGAATGCCGTGAGGACTCTTGTAATCGGTTCCCCGGATCTTCGTGATGCCGCGGTTTGTGGCCATGATCACCACGGGCGAGGTCTCCATCTCCAATGCGCGGTTCAAAAACGAGAAGCACTCAATATCCAACATGTGCACTTCGTCGATAAACAAGACGCCTGTAATTATAGACGAAAAAATTATCTCCATACGAATTCCTTTTCGAAATAATTCTTCATTCCTGGAAAACAAATACCCCTCAGACACAGAGTTCTGCAGTATCATGCTCAAACACAACCTATCAAAACCATACTTCTGTTTTCATGAGTGTTGTATATCATATTACCTGGTACTATCTCGGCCTTTCCTTCCTCTCGCCATTCAGCAACTTTGGCGTCTATTTGCTCGCGCACCTCCTGCTTAATTTCACCAGTGTCGCCAGCAAAAAGGGCAAGGAATCCCTGTGATCTGCTATTGATCACATCGATTTCGTGCAAATTTACGGTATGGACAACCTCCTTTCGCTTTTGCAGCTCTCCATCAGGGCACTGCACAAACCTTTAGTGATTCACAAGTACTGACGTCATCAATAGAAGAAGGAGTACTCCATAGCAGTAGTAGCGTCAATCAGAGTACTTACTCGATGAACCGCAGTCATAAGTGGCGTGGTCAATAGGGGGACTGCTCGATGTTGGTACTACTAACTTTAGAAGACGACCATTCACATTCTAAGTGTTGTACCAGTAGAACAAACACAGCGAATAAGAATATGACACGATGAGAATAATACGAGTGATGTTGATTATAGATAAAAATCAATTATTACCTTGTTTGTGGTCCCATGGCGTCGAAGTCTTTACTTCTAGCGAAGGATTTTCCCAGCAGTGTAATCTTTCCCGAGGATTTATCTATCGTCACTACATCGCCAGCCTGAATATTGTCCTTCTGGACTTGTTCAATCATCTTCTGCCCGAGATCGTATCTGTAGTACATGGATTACGAGTAGGTGAAGAAGTGTGGTGGTGGGACTGAAGGAAGTGAGTTTGTTGGTGATGAAGAGACGTGCGCTTCAATTTCATTCCTTCAGAAGCTCAAGTATTTACAACAAGATCCTTGTACATCTGCAAAGCTGCTTAGTTTTCAAATAATAAGGACATCGTCTCCATCTCGGTTGTTTTAAGCGTCATCTTTCCAAAGGTCGCTGCTCTTCCTTCGGTCTGCTCAATTTCGATCTCCACAACTTCACCCTCAATTATTTCCGCCTCCTCTCTGATGCGCACGCCAATAGACTGCCTAAATGCCTGCGTCAACGCTTCCGTTTTACCTAGAATAACGCGTCGAGGTCAAATCAAAGGTTTTACATTACCGGTACTTACTTAGTCACGTACAACGACAAAGACAATCTATTAGCCCTGTAAGGGTGAGGTTTTGATTCAGTAGAATGCTAATGTTAAAGTTCTTTTTCATTCATCACGTGAGTAAAAGTACATGAAGATCATGCAAACTCGTAGTCGTGCACACTAGAAAAATAAATTTGGTGGGTATGTGTGTGGTACTCATTTCCAGCGAGAATATCTCGGAACCGGCAATGCATGTAAAAGGGGTGTCGTCGCCAAGCGCCTTTGCCATTCCCATTGCGATCGCGGTCTTACCCTGTTGTTGAGGCAGAGGATATCAAAAAGAGCTTTTCTACATGCAAGTTTTTCTGTACATGGGGAAGACTATCCAGAACAAGGGTCTGTGACCGTGTGCGAACTACATCTTTTGCGTTCGAGCTCCGAACTAGGTGATTCTACACAAGAATGAGTAGTCACACGAGTGAGCATGTTTATGTTCTTGCGCTAACTAGTCTAACAAACTGAGCAACTACAAGTACCGTTCCGGGTTGTCCCGCTATCAGAATAGCTCGTCCTGCTATTCTGCCCTCTTTAATCATCGATAAGATAACACCCGCCGCTCTTCGGGCCTTATCTTGGCCAACCATACCCTGGGAGACGGCACGGGCATCTAGTGTATCGTCCAAACCCAGACCACGAATGTGCGAATGCGCACCAATCCGCTCAAGGCGATGCACATCCTTCACGTCAGCAATCTTCGGCTCCATCTTTTTTCCTTGCTAACAAATTCTAAGTGTAAAAACTAAACAACTTGTTAATCTCAATTTAGGTCAGTACTTTAAAAATAAAGTGTTATCTCAACAAGGATATTATTCGAAGTTCTTGCATTTGTCGTATGAAAAGCCTAGAGAAAATTACTAGTCAGATTTGCTTGGTTTCGTTTCCGGAAGCCTCAGTCGCTTGGTCGTTTTGTCGTAGAGAAGTCTCTCATATGTTATTCAGCTGGGTGTCTCTCAAAAGCATATTTGCGATCACTCGCTGAGCCGTAGCACAATGTTTCTCCACATATTGTGGTACAACTCTCCTGCAATTTAAAGTTGAAAATAATTTTTTTGAAAGAGAAACAACCTAACGATAATTAAATTCAGTCGTTAGTGCGACGTAGCGTCATCATGAAGTGCACTAGGGCTGTGCATCATCACTACACAGTGCACTCGAGTTCTAGTTTCTGTGCCGCTTCTTGGTTGCGATAAGGCAAGGAATACTTGTTGTAGCTTCGTTATCTGCAGCACAGCGTGAGATAGCTCCTTCACGTGGCTGCTCAGTGACGGAGCGTTTATTCTAGCACACTATACCATACCCCCGACGAGGATACTTCGTCTCGCCAAGCTCGGCTTGTGTGCAAAGGATCTCACTGCAATAATAGTTTACTACCGGACTGATACTGAACCACCCAGTATTCAGGAGACCTTTCACATTCCCTAGGTAGCAGAAGAATAGCGATCTGAAAAACGAACATCGGGGGTGAGCTTTTGATCTTTATGTGCTTTCTGATTCTCAACGGATACAGCGTTGAGGATCTTGCCTTTGTAGTCTCCTTTCATTGTTCCACAGTTGCATTACGATTACCTGTTGGTCTTATCTCGCAAATTACGAGTATCTCTTGCAGCATCTCAGACCACTATGTGCATTCGGTGGTGGAAAATGCATTTTCATTCTGAAGTACGTTCGATCCGAATTTTTGTACATCGAGACATTCGATTTCTTTACGTAAGTAGTCATGGATGCTCTGCGATTTTGCATTTATCACTTCAGATATGCGTGTCTATTACGGTCACTCATCCTTTATCGAAAAAATCATGAAGATGGTTCAAGGGTTCGTTGCGTATCAATTTAAAAACGGATTTTCAAGTAGTCATGTAACGTGATGATTAAAGAAACATTTTTTTTTGGGCGACAGCATACTTGCGTAGTCATTACTGGTAATGCGAATATGCCTCCACGACGGCGTGGTCACTAATTATACATAGGTTGCTATCATATGTACATGCTTATGCTGATTTGATGATGCTGAAATTGAAAAAATTATGATAAAAAATATATCCCGTACCCTTTTCATTTGTAAAAATAAGAAGCTGATCATTATTTCCTTATCCTATAATATGTAAAAGAGTAGTTTCATTTTTCATAGCGCGAAGATGAAATTCCCGTAAATTCCTAGTACAACGATAAGATCCATAGCCTTGCCCTGGACCATCTGACGTATACCAGACGGACTTCGCAACGTCTTTTCTACGCACCCAAACCCATTTCGTCTCGTGCTATCTCTAGTACTTAAATATCACATATCAACTAATATATTTAGTCCTTGATGAAGATATTAATCTTACAACTCACCCCGGCTCTTATGCTTCTCCCTCAACAGGAGCGGCCTCAGCGTCTTGTGCTGCACCCTCCGCTACAGTTTCCTCCGCGACTGCTTCTGCACTATCCGCGGGCGCGGCTTCCGCTTGAACGTCTTCAGCAGCTGGCTCGACCGCTGCTTCTTCTGCAGGCGGTTCCTCTGCGGCAGCAGGCTCCATGGCGGCTGCTTCGGCGGCAGGTTCGGCCGCCTGTTCTTCTTGCGGTTCGACGACTTCAGTAGGTTGCGCCTGCTCTTCAGTAGGTTGCGCCACGACTTGGTCCGCTTCTGCGTTCTGTTCCACGACTTCGTGGTGGGCGTCCATCGCCAGGCCTCCTGCGTCGCCAAGAACAGCTGCCTGCTCGGCGGCTTCTTGTTCGGCCACGTCTGGGACGTTGGTCTTCAGGGCCGCTTCCGGGATGGCATCCACAGCGGCGACCTCGCCGCCCAACGCTTCGGCCACCGCTTCGGCGTCGTACTCCGGCACGCGCATGCGCTTTTGCTCCGACATGTGCTCGATCATGAACGACAGCGCATCGTGGGGCTGTTGCTCCAGCAAAGACCGGATGACACTCTGCAGTACACCTTGGACACCGCTCCCCTCCAGGTATTCGGTGGCCTTCGTCGTCACCTCGTGGCGGGCCTGCCGCGCCTGTTGGCGCTCGCGGGTCTGCTCGCCATCAGGCATGGTGCAACGAAGATTCAAAGACATGCGGTTATCATCACTACCCATGTTCACCGTCTCCCTGTGCAGCTCGTCATTTCGCAACTGAAACCTGTGAAATTCCATGAAGGGAGAAAATACGTGGGCATCACAGTCATCATCATTGCGTCTTCGATGGTCGCTCTTTACCATCGGAAAGACTAAACAGTTGCTTGTGTACATTCTGAACATACAAGTCACATCAGTACTATAATTAAGTATCACAGTAGAACTAAGTAGATTATATTTAACGAGTGAAATTTCAATGATCTAGTTCTAGATCTTCACCTTGAGCTATCGGCCCTCTCACTATTTTATGCTAATATGATGTAGATCTGAACACCGTCGCACTGACTATGCTAGTTGTTAGTCCGACTGAATCCATCAAACGAAGAAAGGCCACAACCAATCTATTTGATTTTTACATGTTGACAGTGCATCCAGCAATGTGCTGGAAAAGGTCCAGTTTTAAGGTTGCCGCGTTCGATTTTTGAAATCGAAAAGCCTCTCCAGCCCGATAAGGTCCTTGCCGCCGAGTATCTCCGATCCTAATTGACACATAAGTGTCAGCGGGGAGGCCTACTGCGTCCGATACTGTGACGTCCATTTTCTTTGTGGAAGGAAGTGGGGTAAACAACTGCTTAGTGTACTAACTACGGATGAGTTGTGAGCTAGGCTCAGTTCTGCGCGAAGCCGCGATTTAATATTTCGATACTATCATACGGATTACTGAACGTCGTGTGGAGTAGCGTTTCTCATGAATTTCATCACTAATTTCTTCACGCCTTTTAGGATGCTTCGTAATTCGTTCCTGTGAGAACAAGCTTAAGGATACAATCAAGAAGGGAGAAGATTCACAACAAGTTACTCCCCGGGATACTATCTACAGGAGATTTTCGTTGTGGTTGCGCAATAAACACGATAAGTACTATAAGATGAAATCTACGAGTTTATTGGAAGTTGGGTAAAAGACTATCATATGCGTAAGACATGAAAGCTCTCTGTGAGGAAAAAGATGAAGGAATTCAGAGTAAAACATGAAGAAAACCTTGTGTCTCTGGTGTCTCCTGTCGTCTCGAGAGACTCATCACTCGCATGGCATCACCTCATGACCAGAAGGAGAAGTCTCCAAACTTTTGCTCTCTCTCTCGCAATTACCGAGACCAAACTCTCAGAAACAGACCACGCGCAAACAGCCCCAGAATCAGACTTGTTTCTGAATAGTTACATTTTTTACAACTCTTCATCTGCTTTGTCTCTCCAGCAACATTCTCTCAAAGACAGATCAAGACTCAACCAGTCACTCCGACAGACCATTAAGAATAGTCTCACACAATTTTCGCTCTAATACAAACACTCCTCACTACCGAATACAGACTCCCTTCTTCTCGTTTAGGTTTCTTCTGATAGCAAACACAAGATCAGCCTACTTAAGATACTTAATCGCCTCTTTTTCGCAGAAGTAGGTTCGAAACTCTATGCTCTTATCTCAATACATAGAGCAAGCTCTATCCCATATTTTCATACCATCAACTTCAACACAGCAAAACGAGGATAGCAACAACCTAATTCGATCAGGCTTACTAGTTTCAAATGAATCTACGCCTCAAACGCTTCAGAGAACGCACGTACTCCGAATCTAGCATCCACCTTGCCGACTGCGGGATGCCCGCAAAGGCTGAGTCCGCAGATTGACGCCCATGAATGCAACAAGTCCGGTGCAGGATGGTAGGGATATTTTTTGAAACCCCCACTGCGGTGACAGAAACAGGACTTGATGAATTCAATTCCTCCCTCTGCGTCCGGAATACCAGTCCCTGAAAGCGTCAGCGTCGCACCAACCCAAAAAGAGTAACAGCAATCAGTCGCTTTTTGTACGCGGCCTTGAAACCCACCATTCGCCTGCTGTCGTTGAAGGCACCACCCCTCGACTTGCTTTTTCAACGACTCCAGGTGGCTCTTTTTCTGCCTTTTTCGACTCCTTGGAGATAACTGGCGCTCACCCTCGGGACAGTCACGACTTGCTTCTGCACAAAACAGGTCGTTGAGATTCAATAATGGCGTAGCAAAATGCTGATCAATGTAGCTGTATGCAGAAAGAAACCCATGCTCTTCTTTCGAAATATCGTCTTTTGTTTCCGTTCGCTCAAAATCGCCCTCTTCCCGATCATGGTCATCGTCCCCTTCTGAAAGTAGAACCAGTGCTGATATTGCACAGAAAGTCGCCCCGCCGTGCGCCTCCAGGCGAGGATGCATCCCAAAACCGCCGCCAAAAACATTCCAGCATGCAAGTATGGCATTTTCTAACTTTCTGGAATTGAAAGTTCCAACTTCTTGACGAGAGCGAAACTCCTCCTCGTCTTTTATTGGTTCATCATGACTTCTAGATCGTGACACGCCTGCTAAGGTATCTTCACTTCCTTTTCCTTCATCCTCTCGTATATTGTCTAATTCAAGTAGCCTGTAAAGTACCGCAGCGCAGTATGCGAAGCGCATGTCCACCTCGCCACCACAAGGGGCGCCAGCCATGCTGCCCTCTGACTGCTGTGCCCTATCCAACAACCGCCTTACTGGCAGTGAGTCCACTTTTCGTCTCAACACAGTTGCAAGCCGCTCAGGACCAGGTGGTCCCTCTACTAAAGATGCATCGTTTTCTTTCTCCTGGTGCGATAAGATTATGATAATCATCAATCCGGCGAAGGTGTTGGCAATGGAAAAACTCGCGGCATCAGCTTCTTTTTCCCTTGTTGTCGACAAGGACAATGACGATAGTGCCGAAGCAGTGCTTAGTCCTCCTGTCGTGAGACCCTCGTGGCCGCGGACGGTGAAGTCCTTACTTGCCTTTCTCTCCGCATCGCGCGCTCTCTCGGCCACACGACCCACTCCGCTATCGCCTGCTACAACTGCCGCAACAGCAGAACCGTCGCACGAAACACGACTCACCCTTTGTTTGGGAAACAGTGCCGCTTTAGAGCCATCTTGAATTCATCTCGGTCCGCTCATCTCGACCCCTTTCCCATGAAATACAAGGAAACCGGGTATCGAGATGCCGAGGAAGATGGATAAAAGCTGACCGTAACCGTTGTTGCGGAAGAAAAGACGAACCCTTCAATGTCCCTGCGTTCTTCCGTATCGAAACGGTATCCAAGCAGATCCAGTGCCGCCACGCAGAAGAATAGCAACGTGACTCGGTTTGTGTCCATAGAGCTGTAGGCCTTCGGAAGTTTTCGGAGGTTCGCGAGGAAATAGGCACGAACGAAAGCGAAATCCAAATCCGAGTCGTCCTCGCTCTGCAGAAGATGTTCGCTCATCTTTCTCACTATTTTTAGCACTATGCTCGTATAAAAATCTGCCGAACGAGTCCTACCAGACGACTTAATCATGAGATTGCAGTTAGGTCCCAACTACATAATTCAAGCTGATAATCGATTTCTATTCCGCAGAGGGCGTGGGGAACATAATTATGCAGTTTCGATGCATCTTCAAGCCAACAAAAGTTGGACAACTTCGACACTTTTCAATAGCAGTTTTTCGTGAGGCCACGTAATAAATCTGCGTTGAGCGACCTTTAGATCCAGTTTCCATCACTGCACTTGCATGCAACTACTAACTTTATCGTGTCGGACTGCCGTGGAGGGCTGCCATCTTCTTCTAACTTTCAGATCCCACACTCAGGCAGGCACGCTGGTTTGAGCAGTGTCGTGGCTTGAATCGAAATCGCTTGTTGTACACTTTCATTCATGCGTTATTCTTCTGCGTTGGATCGAGTTTCAAATTCGCTTTCATTTGTACGTCTTGTGAAATATGGCGTAATCACACGTAATATATTAGAGTCTCAAACATGAGTTAAAGATACCCTAAAAAATGGAGCACCTGCGAGGAAATGCGGCTATCTCAACTAGTCCATATCAAATTTCTACTGCCGCGGCGGCCTATGAAGGAACACACAGCTTTCACCACCACCCGTTCTCGCAGGTGACTAGTCGAGACTGCTTTCCGAGCGCCACCGCCGCTCGAAGGGCTTCGGTTCTCGAAAGCAACGCCGCTCCTTGTCACAGGTGAGCGACACCGACTCGCCGCAAGTGCAAAAGCGCTGGTGGCCATAGGGAAAGTCCGAGAGTTGAAGCACACCTGGTGCGGACGTTCCGTTCCAGGCTTCGCCTAGGAAGATCTTCAACTGCAGTGTGCGAAACGCGTGGTCCCCCCATCGATCCGTGTACCAACCGTGGAGCGAGTCGACATAGTGAAAATAGTCGTACACACGTTTAGAGCGAAACCACGGTAGGTACATGATTTCAAGGTCTGTCATGTAGACGTGCCGATTCCACCGGAAAAGATAAGTGTTGTTGCGAAAGAACCCTTCCAAGTCGCCTTCTGCAAGGGTGGCCGCGAGGTCCAGCCCAAGATACTCGCGAACAAGGGCAGTGGCTGTAACAGCTGTTGAGAAATCATCTTTTGAAGAACCTACAGACGTAGTTGTCGTCTCGTTCGATATGGACGTAGTCCCTCCTTGTGGTCCGTTGCTCTTCTGCAGAATTTCAGGATGTCGCATCTGTGCCAATCTCAAATCTAAGTGACGAATTTCATCCTCGAGTGCCCCTGCAGCAATGGAGTTGCCGATTGTGATGTTAATTGGTGCACTCCCATTGTTCGCCTTACATTTCGAGGTCTTCACAGTTTCTGACGAAGATGAGCCATCACCTGAAGCCAAGCCGGTTGCACTTTCGTTTGTTACTCTGGCGTCCTTGTTCTCTTCCCATTGTGGGATTTCCTGCGCCGTTCGAAGAGTGGCAAGTTGTTTGAGCAGCTTTTCTTTTTCCGCTGTCACCTCTTCTGCCATCTCCCGCCGTTTTTCTTCAGCTTCCATGATTAGCTCTCTCAACTTGGCTGCACGGCCCAGCAAGTCGAAATGCATGTCAGGACTTAGCGCTCGTTTTTCACGACCATTCCTGGAGGAGTGAGCTATCCTTTTCCCCCATTATTTTCCCCTTTAAATCCAGGGGGACTCCACTCCCACTCAGCATAGTCCGCACACATAGGAGGATAGTGAAAAACTAGCCGTAAAGGTAGCTCATTGTACAGACTTACATGATCAATGTCCTCCCGTGGGGGCGCCATCTTATGGTCGGCAAGGTACATCTTCGTGTAATCCCAGAGAAAGGCAACCATGCTGTCCTTTTCCCGCGTGCGATGGACGTAGGCGTAGACATGCTCAGCCTCCCTCATTTGCTCGATTGCGGCGCTCAGATAGTCCACAGAGACTACGTCGCTGCTGCCCGCGACACTACCTGCGAAGATCTCGCTTTGATTATGCATTGTGCTAGTTGTGCTTATGCGTCGCACTTGGTCGTGCGATAAGCACACGCAACATGAGAATACACTTCACAGGAAAATCAAAATGCACCTCCAAAGGATGACATTAATACTTACAAGCTGTTAGACATTAAGAATTTGATACCTTGATCTTTGATTTCGATTTCTGGAAAATAGCTGTCCGTGTCGAAGAAGAAGAGAAATTCGAAATGCTGCAATGCTGGTTCCTTGAACAAAGGTCCGGATTTCCAACGACACTGATGCCGGTAGCCCAAACTGGCTTCCGACCTTGACAGGTCGTGCTGTGGTACTTGCGCTACCCAGTCTGAAAGGTACGAGAACCATACTCGCAACGGCCGCGAACGTCGCGCTATCGCAGCTTTGTGCTCTCCCGATAACGGCGCGTCGTGAAACACCACGAGCGGAATCGTATGCCACAACGAAGGGCTCACGTTGCGCAACGTCTTGAGCGGCAGTGTCAATAGCTCCTCAAGATTATGCACAGGAGTCGTCGTCCCGTACACCACTGCTGACTGTTCTGCCACCTCATCCACCTTTTCGCACAACAGCCCATGAAATGGCGGGAAGCACTCGCACAGGCCCAGCGAAGCGTGACACCGTCCACGAGAAGCGCGCTGAAGAACGTACGAAAATCCAGGCCGCTCTGGAAATTCCACTATGAAATCGCCTGTGTCAGAACTACTTTGAGCCGAGAGAAGCGACTTCACCGAAGCAGCTGCATCCGCGGCCCTCTTTGACACAACTTGTCTTGATGAGAGAATCAGTGAACCACTTTGATCTCGCATCTTGCTTGGCCGTGCATTTTCAGCGGAATCGTCAAAGGGCCGCCGCGAAAGCGCATCAGTTGCAGCAACTGCTTGTCTACTTGAAGTTGTCGCAGCTAGTGAATTGGCGTCGCTTGACCTCGGCGTTGCATCCTGACCAACACCGCTCCCACTCGGAGCAATGTTGTCCTCTGGCATCTCTTCTCTAGCAACGAAATAGCCATCGAGCAAGCGGTAGCTCAGCGGATTGCAGTACCAACCTTCCTTCCATAAGCGCTCGGTATTGGTCTCGATCCGACCGAAAACTTTGCCAACGAAAGAAGCCTTCTTCGCGACCCCTCCAAAGTCTGCGTCCTTTGCAGTCCAGGTGCTGCGGTCCTCGGCCAAGGCTACCCTCTGTTCCTCTGAGAGCAGTGAGGTGAGCTGAAACACTGCAAAAGAGTGCACCACCCGCACCAAGGTGTAGCGGCGACTGAGCATGTCGGCAATTGCGGCGAGGGACCACTGCGATTCCCACAAATCTCGTTCGCGAGCACGGGACCAGTGCAAACGCAGCTCAATCTCGTCGCGATCGGTTGAAACTGTCAAAAAATCCGAACCGGTTTCGCGCTCGGGAGCCGGCGCTTCGTCCTCTCGCGCGTTTTCGCGCCAGATTGTGTTGGCTAAAGACGTCAGTTGCTTCTTCAAGAAATAAGGGCGCCGCCGGGCAGTCGGACCGAAATTCGGGTTGAAGGGCAAAATTAGAAGTTTCGGAAATGGTTGGGTCGGTCCTAGGCGTCTACTGAAGATCCGCGGAATCAGGTACTCTGCATTCCCGGCCCTCGGATGCAGGAAGAGCAAGTCTGGAGTCGTCGTCGGAAAAGCATCAAATACCGAACAGTTGGCCTTCAAAAGCAGCGGTGCCGCGGAGTCAGAACCGGATATCTGCTCTACAAACTTCTGACGAGAATACATCACCACTCGCTCAACAGTCCCAGAAAAGCGCGTGTCCGCTTGTACACAACGGGAAAAGTCTACTAGGAAACTCGCTTGCGAAATCGCCCGGTCCTGCCAAATCTCGGGCCCGCCGTGCGATCCTCCAGCATTCCCACCCTGCTGATCAGTTGCTCCTCCCTGTGCCAAGGGACCAGAACCCCCGTGGTGATCTTGGCCCATCACTGCGCGCAGATACGAACTGCTCTCCGCAAAGTTGTGGCCTAGCTTGGGACACTCACTCGGCGTCCCGTCCATTGTCAGCGCTGACTGGAGCTCTTCAGGGCCAAAGTAATCCCGGAGTGCCTGCTTCACGATCTGGCCGATCTCCTCGTCCTCGTCCATCGCCTCCGGTCGGATCGCAATGAACTGGTGACTCAGCTTATGGTCTCCGATTTGCTCCCTCAAGAACCGGATGACGTCAAATGCAGGCGCCGCTTGCGGTGACAGCTTGTCCACGTGGCACTCCGCCAGTACCGGATTGTACAAAGCGGGCACCCGCAACTCCGAACGCAGGAACGTTGCGAAAAACGCCAGTCGGTGCGCATCTGCCAGAGGCCTTCCAGGATTCAACAATGACCTACTCCATCCGAGCACAGTGCCTTGCGTGGTTCCCCGCTTCGCGAACACTTGCATCAGGAAATAGTTCAGAACGCCCTGCGCGTGTTCTAGAAAGCTTTGCAGCCGTTCTTGGATGGAGGTGGCCTGGAATGTCTTTGGAAACGAGGAAGGCGGCGAGTCTTCACCACCAATGGCTGCATCGAATACTGCGCTCCAGAGAAGCTGGCTCGTGCGGTTCGCAATATTGCTCGGATGATTTTCAGATCCTCCTGTGCCAGCTACAACTTCTCCCGAAGGAATACTGGAAGAGTTCAGCGCAGTGCTAGCAGCATCCTGGTGAAATTGCATAATGTCAAGGGGAGCTGCTGTCAAATCCGAAACTAGCGACTCTATGCGCGAAACGAGATCCACGAGCATTTTACTTCCGATCCCAATGTCGCCTTTGTGCGAAAGCAGTGCAAGTAAGAAACCGCTGGAGCTTGCAAGACGACTCGACGGATCGAGGGTGACATGTAATGCTGGCGAATTTCCCTCCGCTGATGAACCACTTCCACCAACACCTTCCTCCGATGCCCTGGCTGCTGCGGCAACCAACGCGTCCCGCTGCCGTCTGAGAGTCTGGTCTAAGTTCCCTTCGGTGTCTGCCAGTGCGACAAGGCATCGTAGATAGCCCAGAAAAGTCTGATACAAGATATAGACGCCGTCGGCCTCCCCCACATCTCTGAAAGGCCACAAGGCCCGCACAGCATTAGCCCATAGGCGATCTAAATGATAGATTGCTGTGTGCGCGATCACCCAGGTCGGCGGCTCCCTCGTGTACTGGCTCTCTGAATCTTGATCACTAAACGCCTCAGGCTGTCCCGTGACCGCCTCTGCTTGTGCAAACAGAACTAGCGGCTTCCCTCGATGTTCGATTTCTACCGAAGTCCCCGTTGCCGCGTCCAGCCGTTTCCAAGATGCTCCACAGTTGCCAAAAACACACGAGGATACATGACACGCGAATCGTGATAATGGACGCAAAAGAGCATCCCATGAGCCGGCGATCAACAGGACGCAGAGAATCGCCGCCCAGCGCAAGACACCCCAGCTCTTTCTCCTCCACGGTGCGCCATCGACCACGTTCTTTCTGCTTCTACTACGACAATATGTCGACCGCATCCGCTGGTGCAAGGGCAACATCCTTCCCCTTGAAGGACCCATCATCGTTCAAACTTAGGACTTTGCTCAGGAAAGCGGACCTTCAAAACCAGGATCATTCCAATCAAGATCCGCAGACATGATTGATCGATCTGAGGATCTCCGCAGCACTATCCAAGAGAAAAGCAGAATCTCGAATAAGCTCTCTTGTTTCTTTCTCTTGTCGCTTTTACTACGCGCTTTGGAACGATCCGAGAAGATACTAGAAGCCAACTGTGCTAGTGCAAGATCCAGTATGACTGTAAGTCGGAGAGAGTGGGCAATAATTCCTCCTGCGTAGTTTTCAACCGACCTATGCACGTTGTATCATGCAACTTCTATGAAAGTCTGCTCCTGAACACAAAGGAGGTTTCTCGTATACAGAACCTTGAACATATTCATTTTTCAATTTGAATTTCTTATCCGGACTGTTCATTATGCTGTTGCGTCAAAAAAAACAAGACTTTTCAAGTGAATGCTTCGCTTGTCGCCAGTCGTGACGACCGTGCAAACAGGGTCTCCAGACTAAAGGTCAACACGTTTTGTCATCTCTCAGTAGGAATATGTCAACCGTGAGCTATGCGGTCACGGAAAAATACTTCTACTCAAAACTTGCAAGGTGTATTTTCTTCTGTAATGTCGCCAATCGTGACGACCGCAGAAACGGGATCGCAAAACTGAAAATGCATTTTTTTTCTCATAAATAGTGTCGCTTATCACTGGTAATTCGCTGGAGGTTCACGACACTCACAGCCTACCCCTTCACTGCAACTTGAATTGACTTGTACTAACTATGTTCTCAATCACGACAGGTTACAAGTCTTTTGCCTTGTAGCGTCCTTTACAGGTTACCCGAATGCCGTGCGGCCACTCTCCGTCATCCGGAAACGCTGCCTCGTCCGATTTTGAATAGATCTCTGCATCTTCAAGACAAAGCGGTCCCACAATATTGTCTCGCCATTTCACTTCGTCAAAAATCGCGAAGTGCAATGGACAGCTTTCTTGCTTCTTCTTGTCGCGCCACGTGGCCAGGCACAGGTACCAAGGCGGCAGCACCTTAGAACGAAACACCTCACGCTGGTGCATCTGCATAAATTCGACTGCCGCTTGTGCAAGGGTGCGTACACCATTAAGTCGACTGCTTCGGAAAGGGTCACCATCTCGTCCTCGCCACAGACGGCCCTCAGCCGCGCCTGAAGCTCCCCAAAATCCTGATCTTGTTGAACTTGATCTTTTACTTTATCTACTTGGATTAGTATTGTTACTTTCGGCTCGCAGAACCAGCGCGATTCTTCCCGGAAGCGGAAGTGTTGTCCGGTGGAGTCAAAAGGCTAAGCTTCTCAGAACGGTCGAGATGTCCTATCAAATGTGCTCCCTACCAAACGTAAATGATCTCCCATGCAGTTGAACCAGGTGCCATTCTCGGACTCCTCAATTTATCTTTTCTCGGTGATTATCCAAGGTGCGAGCGCACAGGCTGTTCTCCGTTATGGCCTTCAGTCGTCTCCATCTCACGTCTCCACAAAGGATAGCCATAGATTAGGGTCTTCTTGCACTCTGCAAATGTACCCCGAGGGAGCAAAGCTAAACCCTATGCGCCTTTTTTTTGTTACCTAGGTCTACAATTTCTCGCAGACTATTGCGCTTCCACCCCTGCGAGAAGCCTGAAGCTCAACAGCCAGGCACTTAAAAATACGCAAACGATTAAGCACAACGGCAATCGCTGTAGAAGAGCTACTGAGCACATGCCCCTTTTTTGTTACCTGGGTCTACTGTAATCGCCTCGGTTCGTCGAGGTCAGCTATTTGCCACTTGTTTTAATAATGTACAACTGGAAAAGAGAAAAAAACGGAGATCCTACCTTTAGCGAAAAAAAAAATGGGACCCTTAGTTCCAACATGACAAAGTCAATCAGAGTGAGCAGTGGCTCCTCACATGCGGACTTCGATTTGAGACGGAGCGACTGATGAACGTTGCTCCCTCTTAATTCTATCAAAGTTTGCTCATGATAAGCACTTTGAATCAGTCAGCCCGAACACCAAACCGCAATAACTAGCGACGCCGTGCGGTGTTCAAAAAACAGCTGCTCCTCGTAAATCTCGTTAATATTTCAGCTACTTAGACAGTGCTGCAACAACATCGTCCTTGATTTACAACAAGAAATAAGCTTTGCTCTGACTGTGTGGCTGACACGATATCATGCCAAAAATGTTGCCAGTTTGACGGAAATATAGTGTGTGTGTGCGTGCGTGCGCGAGAGGGAAGCCGGGGAGAAAGAGAGGGGATCGGGTGACAGATGACCACGACGTCACATTTCGTTCCTCTGGGATCCTGGGCTACGGTCGCCATCCACCATTCCTTCAAGACAACGCACGAGGCAGGATCAAGAACCTTATGTTCTAGCATGACATGGGAACAGCTGCTCCGCGGTAAGTATGGTCCATGTGTATTTGACGTGGGAACCGCTATGCTGGTCGTGTACTACGATCCGCGTGTAGGTTGACTATGTTCTCGAGAAGTTTGAAGCACTAAAAGTAAGGGGCAGATGAAACTAGAATCTGTTTAACTAGCTTTCGCTTCTGCGGACCCCGAGGTTGCCAACAGCTCTGCATCCAAAAGAGCGAGCATGATTTTGGTACTTGGGACATGCTTTAAAGGCTTGTAGGCACTGCGTAACCGCTGCACGCACATGCTTTGGAGTGCTAGCATTTTGTCACTGCCCTGATCCTTCTTGTGCAAATGCTGGTTGCACCAGAAGAGCCCCCACAAAGCTCGCAAACTCGTATCATCGATTTCGCACGCTAAGCAGAAGTACTTTCTCGCCAGGTCGAAATCCTGTCCGCATGAAAAGACTAGTTCTGCATATGAAAGGACGGTATACCTGTCGTGATCAGAAGTAAAAGAAATCGATAGTGCTTCGGCGTAGGAGAGGGAGAGAAAAAAAAAGGTTCATGCAATAGCGCTGAACTTCGGCTCAGCTTGCTAGGATGAAGAATCTCATTCCTGTTCAAAAACGAGAATTGCACAAGCGAGAAGATGTCGGAATGAAAAAAGTAAATTAAAATGAGTAAGTACATGTTTCGTGGATCCTGTATGAGAACGTCTTCTAGGCAGTAAGCGGCTTTCGACAACTGACCTTCTTGGATGTACATTTCCGTCAGCTCATGCCACACCTCTTTGTCCATCTGAAAAGTTTCCAGATGCTTAGTCGCTGCTTCTATTGCCTCTTGCGTCTTCCCCTGCGTCCGCTTTCTGTGTTTTGACGATAGGCAAAAAAATTGGAATCTATCTTCAATCATCTGCTCCCAAGCTACTCTCCTCTAAAGCTACTTCATTGCGAGAAAAAAAAACGAATAAGTAGAATGTTGACACCAGATAAAAACATCTATATTTTTCTCCAGAAAACGTCCAAACGGCGAAACAGTGAAAAAGGTGGACGTCATGTCGCGTCATGTTACCTCATGGCCCATCCTATCAAATGGTATTGAGGTCTTTTCAGTCGACTTGTACCTTCTCAGAAGAATATATTTATCAGTGTACATTGCTATAAGCCTCCGCCTAGCGAAGGTGCTCTCTGGACTCTCCTGGAGAATGTCCTTGTACACCTTGGTCGCTCCTGTAAAGTCCCCTATTGCTTCCTGGTGCAGCGCATAAAGCCGCTTTACTCTTTTACCTACAAGTTGTCGTCGATGAGGAAAATTTGTAATTCGTGTGGACAACGACAAAGTCAGGTATGAATGTCAAGAATGAATGAATCATGAGCGTCTGAGAAGAGACATCCGGAATGCTGAAAATCAATGACATCCCTTTACATTTTTAGCAAGAAGATGATGAAAAAGTAGGATATTGTATTATTACTCTTCGGGAATTTTTCCGTAAGCTTCTCAATGCAATATGCCGTCCACGCGTGCATCCCTAGATGCATTGCCGCCAGGCATACTTGCTCGTGCCTGAAAATGTGATTTATAGTAAGAGGATGATACAGGCTCACAGCAGTGTCTATAATCGATGCCTCGATTTGAAACAACTAAAAAAAGTATCACTGTTTCGTCAAACAAGAATGAAGCCCAAACTCTTCACAGCACCTAATCATAGTCCAATCGACAATCTCGTAGGCCCTAGAATTTAAGTGACGATTGTTCTTGTAAAAACATACTCCAATCACACCAAGAGCAATTATATATTTAGAGTAGGAAGTACACTGCCCAAACATCATCGCCTAATCGGCTTGCGTTCTTCGTAAGCACCACGGAGCCATGGATTGCCGCAACGTCCGGTTGAAAAATCCTATTCACCCGCATGTACTCTAAAATCGCTTTCGACTCATCCCATGAATGCGCTTTCTTACTGAGCACTCGCTCGTAATCCTCCGAATACTCGAGCCTCATCTTCGTTTTTATGTGTCTCCGAGGAGGTCTGAAGCTGCTGCGGTCTGCTTAAGGATGATGCTGACGAGGTCTCAAAAAATATAATGACTGCAATATCGCCTTCTAGCAAGCAAATGCGTAGTTTGGCGGCTACTTTCTGGTGCCGTTGATAGTTCGCGTTTTTCACAACCGAAGGGAAATATCAAGTTCTCTAAGATCTTGCTGGTCAAGCTGTAATCCACAAAGAGCAGCGACGCAGATGCGCGTAAAAAGCGTGACCCAGCGTCGATCCTAAACTCCTACTCTGTGTCCGACTTTCCACACACCCTTACTAGACCCAAAGCAGCCGGACTAGCATGGGGTATAAAAATATATTCTGACCGCTCATAAAAACCTGTCCACTTCGCGTGTCAAAGACGGATGCCTTCCTGCAGTCGTCTCCTAGCAAACGACGAGCGGCAGTTGCTGTCCCTGCTCACTACCCGCGTCGACGGTCGAATGAAATAGCTCGGAATGTGAACGCAGCACCTTCATCTTCTTTGATCTAGATACGAGAGGCGGGAATCATTCAAACGCGTAGAAATCATCCATGATCAACCTTAAATCTACTCAACACTAATTGAATTCCCCTCCGCTGTAATCATATTTGAAATTTAATGATAGTACGACAAAAAAGATGGGCATGTCATAATACCTCGTGTTACGTTTTGCCTAACGTTGTTGAGGCCTTTCAGCAACTTGAGAGCGTCGCAAAACGTAGTGCACCATCTTCACTGTGATACGAACAGTGCCAAAAAAGCTGATTCCTCATTCAGCAACATGATCACACATCTCATTCGCCAAGAGGATCATGAAGAGCCTATGGGCAGTCTTCAAGGAAAAATTCAAGCCCGTTCTTCTCACCAGTTCACAAGTGACCCTCTCTTCAGACCCATCATGTTCAAAGTCTTCATGATTCCGATTCTGAAGATCTTGTCGTGGCTCTAGGAAAACCCTCATCTGAGTCGCTGATCCTGAGCATAAGTTAACCCTCAACTTCTTCTTGTTGCGACTACGAAATGCAAAGATTCTAGGGAACGTGGATAGCAGCTGCATCCACACAGAGACAGGGTGTCAAGTAAAAGCGAGTACTTATACGCCAACACTTACAGAGTGCGCAGAAGCGAAGAAGCTTCTGTCTGTCCACCGACTACCTTTGTGGTACAAAATCGGCGGCAGGGACGAGGCCTATACTTGTAGAGTACGCGTCGTTTGGCTAAAAGTATGCGCCGAAAAATTGAATATCATAGCATGCGTGTCTTTTCTCTTTGAGATTGCCGCATAACTTGTGTACTTTTCATCAGCTGCTTTCTCTCAAAGCACCTCAGAACTGTGTTCGTTCTTACTCTACTTTTCTCCACCCGAGAGACAAAAGTCAGAGGATCCCACATGCATCTTCACATAGCTCAGGTTCTCTTAATGAGTTTGATGTTCTTTAGTGCCATCACCTGCACTTCCAAGCAGTAACGTAAAACTACTTGTTATATATATCAATCAAACTACCAAGTCCGTCGTACAGAGCAATGACTTAGGTTGCTGTGTTGAAAAGGACCCTACACAAGTTAGCTAAATCTTTCTTTTCGCAATCGTAGGAGAGTAAAATGTGATGAAAATGCCTCTAGGCATCTGGTCAAGCGCGCTGACCGAACCTCGATGAGGCGAAGGCCCATCTTGCCTCGCCTTACGCATGAGAAGTCTGCTTCTGGTAAGACCAGACTGACATGGCATTCGACTAGGATAGGACAGGAGTTGGCCCGCCGTCCGCAGTTTGGGCTGCATTCTCAGGCGAACGTCCGTAGCCTCAGAGGGACTACCAAACAGTAATTGTCATCAACTACAATACAGCAACTATCCTTCGACTACTTCCATAATAACCTAGTCAATGTCTTAACACTGTGAGTAGTTGAAGAGAGACGGTCCTCCATAAAGGTGGACAATGCGCCAAGTTGTAGGTAAGCCTTCGTCTATTGCTTCCCGTCTAAGACTTGCGTGTGGATAAGGTATCGATGCCAATACTCGTCAAAATAGCTTGCTATTTGTTTGTTGGGTTGGGTCACGTTCTGAAGCTAAAACAGACACTGATGTGATGTCGCTCCTTCGACGTATCGTGAGCTTTCTAAATTATACCTGGTAGTTATTGATATACCCTCCTCCGCGGGGCGCAGATCAGGGCCAATTTTACAAAAGATTGCGGGTAGAGCAGTGGATGCGGAGAAGACCTCGAGATAAATAGCTTACACGGCCCTCTCAAGCAAGAAGAAAATAATGCTTCATAAACAGCACTTTCTTCATGTCTTGAATGAAAACGACGAAGCCATCGCGCAGCCCTAGCAGCACTGCTGACAAAGTCTATTGTTTTTCTGCCTACCAACTACTCGTAACGAATCTTTTATCACATTGTAGAATTACAACAACCTCACGTACCATAAATCGTGTTGGTGAAAAGATCTTCAACATCCTGATTTTGGTGAAGAAGTCTCATTTTTACCACGCCACGACATACTTTTCTTGGGGTGTGCAACAGGTTCAAAGGTGTTGCTTCACTAGCTGCGCAAGCGGGATGCGAAAGAACAAATGTCGATCAATCTGCCTGTGATGTAGACGGAGGGTCCTCATCCGTAAAGATTTCGCGTTTGCCGCCTTCTCTAGTCACTTTTTGGTTGCTCGCAACTTCTGATCTCTTGACACACATAATCTTAACAGACAGTACGACGATGAAATTATTCGAAAACTATTATTATTGTTAGAGAACTACACCATTAGAAAGCAGAGATGAGTGGTCAAGAATCGCGATAAATATCTCGATAACTTTTATGCTAAAATCAAGGACCATAACTACTTTCATTCATTTAATAGAGTCTTCATCTTTATTGATTTACCTTTACCGACTGACAACTGACACCATCAATAACACAGAAATTCGGAATTAAACAAAACCAATGTGTAGGTATGCTGTCTTCACTACAACCTTAACTTTCATTCATCGCCAGTTTTTCTATGTCGAGTTAAAATATGTGCCCGAGTCTTTCTCCAGTATGTAATCCTCCGTATGTTGGTTGACCATTTTCACACCTCCTTTCTTTCTAATTTACAATTTTCATTCCATAGGAATTTAAGAATAACCTTCATGATTTCCCAGTAGACTACAACATATTCCCAATTTCTTTATTATCTTCATCGACCTTCTATTACCTGTGTTCATGCTGTGTTCTTCATATCTGCAGCCGCTTATGCCTCATCATGTACACCTTCCTGCGCATGCGACTTTACAAGAAAATGGTAGAACTAGCGTCATGATCCAATATATATTTCGATTTCCTTGCCTGCCACACGCCACACCCTGCTCGTCCGCAGCATGGCCAAGAAAATCCATTTTTCTATAACTAACGGGGTGACTGTGATACCTCTAGATAAAATAAAAGATTTGTTTCTGGAGCTGATGACGAAAAGTTAACAATTATTAGACTCGTTGGGTCGTAATTGAACAGAACAAGGACTACTTTCTCGTATGATACAGTTATCGAATTCAAGTAATCTACGCACTGCGATATACATCACAAAGCATACTTATGTAGAATTCGAAAAGATTCATTCACAAAAATAGTTCATCCACTTCCACCGTAACTTCTTTGAGATCATAAATACAACCTTCCGAAGATATCACATAAAGAAATCATAGTTCTCGTAGATCTACTTCCTAACGTCTCGATATTTTTCCGCCGCGCACTTCATTATTCTCCTGGTCCTCTATTTCTAAGAACAATAGTGTGGTTAAATTTTGTGTCCAAAGTCTAGAGAATGAGGTTAGATAGATTACTCTTCTTTCACCCAGGTTCCCTTTTTTCCCTTTCCTTTTCCGCCCTTGCCTTTTCCTTTGCCCTTGGCTGCCTTGCCCTTACCCTTGGCGCCCTTGCCTTTTCCCTTGCCCTTGGCACCCTTTCCGCCTTTTCCCTTGCCTTTCCCCTTCTTCGGGGCAGCAGCGGGGTCCTTCTTCTCTGACTCATCGCTGTTGGGCTCTCCGCTTTCTGCCGGCTTCGGTCCACGCGGACGACGTCCACGTCCCTTGCGCTTCGGCTTCTCATCGGTGGTGGCGCCGCTTGCCGGTTCCGCGCTACTCGCCGTGACTCCGCTTGCCATCTCCTCGGAGCTAGCTGAGGTGCGCTTGCCACGTCCCTTGCGCTTGCGCTGGCGGCTCTTCTTCTGTTGTGGTGTAGTAAAGACTAGATGAAACAATTTTCAACATACAGAAACTAGGAGCATGTCTTCAGTACTTCTCAAATCATCATTAGTGTACTACAAGATCCCGATGACACTCCTCAATCTTGAAAGAAGAACGAGCAGACACCACGACAGTCTTATTATCTACCTACTGAGCAGCAGTTTCAAGCTCGGAAAGCAAAACATCGTAATGATGAAATGCGTAGAGCAGAAGAACTAGAATCAGAATGTAGCAGAAGCAATCCCCATGCAGAAATGCAGACCTACAGGTGTCTCCTGTAAGGTGGTTTAGGGTTTGAAACAGTCACAAGTAAGTACGACTCCTGAACTAAGAGAAGTAAAAGTAAGCACGTCGTTCTCGCCCTTCTCCGCGTCGACTTCTTTGCGGTTCACCTGCGGAGAAGTTCCCTGCTTTTCTCGGCCTCCACGCTGCTTCTTCTTCGCAGCATCGTCAGCCTTGTCTTCTGCCTTCGCGATAGCAGCTTCCGAAGTAGCGCCACCTTTTCCGATGCCACGCTTGCGCGGACGACGCTTCTTCTCGCCATCTTCCTTCTCAGCGGTTTCTGTTGAGTTCTTTTATTCGAGAGTAGATTATTCATTATGATCGCTGTTTTGGTGAGGAAGTTGTAAAAAAAGAGGATAAAAACATGCTTAGCTCGAGAATTTACGACTCAGAATTACAATGGTATGGTTTGCTCAAAATTATCGTTGATTGCTGGGACAGTGACTGTCTCTCTAGTATATTATAACACTCGAAAAATTATAAATTGACAGTTATGATACCAGAGGTCGGCTCGGCAGCGGCACCCTTCTTTCCGCGCTTGCCACCGCGCTTTCCGCGTCCCTTGCGCTTATTTTCACCAGCGGCGGCGCCTTCGCCATCCATCGCATCGAGCGACTTCGGATCAACCGCCTCGTATTCCGTAGCGCTCACATTTTTACCCGTATTCACGGCTTTGATTTCCGGTACCTTCAACGAAGTAGTCTTCTTTTCCGCATCAGTGTCGGCTTCCTCGGTTCCCTTTTTCAACAGCGCCCAGCGGTCCAACTCCACGCGAATGAAGTTACTGCGCATCTTCACGACACAGTTCTGGAAACGCAAAATCTGTCAAAGAGCCATGTTGTTGTACTTGTCAAGTTGTTGTACGTGACAAGAAAAAGGAACAAAAGGACACATAGTAACATGCAATTTGAGAGTTTGGTTATTCCGCTCATCACGACACAATCGAAGGACTCTCTGACAGTGATATGATCAAGGAAACGAATCACAATATAATCCAGCTTTATTGTACTTAGAAGATCACAATATGCAAATCACATCAACTGAACTACTCGTAGTGTAGAAACGTGCAAATGTAAAATCATATATTACCTCACCCATCTTGACAACCTCCTCGACGCGCTTCTTGTGAAGAATGCACGTAACCGAAGCGGACTCGTCTCCGACTTGCACTTCGAACATTTCTTTCAGCTGTTGTGTGTAACGAGAGGAGCAGTAGATGTAGACTATTGATAGATCGGGTGTTGATGAAAAAACTGATGTTTGTATGCACCTACTCGAAAGTTATCTAATATGTGAGTTCTACTTCCTCAATATTTGAAGCTGGGATGTTGTTGGCTGCAAAGAAATATTGAAGTCGAAGTCCTATGCGTAAATATGTAGCCAAATAATCGCTGCATAATACCTTTTCGTGTTGCTTCGGTTCTCCGCAGACCTTCGCAAAGAAGTTGCATCGGCGGCTGTTGGGGTCGATTTCCTCGACCTTGATCCAGTTGGCGGGAGCTTTCTTGCCCTTTCCTTTTTTCGGGGCCGCGTCTTCCGCAGTCGAGGTGCTGGTCTCCTTCGTGACGCCGTCTTCCGAGTTTCCCTTTCCTCGGTTGCGACCACCGCGCTTGCGGCGCTTCTTGCCTTCACCGTCCTTGCCACCAGCCTCAGCGTCAGCAGCTTTCTCGGACTCCTTCTTCTGCGGGCGCGGCGGCGGCGGGTACTCGGTGCGGATGGCATCCTCGAACGCCTTAATTTGCTTCTGCACCTCTTTCCAGACCTCATTTGGCTTGCCCTCCCCGCTGATGCGAACCAACTTACCCTCTTTTTCGTACATGTCCACAATCGGTTCACATTCTTTTCTGTAAACATTAAAAAAATAAAGTTTCTCTTTCTACGACAGCAAATTTAACTTAATATGTCACAATTCACATATAAATGGCAGCAGGGACAAAGTCTAAGGAAAAAATAACAGGATCGCACTTCATCACTGCACCAACGATAAATGCTGATGACGTAGTATCTCCCAGTAAGGACGAAGCCAAGGACTTTTACACTCGCACTTGTATTCCATAGTTACTAGTCAGTCACGACAATCTGTAGATATTTTAATTCTTGTGACTAGCAGAAGTCAGAAGTACTTGTTCGTTTGCAGACGCTTCTTGATGCCTTCTTCGGTGTCATCAGTACGCTTCTCGTCGGACTTCTCAGCACGCTCCAGGACGCGCTTGACGCAGGTCTCATCGGAGACGGAGAAATACAGCACACCGCGAAGATCCGTCGAATCGCCGCAAACTTTCTTCCAGCCGCTCACGTTATCCTTATTACGCGGAAAACTGTTGTCGTTTAGGTGCAGATGAATTCCAGATGCTGGATAATGTTGCTGAATAAATACAAGAATGATGTTCATGTTGTAAAAATACGTACCTTGATGCCAGGAATTAGATGAATGATATAATTAACATTGTGTACTGGATTCATTACAGACGCTGTAATTTCTATGATGTTCCTTCGAAAATGATTGCTAGCTCTCAAATTTAGCTGTGAACAATACCCGTCGATGAGAAACTTGTTGGCACGACCCTTCTTGGCCTTAGATATCGCCTCCATCTTTGCTTTGATCAATTTGATCGTGATTTCAACCGGCACAATAGTTCCAGCCGAGATGTGTTTCTCGATAATTTCGGCCTCCTCCGACTCCGAATCGGTTCTGCGGCATTCACGGAGAACTGGATAAAAGCATATCATAATGTAGAAGCAGGGTGGGGGAGTCCTAACTAGAAAAGAGAAATGAAAAACCAAATCAGGACTCTGGTTGAAAAACAATGTTGGTAAGACTGTGTGGTTCGACATAGCACCATAGCATGGTCACTAGCAACATCTGTATTCAGATATACAAAATCGAAAAAAATTTGTTCACATACCATCTCCAGCCGAGATCGTGGCCCATCCGCGCAGTCGGCGGACGACGTTGGTGCACTGAGTTCCCTTACCCGCGCCAGGTCCCCCGAGGACGAAGACAACTTGCTGTTTGCGAGGCGGAGTAGCCTCCACAGCCGTACCGTTTGCTTGCTCAGCCGACATTTTTTTGACTTATATTTTACTTCGATACTACCCAAGCTACAATGGGTACCTACTATTCATATGTAGTATTATAAGTGATTATAAAATCGGGATACAGTTGTACAACTAGTATAATTCGTGACACAATTACTATCGACTTTATCAAGTAGTGACGATGAATCGTCTCCTTCTTATTATAGTAGTTGTAACTGATGGTACACAACCGATTAAATGTGGTTTCTCTTCTCGTGGGGAGAAAACGAAACTCAGTATCTTTATGTCTATGGGGAAACTCCTGTAATATTGTAAAGACTGCTATAGATATTCTACAAACAGTCTCCTTGGGGTATAAAATTTTGTCCGTCCTTAGTCCACTTGTTCAAAACTTTTTATAACAGGTTTGTTGATACAACAACTCAATTCTTCGTTTTCTTGTTAAATCTGGAGACACTGAAAACCTTTGTTCAAGAATCTACGACAGATTCATATTTCTATTGAGAAGAAGATATTGTAGTTGTAGTATTTATTTTTATGTCGATAATATTACAACAGGTTCAATCACTACACAAGATGAAGTAGTCACTCAGTGTTGCTATAATTGAGCTGCGACAGTTATACTCTGCTGTGGTATCACAGGACGAATCCTCCCACAAAGATACTCTGACGACAACTAAATCAGCGGCGAAAAACTTGTTGTTCTGACTGTTAGATACAGTCTTTTTTACTCTTAGATGTTTTTGTTTTTAGTGGCGAATTTTTTCCGTGTTAGGCGGTTGAAATATAGCTGATACAGCTAGTCTAGCGCAATCGGTTAAAAAGGTTCAAAGCAGCTTTTCTGAATTAATCAAAAAAAACTCGGAAGCTTCACCCTTAGTAATCGACTTTTTCAAACGAGAGCCCACGGGCCGCGAGTAGTTGCCTGCTATATTGAGATTTTTGCGAAGATATATTTTGGTCGAAGAAGATATGCATTTCTGTACTCATGATTTTTGTCAAAGAATCTTCGCATGAGCAGTAAGACTGCCAGTCAGTGCGTGTTTGCATTAATATCACCATGATCGTCATCAACTATTCGCTATCAACTCCTTTTTTCACGTTTATCTTAACATGCTCGTGTTCAAATTTGATTTGTGTCACTTCCAGCATAGAAGGATCCACGTTGCGGCAAAAAATTTGGATTTTCGAATGCCTTGCAAGATTTGCTGGTTTCTGGCTGCATGCAACAAGAGGCAGCTTCTCGTTTCCTCGTTTTTACTCAGATGGAAGTCACTTTTGCAAGAAGCCAAAAATAAAAGGAACACGCACCATCGACCTTCTCTTTTGTCATTCCTTGGATCCTCTGACGCGAACACTCTCTCATCATTTCCATTTTCACGAGGCCATTTTCACAAGTGCCTCGTGAATGTTGCGTAACTTCAGGGTCAGACCCTTGCACAAACAACCGGAGCCGCAGAAGTAGCATTATGCACATCTACAAACATCATGTCTTCTTGGAGGATCATGTACGAAATTCGGGGTGCTTTCCTTGACACTCGTCAAAGTCTTGACACTTCTCATCGCAGCGAAGGTCGCAAAATCTAAACACAAACACAGACATTGCATGTAGCGAGGACTATGTCAATCAAATTCATCATGCCGCATTCTGACTTTTTTATGGACTGTTCCGTGTCTCATGTTCAATTGGGAAAGGCTAGTAAGACCATAACGGGGTGGCTCGATACTTCTTGTACTCTAATCATGACTATGCAAGAATACGGACACTTGTGATTGGAAAACTTCGTTTTTCATATGACATGGATATTTGATGTGATGTAAACGGAATAGAATTATGCGATAGACGTGCAACAAATCAATTACAGAGATGCCATATTGACTACATAAATAATACCAGAATCCAGTAGGGCGCGATATTACTATTAGACAGATGAAATGCAGAGGAACGCTTCAAGCCGTGCCAGTACTAGACAAATACTAAAAGGCTAAATAAAATTTCAACAATTTGTTTCCCCACAAACCTCCAAACCACAAACACCGGAACCAAAAACACCTGAACCAAAAGCACTTGAACCAAAGAGACTGGAACCCAAAAGACTGGAGCCAAAGGCCCCCGGACCAAAAAAGCCTGAACCTCCGAACCTCCGCCCTCCGAACCTCCAAACTCATACCCATGAACCCAGGGACATGGCATAAGACTGTGCGCTTTGGCTTATAAATGCCGCGGCGCCTCTGCTCCGACTCCTCTCCCGCGGATAGGCTCCGCCAGGTGGGCATCATGATCAGGCTGAAGAGGAGCGGAGGAGGCGCGTACTGACGGGGGAAGTGCTTCAAGGAGGTGGAGGGATCTAGTGAAGGGAGAGCTGTCGGGCGCTTAATATTGCAGAATGAGAGACGAAGTAAGTTCTTAGACCGGTCGAAATGGCTGCCGATCGCGATTCTTCGAACCCCCATGATACTTATCGAGTTGAATTAGTGCTCAAGCCTAATCCATCTTGGGATTCATCTCGGACCTGTTCCCCTTACGGGACAGCTTCGAGATGCTTCTGGAGAAGGATTAGGGGAAGCTTTAATTCAACCACGTCTTGCTGCCACGCTTGGCGTTGACTTTCCTGCACCAAGTCTTCTATCCACGGCACTGGCACTTCTCGTCCCGTCTGAGTGAGAAACACCTTGCGCACGTCATTTTTATCCGTTTTCTGCAAAGCGATTTCCCGCTTCCGGTCGAACCCGAAGGTTTGCCAGTCCTTCTCCGCAATAGGTTTCGCTTCTTGGCGCAAGCAGGCAGAGTAATCTGCGGTACCCTGCGCCTCTGGTCCAGTGTTCTCACAAATGTTAGAAATAGACAGAGTGATGTTTTTAGTAGCTGGTTCTAATAAAAAAAATGCCCAAAAAGTAGAATTCAAAAAATTCTATGAAAATTTCTCATGTCTAAACAAACTCAATTTTCTCTGAAAACAAGCTCCGCTCTTCCAGCGTGATGAACGTGGAAGGTCATGTCCGTCTGACTGCGTTAATTCAGTATGCGTCCTTAACAGAACCATGCGGGATACGAAGTACGCCGCGTCCTCGCAGAAGTCGGTCACGCGTGATATTATTGCCTTTCTGTTCCTGCGCCCCCACCTCTTCGCGACTGCGCAATGCAGCGCGAAGCGCACCGCACCCGAGTGTTGTCTTCTTCCTACCTCCCGGTCCCGTTCCAGATGCGCGCGCAGCCGTTCGATTTCGGTGGTAGTTTTCCACCTCCTCACTGGGCTGTAAGAGGGAGTTCACTTCCATTAGGTCTCGTCTTACCTCCCGGAAGTCTTGCAGCAAGGGCCTCCCCTGTCTCGCACTCGTGTCGACACCAGTCGTGAGGATTACGAACTGCGCAGAGCCTTCCTGAGCCTCCTGCGGCAACAGCTGCTGGACACTCAGAGCCGGCTCGATTTCCGTTGTATTTCGAGGGCCACGCTCACGGCCTTGGAGATCACGAGCCTGAAGCAAATCCCGAATGCTTCCGTTCGAGTCCGTGCTTCCTGCTTTGTGTAGCTTACCATTCGGCGTCTTGCTATTTGACTTGTTTAAACTTGTATTGCTGCCGATGCGCACTGGGTGCCCTCCACGACTTCGCTCCCACTCCTCTTCTTCCTTGCTTTTCGACTTTTTGAGAGGACCATCACCCTTCTTGCAGTTCTTGGACGCACCAGGATCCGCGTCAGCCGAGCCGAGGCTTGTCAATGACGACGTTTTGCTGTCCTTCCTTTGCGTTTGGAGCATTTTGCTAAGAACTGATGCGTTCTCCGGTTTGGATGCGTCATCTTTAAGGGTGACTGAATCCGCTGATATCTTGACCTTCCGACCTCTACCTTGCTCGTCAATCGTGGAGTCGCCTTTTCTTGTTAGAGCTATCGATCCCAGATCGATGAATAACCTCGTCATGCTGCGTCCCTATAGGAGCTTTTGTGACCTTGAAAGGCGTCCTTGAGGGATCTGCTAAAGTACAGAGGTGGATTCGAAGTGCTCCTTTGCCATAATTTTGAATGGTGATGGCTGCTGTGTCTGCTCGAGCTCACACTGCCTTTTATTGACGTACTTCCGCGCTTCGATCGTTTCTGGCTACCCGTCCCAGCTGCTGCATCATCCGATGATCCAGACTCGTCTGGCAGGGCTACTTCGTCATGGCTGTGCTTCCTTTTGTGTTGCTCTCGCTTGTGCGACCCGCTTTTCTTCATAGAAGAGGAAGAAGGCTTCATCGAAGATGAAGAAGGGTTCATAGAAGAGGCAGAAGAGTTCATAGAAGAGGAAGAAGGGTTCATAGAAGAAGACTTCCTAGAAGATGAGGCTGCTGGCTGTCCCTCTGAATCCTCCACGTCAGAAACTTCTTCTCCATCCTCATAGGCTTCGTTCCCTAGCTGCGCGCCTTGTTTTCCTTCCCGTTTGAATGCGTTGGCCTTTGAGGTAGAAGAGTTAGACTCTTTTTTCGCACTACGTGTAGATTCTTGGTCCGCTGCGAAAGACGCGTGTCTCTCGCCCCGCGTGTATCCTTGATGAAGGTCGCCCCCGCGTTGAGATGAAGATCGGGACTTTTCAGCATCACCATGATCCGAACCTGAGAGAGACTTTCCTGAGAGAGACTTTCGAGATTTTTTCTCGAGCGGCCGTCGCCTTGGACCTCTCTCTGCGTCGCCTTCGTAGTCACTACCAGATGCCGAAGCGCTCTGCTCGTGATCTTGGTCCTCTCGCTCTCCACCAGTCTTTTCACCATGGCGTTTCTTTTTGTTTTTTTGGGCTTTTTTGTCGTGGCCATGATGCGACCCCTTGTCACGTTTCTTTCTTCCTTTTTCGCCCCTCGGAGAAGGCAAAGGCGCTTCGACCGTGTTCGCTGACGCACGGCTTTGACGCGACTTCGGACGGTCTTCGGCAAACCCACGTTGTTCCTCCTTCTTCTTCTTCTCGCTCTGCCGACCCTCGTGATCGCCTTCAGCCTCGTCGTCATGTCTCCTTTTTTTGCGGTCCTTCTTTTTGCTCCCTGATTTGCGCTTTCCGACTTCACTGGCTACCTCCTCTGCTGCTGAGCTGGATTCACTGGGCGCATGCTCATCGTCACCGCCTCTATGCCTGTCGCGATGACCTTTCTTACGCTCCGATCGTAAAGGCGATCCACCGTCTGCATCGTCATGCCGATCGCTCTTGATATCGTCCTCACCACCAGATCGCTTTTCTCGTCTAGAGGAGCGCAGCTCCTCGTCAGCATCTTTCGATCGCTTCGATCGACGTTCTCCGGTACCTGAAACGCTCGGCCGCCCACTAGCTCGTGCTGATTTCATTTGGCTAACCTGTTCTTCCTCATCTTCCTTACTTAGTGGCACCACAGGAGGTTCGACGTCCATGTGGAGCCCTAGCTCCTCCTGGGCTTTCTTGTTGTGCAACTTCACGGAGGCCTGCATTTCTGCGGTCGCTGGCTTCGTTACTCCAGCGTCCTCGTCGTCCTCTAGGATAGACTCATCGAAATCTATGTCAAGCGATAACTCCCTGGAAAGCGCTTTTGCTTCATCCAACTCTAGTCTCTTCAGCGCCTCCTCAAACATCCGGTGTTCGTCGGTCCCGAGCGCAGCACGGTCGGCCTCCGACATCTCGCGGATCTTCGCTGCAACTGCCCGCGCCTCATTTTTTTGTTTTTCACTACGCGTCATCTTCATAAGTGAGAACGATGGATTCTAAAAACAGACCTGAATAAAGCTTGATTGCAAAACAAAAGACCGCTTCTTGCTTAGATCGACTATCTATTCTCGTCCATAGTAATTCGAAAAAAGTTGCATAATGTTTACCACAACATCTACTACATGGAGGAGAAAAAAACTACAGATTACGAGAAGGTCGTAGCACAAATAGGATTTACACTACCACGGCTCGTTCCGTACTTCTCTGAGCCGATGCAGCTGTGAATGCGCGTGACTTCTGCATCGCGACCACTGATTTTAGCCTGTCCAACACAGCTCCTTCTCTAGGGGCTTCTGTGGCTTCCGCCGGTCGCTCCTTAGCGCCATAATCGCCCCAGACACGAAAGATCGCGCTGCGAGCTTCGTCCGTCGCTGACCTTTTACCACGACGCCTCGTTGTTGGCGAAAATGGACTGCGGGTTTCTGACATCGAAAATGACGGCGAGACTCCACCTGGGGCAGATTTCACTATACTCTGCTCCTCATCTGAGTCTCCTTCCCCATGCTCCCAATCGGTCGCCGGTGGCACGACGCCGTCAGCTTCCAGGCGTTTCAGAATGTCCTTCCGCGCTCCGCGAATCGTACGCTCCAACCGCAACTGTGCGTGCTCTGCACTGATCTGTCCTGCGATTGTCTCCAGGAAGTCTCCTATCACCTGCTTTCCGACCGAGCGATCGTTCACAACCCCCTTGCCGCCCAGCCGCATCTTTAAAGCCTTGCACAACGACTCGACGACCCGCACACGCTTTGCTTCCAGCTGCTGTCGCGTTGCGCGCGCCTCCGGGCTCTCGTAGCGTTCCCATACGCTATCTGGTTTTCCCACGTAGCCGATGGGCGACTCGGCGAGGACTTCAACGCCTGGCTGCAGTGCGAGCAAGAGGTCCGCGGGATCGGAGGGCGGTTCAAAGAAGCCGTGATCTGTGGGCATCTTTGGGGCTGCGCGCTTGCCGCGACGCACCATCGTTGCCGCAACTTTCGCCCAAGCTTTAGTCGGGGGAGCTTTCTTCCACGGACGTCGATCTGTAGCTATCCCTGAACGTAACTTCCAGGAGGTTCCACCCGCTTTGCTCCGAAGCTGTGCGAAGAACGATTGATCATCGTGATATTGATAGCCAGGAGTCTGCCTCTGCGGACTGAAAGTCGGTGCTTCGTCCCGCGCCCCATCTTGCTGGAGTTCCGCCAGAAGCGCTGTTTCTGGTCCCTTTGCTTTGCTATGCTGTAGAGAAAGCGCTTGCAAGTCTGGACGATAGATCCAATGGGACTTCCCAGGAAGGGGAGGTGAAGCACCGACCTCGAGTTGCTTCGTTGGGTAAGGCGAAAAATCTACACCACCCATTAGCAGTGATGGTGAGGCAGCGTTCACTGTGACAGTTGAACCAACAGCAGCAACGATGTCTGCAACGCATTGCGACGCCAAAGGAGCTTTGTCGGAACCGACGTTTGAGTTTTTTTCTGATGCAGCCGATTTTTGCCTGCTCCCATCTTCGAGTTCGCTTTCGTCCTCTAGGCCTTCATCATTGTAGTAAGCAAATGCCTGTGGCGCCGGGATCGCATCTGGTTTAGTGTCTGCTTCGCTGATGCTGTCGCTCGGAATGTCCAGAAGGACTTTTAAAGCCGCTTCGCCTCCTTCGCACACAGCGCGAAAGGGTCTCGAGTCGGTTGGTATCGCGGCAAGCAGCTTGCTTTCTCCTTCCGCACGTTCGGCAGCTGTCAACTGCGGCTTCGCTGGGACGACTTGTTCAGCAGTTCCTGCTGCCTGTGCCGTCGTTGCGCCGCCTTCAGCAGCTGCTGCACTGTTCCTTACACCATCATCTACAACAGCCGGCTTTGTTTCTCGTGAATACTCGTTTTCCGGTGCGTTCTGCGAATCTTCTCTCGTACTAACGGCTTCTGTCGAGTGGTCCATCTTCTGCCACAGTCGATTTATTCGAGCCGCCTCCTCCTCGACGCGCTCTGCGTAGCGCTGAAGCCCCTTCTTGGCCTGAAGTTCGCGCGCACGTCGCACATTTGTTCTCTTAGAGGCCCGAAAATGCTCCCACTGGGCACGCGCACGCTGCGCAGCTGCATTGTCGCTTAGCGCGACGCGCGGATTGACTAAACGGAGGGGAACAGTCGGCCACGCATCTCTTGCTCCGTAATGGTCCACGGTCACTTGCTGCGCCGGGCACCAAACAGGCCTCTTTTCCTGCGTCTGCCTCCTCGTGGCAGAGGTGGTGGAGCCCTTAACACTAGTTCTTGCACCACCTCCTATAGAGGATGTTGTGCCAGAAGCTGTCTGTTTTCCTATGGCGCTAGTGCCTGTTGGTGTCGTTTTCGCACTACGAGAAGACGACAGACTCGAAGGAGGCCGGCCCCCGCGTTGGCGCAAATTTTCAGAACGGTCCAGTTTCCGTTCCACCTCTGCCCGAATTTGCGCGCGTTCCTCGTCCGTTAAAATCAGTGCCGCAGAAAGAGTATCTGCTGATGATTTTCCATAATTCCGCCGCGTGCTACCGCCAGCTTGAGTGTCAGCACTCTCCTTGTTCAGAGCAGACGGGAGAAGCAGGGCTTCGAACTTTTCCTGTGCCCGCATCTGCACAGGAGAGGCGCTTTGTCCCTCTGCGGCTACCGCGGGATGCAGCTGCGCAAGGTTCTTCCTTGAAGTCTCCAGCACTTCAAGAGCCCGCATGAGCATGTCCCGGTGCTTCTGCGCTGCTTCCGCGAGTTCATCCCGTCCTCCCAGAAACTCGCCCGCAGTCATTGCGTGGCCTGCGCCGTCCATGCCTGCGAAGTGGAGAGCAGACCCTGCTGAAGGAACGCTTGCACCGCGAAGGTGCGCTGCTGCCGCCCCGTAGTCTGTGTCCTTAACCTGCTGCTGAGCTGTCATAATCTTTGAAGCACGCTCCAGCGTGGCATGGTGCTTCTCCACCTCGTCCAAAAGAGAGCTTAGTGCCGCAGCGCTCGTCTCTAGCTCCAATCGAACAGCGCTTGGTGCCCCGCCTTGGGTTCGCCAAGCATCGTGCGAGCCTTTTTGCCTCTCCTGAATCAGATCCCAGTGTCCGTCGTGGTCTACAATAGTTCGAATAGCCTGCGACCGGACGTCCCCGCTGCTGGGATCCTTCCCTACCGCGCCACCGTCTTCAAGATCCTCCTCGACTTGCTGGTCTTGTTCATCGTCCTGGATGCTTTTCAGACGCTGAAGAGACTTTTTAGCAGAATTCAACGAGCGCCGAACCGGAACGCCGCCTTTGCTCCGCCAAGCTTCATGTGATTGCTTCTGCCGCTGCTGGATCAAGTTCCAGTGCCCATCGTGGTCATGGGTGATGCGGATCGCTTGTGAGCGGACATCGGTACCCAATTTGTCATCATCCTCAATCTCCACGACCATGCTTTCCCGCTTGCTGCGCCGCGTTTCTCCTCCACCACTAGACCTTCTAGGAATCTCCGCATCGGCATCCTCGTTCTTCTGGTAGTAGTCGTCAACCTCACTGAGAATGTTTTCACCGGGCAACGACATCCTCAAAAACTCACGGACCCGAAGATGGAGGCAATCTTATCTTGTCATCGACATCTGTAGAATCAACACAACTGTCTTGTTTACGATCATTCTCACAAATTACTCAATAGACACGCTTAAATCGAGAACAATAGTACTAGGCTCTAATTTCGAACTTCCTTTACCTATCGTCGTGGAGGAAATAAAACGAGGAATATTCCCCGTCTATTCAGACGACAAGGATTCAAGTGCTAGTGTGAAAACAATGCGACGCAGAATACACGTCACAAGGACGCTACATTCGCATCTCTTCGTTGAGGGAACTCTATGATAGGAGACAGAAGCAACATCTCTCGTAGAAAAGGACAGACCGAAAAAGTATACAGAAAAAAGATTGCAAAAGGTAGCCAACCGATCCATGTTGCATAAAGACAACCGAAATCTAGAAAGGACCGATTATTTTTCGTAAGGGCAACCATGTGCTTCTTACTGCCTCGGCGAACTCGCAGAATGAAGACCGACATCTACTTTTGTCAGTTCCTGTTCTAGAGTTTTAAGAAGACAGTGACTGAGCTACAACTTCTCCGAAGTGTTGCTGACCGCCGAGATCTACTCCGGAGTGGAACCGAGGATAGCACTTCTAAAATCGCGAACACTCTAACGTGCTGCGCTCCGAAGAGATATCGCCGTCGAGTCCTCAGATGCTCCTACGATGATTTTCAAATCCAGTTTTTCCCAGCTTGTGAATATATCCGATGCGTTGTTTCCAATGAGTATAGGTACATTAAGTAGTATGCGACCTGTTGCCGTTGGATAGAAAGAATCTCGTCACTTGTGTGCGTTGGCAAGCTATACTCCCAGAACCACGAAAGACTCTAAGTAACACAAGATAAATTGTTTGCCGAAGTGGCATGAACATGATCATGATTCACGTACAGAAGTATTCAGTCTAACTCAACGTTGACAAGATAAATCAGTCATTGTCCTTTATTTCTGCAAGTACATACAAGAATTCAAGACTATTAGTTAGATGCAAATATTCGACAGAGTCGTGACGGCTATCTGATACAAACCTATGCAAATCTGTACATTCATATACCCCATACCATTCATAGATCGAATATGGAGATAATAAAACCGTTAGTAAGATTAAGACTTCGTAATGCATGTGGGGAGAACAAGAAACAAATATCTATTTACTCCCCCTTTCCTGGTTCGTCCGCTGGCTTCGGCCTACTTTTCGCCACTACGACCCTGTTTACATGCGCTCCTTTTGGAACTGCGGATGTTCCAAAAGCGGCATGACTTTTTGCCTTGCCGTGCACAGCGGGTGAAGCAGAGGCGGCTGACTCCTCTCCCGACGCGCTGCCACGAGGTGATGCGGACACTTGCAATGCGCGCGGTGACGCGGCTGGGCTACGGCTCTGTGATCTTGATCTTGGCCGGGTCATCTGCACGACGGACACTTTCTTTGGCATGCCGCTGCGCCGTGGACGCCCCATAACCTTTACGGAGGAAACACGCGAAGACGTTCTCGCCTGTGTTGTGAGCGTCTTTCCCGATACTGTTTCCGAAGATGGTGGATCCTCTACTTTTTGAACAGAGATGGTAGTTGCCGTTGCCTCTACCTCCGGCTCAGCCATTCCTTCCTTGCCGTTGCTGGGAGGTTCATCTTCAACAGCATCGGGCGCAGAAGCCTGTCCTTGCTGTGTGTCCTCCTCCTCTGCGTCGGCATCTAGCTTTTCGTCCTGCTCGTCTGCGTTCGCCGATGTAGGTGCAGCCTCAGTAAGAGTGTCGGCTGCGTCGTCTAGCGTTTCTTCCTCGGCTTTCTCCTCAATAATTTCATCACTTTGTGTTTTTGCGCCTGTGAGGTTCATTGCTTCCGCCATCTTTCGTTCAAATTCCGCGTCCTCCAAATCGAGTGAATCCGCCGTTGGACTTCGTGGTGCGTCCGCGGTTTCTTGCTGTTCCCCCGCGTCGCCACCGATCGCAGCTCCAATGTCTTCGTCACGAGCTCCGGTTGCTTCAGCCTCCGCGGGATCTGAGTCTTCGGCAGCCGCGTCATTTAGAGCCACGTCTTGTTTAGGCGCGGTGTCCTCGTCAGCCGCAAGTGGATCTTGGGCTTCTTCCTCTACAGCATCTTCACGATTGCCTTCCGCGGCCGCGTCAACGGCCTCTTGTGGATCTAGCTTCAAACTAGGCACCCCTACGCGCGATGCTGAGACCCGCTGCCGAACACTCTGTCGTGCCTCTGCGCGAATCTCCTCAAGACTCTTACGTGGTCCTTTCGGAGAGGGCAGTGGGTGATCGTCGTCACTGTTCCCCTCGCCATCTGCGGTGTCGTCAGGCGTAACAAGAGCTACACTTCTTGACGAGGGTCGAGCGACCGGTTCCTCCGACACATCGGCGGCGCCCTCGCCGGTCGTGGCTGCGGCAGCTTCGTCTGCTAAAGTGGAGGTTCCTGTTGGCGCTTCACTCTCATCTACTCGCAGTTCTTCCTTTGGTGCGGGCTCGTGCGCTGATTCTCCACCGCTTTGCGCTACTTGCATACGCTGTTCCCACTCAGTCTCAAGTCGCAGCTTCTGCTCTTCCTCCTCCCGCTTCTTCTTGGCTGCCGCCTCGGCCTCCCGGCGATCGCGCTCGACCATTTCGTCCATCAACTGCCCAAAGTTCGACTCGTCGCGCAGTGCACCTCTATACTTGTTGGCCTGTGCAGCTAACGCTGCTTTCTCCGCAATCCTCGTGGCAGACTTTCGCGAGATGTGCGCCTTCGGTTCCGCGCGAGCCTCCATGCGCTTCACGGTTTCGGCGGTCACGCGCATCTCATCAGCGAGTCGTGCCCCGCCCTTCGTCCTTTCCGCCAGACGCGAAGTGGCCGTGGGTGGAGCCTTAGCCATATGCGGCACAGACCTCCGCTTTGCAGGCGCTTCCGCAGGCAACCCAGTCGGCTTTTGCGAAACCCTGCTCTTTCGCTCGCTTGTGCCATCGATATCTACTTCCATACCTGACATCATCGCCGCAGCCCCCTCACCTTCGCCCCCACGCATGCGTGGTGTGTCGGAGTGCTGCACCTCGGAAACTTCACTATTAAAGTTCCCGCCTTTTTGGCCATCTTCAGCTTGTTCACCGTCTGCGCCCTGCGCCACGGGGTCGCCTGGCTCCTCGCTCGGGGAAGCATCGCCCTCCTCATGTTTGGACGCAGCCTCAGCTGTATCGGCGGCCTCACCTGCATCAGCAGCATCTATATCACCTGGTGCCTGCTCCTTTACCTCTGCTGCAGCCTCACTTGCTTCTGCCGCACGCTCGTCTTCCTTTACGGCGGCTGCCTCCTCCTTTTTCAATGATGCGCGGGCCTTTGCCTTGGCTGCGGAGGGCCGAGCACCTGCTTTCGCGCCTGCCTTGCTCTGACGCGCATTGACGCGAAAGCCGTCCAAAGGCCGAACCGGTGCTGCTTTGGATGCTCCTACTTTGGGGGACGGCGCTTTTGAGACAGTAGGCCTTTTGGTCTCCCGTTTCGCGGGTTGTGGTTTTTCCTCTTCGCTTTCGGACGGAGATGTGCTCGGCCCCATGTCGTTCTCTTCTGGTTCGGATGAGGATTCTCCAGGCTCTCCCAGCGCGGAGTGCATACGCTCAATCTTGCGCAGCGCTTTCTTATCCCAGACTCCTGGTGCGGATTCGTCCGCCGTGCGCAGCATGGCACGAACACGGTGACGCATCTGCTTCAGGTAGTCGGGCCCCTCCTGCGGCTTTTCCGGAACGCGGCGTGAAGATTGCGCAGATTCGCTGTCCGAGTCCTCAGAGTCTTCTTCTTCTTCTTCCTCGTCTTTGACGTGTTTAGCGGTCCCGCCCAGCGGCTTGCTGTGCTGCATCATGTACTGCAACTCCACCGCGTCGCCAGGATGGAGCAGAGCTAAAGCGTCTGGGTGCATTACTCCCGCTTTCAGAACCTCCGAAACGAGAGGAGGAGAATGTGTTTGCAGCGCCTGTCTCATCTGCCGCAACTCACGTGGTGGAAGCGCGCGAAGATCTGCAAGCGGAGGAAAGACACCCGGAGACTTCTTCATGACCGCGCCCGCTTGGGCCGCCACGGGCGACTTAGATCTCGCAGCGTCGCTCGTTGGGCTTCTCGCAGTAGTAGTCTCGCCTCCTAGAATGCCAGGTCTACCAGTGCACGTACCGAGGCGCTGCGATATGATGTCAGCCTGAAGCCAATCCTCCATCATTGACGGCATGATGAGAGGCCGAGCCGCCAGCCGCAACCACTGACTGTCAAGCAACTTTTTAAAAGCTTCTGAAGACTTTTCCTGGAGTTCCACTTTACGTTTCAGTCTTGCGCTGATTTTCCGCATCTCTTGCAGGCTCTCTGGCGGAACGGGTCCCTCAAAATATGGATTCTCCAGTATTGGAATATAGTCTTCTTCGGGAACCCGCACGCCTTCATCGACATCAGCTGTACTAGCATCTTTCATCGCGTTTGCCCTGTCGCCACCTCCAATCTCGGCAGACCCTTTGTTCAGCTTCCCACCGTTGCGACTCTGCTCCGCAATACTAGTTGCACCTTGCACTTCAGCCAGGGTCGACGCCAGCACAGCCTCGGATCCAACGGGTCGCTTGAAGCCGTGCTGTTCGTAGACAAGCGTTATAGGGTCAGACGCAGTCCAGAATGATTCCACGTGGTAGGGATTCGATTTCATCGCCTGATCTTCGACCAGCTTGAAGCGCCTGATCCTCTTACGTTTCATCTTGGCTTCTTCGGAAGCGTCCTTTTTCGGCGGGTTGGACCTTGGGGACGGCGCAGAATTGGCGGTCTTCGAAGAAGGACCGAAACCGTTTTGCTCACTCAGTGCTACCTCGCTGACGGCCCCTCCCGTTCCGTGATCAGCGTCAGAAATGTCGCTAGATGCCACCGCCGGTTGGTTTTGACGTGCGGCCGCTTCACCGGGGGAACGCGGGTCACCCTTTCGTGCTATCATATTTTTCAACAACGCAGCCTCACCGCGGGGCGGACGCAGCGAGGGTCGGACGGGAACAGGACGATCGGGCCGAACAGCAACAGGACGAGACGGTCTCGTCTTCGGTTTTGCCCCTGTATCCGGCGGGTAAAAGGCGAATCTACGACTCTCATCTATTTTTTCTGCACACTCTCGATTCCTGTCATCGCAGTCTCGGCCCTCCAACTCTGTACTCACAGTCGCACTCACAGCATCGTCTTCGAGGAGCTCCTCCTCTGCAGATGCAGCAACTTCATCCTCGTCGTCGAAGAGACTGAACAGGTGCGCAAAATCAGGGATAATCAAGTCTAGAATGGACTCCTCCTCGTCATCCGACTGTTCCTCGTCCTCGCCTTCAGAAGTGTAAAAAAGGATCGACGCGCGGGGCTCGTTTGCACGGATGTCGTTCATCCCATCGGAATCAAAAATTCTGGACGGCATACCAAAATCATCGCCGATGGTGCCTGTAGACTCGCGCACTTGTCCTCCGCTCACAATCGCGTCGCTGTCTCCGCCCCCGCCGTGCATCATGTCGCTCAGACCCGGCATTTCGCCTACAAACTCGACAAACTCGTCCGGAGTGTTCCACGCGGACTGCCGCAACATGCCTGAAAATCCTGAGGAGCGAGAGAGACGGGTAAAGCGATGCTCCATTCTGGTAGTGCGCAGCCAATCACTACAATATTCGTAGAACGCCACTGTGAGCGCATCCAAGTCGTCCATCGACCCGAATCGTTTCTGGATCTCCTTCAGCACTGACGCAAACACCCGATGTCGTGTGGACGTGATCGCCTCCCGCGCCATATCGACTGCCATGTGCGGATAAACTTCCCAGAAAATCTGTGATTTTGTAATTACATCAAAATAAGAATAAAATGTTGTCCTCCAGTTGTTCACGACTACGACAAAATGACTTTTTATGATATTACCATCACCACGGAAGATCCATGAGGATTCGACCCTTCTTGTTAAGCTACTACAAGTACAACATGACATCTAAAGGAAACAGGAAACGCTCTTTCCGAAAAATCTACGCTCATGTTCGTTATCAGGTAAGTATATGTTAGGGTGAAAGCGCTCTCATTACCATGCGGTGCGGAGTGAAAATCGGTCCCGGGTTTTCCGTCAAAGGCGATTGCTGCGGATAGGTTACCGTGTCAGGCGCTGCCCAGAAATAATCACCGTTTTGCCGCGCCAGGTGGCCCATGCCCTGTAAAGAAAACGGTTTAGATTATGTTGGACGAAGGAAGGGAGTCAGACGAGGAAAAATGAACCGGCTATTTAGGTTCTGCAGTACGACCACATAACGATAAACCTTAGAAGATGAAAACAGTGTCAGCCACATTCTTTGAATGAAAAAGAAACAAATAAACAGTCTCTTTTCTATCTTCCTCAAAGAAAGTTTTACTTTCCGCATTATTATTCTTACTAAAGACCACCCTACATGTTGACTGCTTTCCATCTAGACCTACTTCTACTTAGTTGTAATCCAAATAGTCTGACAATCTATTTCTAGAGGTTTTACATCCACTACAGTTACAAACAAATTGTAATCCAAATAATTTACCTTTTTGAGAAAGTTTATCGGGTTGGTCTCCCTTGCAACCTTGGAGTCAGGCTCTCTGGCCAACATGTTCTTCAGTCGCTCTTCCGGTGTAGCCCTCGAGTGTTGGAAGTAGTGATGAAGCCTTTCCACCACGCGGTGGGAGTCTTTGTCGTCGAAAGGGCGCGTTACCGATAGGTTCGGAGCCATCTGCCGAATCTGGTAGCACAGCATGTCCGACAAGAAGTTCGGCATCGACAAAATGTTCTGCGCCAGCTCCGTTTTGGTCAACTTTGCAGACGATTGCGGGTGCACCGTGCGTCCCATAAGCGAGCGTCCGATCTTGATGAGATGTGGCAGGCACACGTCGAGCATCTGCGCGTTGCTGGTCCAGTCCGGAGAATCCAGCTTCGGCGTGCCGATCAAGTACTGGGGCGTGGGTAAGTCGTCGTCGAACTCCGGTTTTGGCGCTGATTCTGGATTAACTCCTCGCAGCAATTTCGCTTCCTTCTGTTCCTCGGTTCCACCCTCGTCGTCGCTGTTGTCGCCAACAGACACGCGGCGAGCGCGGGAAGAGCAGTTCTGTTGCTTCAGGAGGTCCAGCAGATAGTACATGCCAGTAGAGTCGATGCCGCTGCGCAGGTAACGACCCGCGGCAATTGAATTCGCGTCGCCGGCCACGCCCATTTGGGCGCTCGGGCGGGCCATTCCGCCGGACGCATGCACGCTGCTTGATGCGAGCATTGACTTGCGCTGCGAAGCGCTCAAGCTGCTGGCTTGCGAACTCAGAGAAGAGCGGACGGATGAGGTCTGTGACCGCCGTTTGATTAAACTCAAGATTACGTCATCCTCCATGTTGCGCGGAGCGTCAGTCGTGTTGCTAAGTCCCGTGTCGAGTCGACTCTTACGCCGGATCTTGACGCTGCCTTTGTATTTGTCCACGGCGTCGTGCACTAAATCGTGGAGCGAAACATCTCCGCTTGGCTGCGGTTCGGGCTGCCCGGATTTCCGCTCTCCGTGATGGTGGTGGTGGTGGCCTGGAGACTGACCTTTCCCCCTGACAGGGGACGCTGGCAACCCCCTCGCACCGGCGGCAGCAGCTCCACGAGGCGATGTCGTAGAGTCTTTCCTGGTACTCTGTTCGCTCGGCTGGCTGGACGGTGGTCTCTCATCCGCTCCGCTTCCGCCGGCAGCTTGCTTGATCTGTCCATCTTCGGTGGAAAGGGCACTGGAACTGGCGGAGTCGCTTTCGCTCTGTGAGCGGTCCTCGTCTTCGCTGGATCCAGAGCTGCTACTACTGCTGCTGCTCTTGGATGTAACGTTTTTCGCGTTGTGTGTGCTCTGTCCTCGGGGAGCAAGGTTCCTCGCAGGTGTTGGCTTCACCGCGGCTGCAGCCGGAGGTGGTGGTGCAAGAATCCCGAGGTTTCCCGGCGCTTCCTCTAGAAAATTGCGTCCGAGCAGGGCTTGCACGCCTTCGAGGTGTTCCGCGTAGTCTGTCACGCGTTTCGGCCCGCTCGGACCCGGAGACGGCGATCTGCTCCTTCCGCTCGTAGGGCTGGCAGGCACGGAGGAGGTAGTGCTTAATGCGCCAGCCGTAAGGCTGACGGGTGCCACAAGCAGGGCTGCAGCCTGGATATTTGGTGAGGGCAGCATGTTCGCCGGATGCATGTCAGCCGACGTCGCCGGGGCCACACGCTCTTGCCCAGGAGCAGCAAGAATGCAGTGCCGTTGTTCGTCTCTCACTAGCTGATCACGAATTACCTCCTCCGCATCGCGACGTCGCAGAGCTTCCCGCAACACGCCCTCTTGCTGCTGCAGCCGCGCTAACGTTTCCATAGTTCCGGCCTCTTCAGCGCCGGGGCGGCGCACATTCACCGAAGAGCGCGGTGCGAAGGGCGTTTGCTCTTGTGCGGCCTCTTCCTCTTCTTCTGTCAGCATACGAGCATTACCGATAGAACCTGTCAAGGACCCTCGCATTGGAGTCGCCTCACCTTCGGACCGTTGTCCGCGTGGAACGCGAACCCCGGTGGCCCCGACAGACAGCTGTGCGCCGCGTTGAGAATTCTGTAACAAGTCGCTTGTAGGTGCGGTTCCTTGTGCTCCGACATTACTCGAAGCTAACACAGCATTCTCTGCGCCTGCCCCGGCCTTGTCAACATTGAACTCGGAGATCTCGGGATCCGAAAACTGTATCTTGCATTTACGACTCGCTCGAGACGCTACTGACCTGAGATTGAAACGGTAATTGAGCAGTCGTAGATCTCACGGAGCATTCAAAAAAGCAATTCTAGAAGTCAGGCACGTTCTTGAGTCTCAGAAGCCCTAAATCATGACTTCTTAAAAAACGCCATAATTATTCCAGATGAGGTTGAAGGCACGATCAGAACAAACTTTGATAAACAAGATCGAAGGCTCCCCGTGTTCTAACTTCAAATATCGAGTTTATCGATGAGTAACAATAAGTACTTTTCAGTAGCAGCATCTTGTTCGGCTGCAGCGATGAGTTCTGCATCCAACAAAGAGTCGAGATCCTGACCCAAAACGATGTCGCGAACGCTCCTCCTTAAGGTTCCGGATTCCACGAGGTCCGCACCTGAACTTTCTTCAGGCATCGCTGCTTCGCCTTCATTGGCAGCGCCGCTCCGCTCCTGGTCGTCACGATGCTTAGCGAAGCTCCCTAATCGGATGATTTTCTTAACCGCACCAAACTTGCGCATGGCGTCGGAGACGCCTGTGCTCCCACCGAGCGCTCCGGCGCCACCGAGCGCCCCTGTGCTGGTGCCGAGGGCTGCTGCGGCACCGAGTCCGCCTGGTGTCGTGCCACCGAGTGTTCCTGTTGTCGAGGTGCGACCTAGCGATCGAGGGGGCATCGGTCTCGGTCCCAACGCGCCTTTTGGAGCGCCGCTAGGCTGTCGCTCATCGTCAGAGAACGTCGTATTGAAGCCGAACAAAGAATCGACCCCTAGGTCCTCATCTAGCTCACGTAACAACTGCGCCGCCAAGGCCTCCTCGCTTTGTTGCTGCGTAGCAGCGGTCGAGGCTGCAGCGGGCGCTTCCGTGCGAATGCTGGTCATCGTCACGCGATCCACCACAGGGGCACCTCCTGATGAGGTGGAGGTGCCAGCGCCTTCGCGACTATAGTTCGCCGCGCTGTTGAGACTTCGGTTGCGCTGTTGCGCCATGGAGGCATTGATGGCAGCTTGGCCCCCGCGCACCGCGGGTCCGCGCAGAGTCACGCAATTCTTGCGCGCTTGGCTCGTATCCGATGCGAGTGCAGCGGGTCCACGTGCGCGGTCTGTGTTCTTCGACGGCGCTTTCACACCTCCAGATGACGCCTGCAGAGCTCCTCTGACGTTTTGCCCGATATCAGATCCACGCTCTACCTCTGCCGGACTAGCCGCCTCCCCTTCGCCTCTCGCCCCACCTCCCGATTGCTGGTGCCTGAGTTTCTGCTGTCGTTCTGCGATCGCTGCGTTTCGGGCTTCGACGCGCTTCTTCAGAGCGGACGAAACGACGCCGCGCTTCCTCTCCTTGGTTCCGTCGAATTTGTCCCGGTCCGCGTCGGATCCGCCCCATTCCTTTAATCGGAGCGCCTCCTCCACCCGCGAACCGCCGTCGACGGCGACGACTGCGAGGGTCGGATCATTCAGCACTTGCGCGACATGGTGTGATCGCATCTCGCTCTTCAAGGCTGTGCTTTGTTGGGCGCCCTTTGGTGATGCCTGTTTCATCTTGTCCAGGGAACCGCGAATGGAAGCGAAACCATCGTCTTCATCCTCATCATTCAGCGCATTCCTGAGAAACGACTGGTTGTTCATGTTCGAGCTTCCTCCGAACGAAGCCATCTCCGATTTCTTCATGCTTCGGCCCGTAGGCCCTGTTCCACTGGAGTGGCCGCCGTCCATTTTGTTGAAATAGATGCGAAGATCTACAACTACAACTCAATCTTCAATCACAATTTTCACCTTGCCGGGTGAACAACGAAGCAATTGCAACCAGGCGGATCTGTAGGCTGCAAACGTAACACTGCGCTCCAGAAAAACATTAAACAATACTCGAGCATCCACATATGTACTACACGCCAAGTACACCCGTTTGTTTGACAATAATAAAACCTTACTCAGGGAAAGCGTGTCTCCAGGGGAAAGTAACTAAAATGTGTAAATTTATTTAAACCATACAGTTGATCTTGTTAATCACCTGCCAGGAAAAGCCAAGGAAATCAACATGAATGGGATCTCTGAACAACTTCTATAGTTATCGATCTTGCTCGAAGTCTTCTCACGGAAAATACAGACGCCAGCGCCGCTCGACGATACAGAAATGTTATCTGAAAGAACACTGAAAACCAACAACATCGGAACTTTCACATAACAGAAATAGCCGGACCTCGACAACAGACGTGGGACATTTCTACTATTCTTCACTTCTCTCTTGACGAAGGATACTTCTTTGTGGTGGCTCTCGCACAAACTGCGGTGATTGCAAATACAGTCTTGCAACAGAGATGGATCATAACAGAGTTCACTCATTGCTTACGACAAAGATTTTAGATCCGTCCAGATCTTGAAGCTAGAACAGTGCGAACACCTCTTTTTGCCAAACCCAGCCAAATGGAGCCTAGTGCCCATCGGGAATCTCTCGCTCTCAAATCGAGATGTGAAACTCAAATGAATTGATGAAGTAACTCTACGTACAATACAGGCGTCACAAAATATGTACTCTATGCCAGGAAGATTGAGAGACTACTCGCTGCGGTCCTGCCCGAAATTATTGTAGGCAGCTAATTTTTCTATTTGAGTTGTTGAGCTGACAGGACTTAACCGAGCCGGAACCAACTTCTACCTGGAAGAGCGTCTAGAACTGTTTGCGAGGCTGTCGGTTTCTCGGGTGACTGCGACCCTGCGGCTGTTGAGCTTCGTCTGCGGTCTTGCGGCAAAAGCGGTGGTCCAGCCCTCAGGAGGGACGCGCTCGCCTCGAGGCTTCGAAACATCTTTTCGGGACTCGTGAAGTTTGTTGCCCCGATTAGAAACTTCCGTTCGCCTCCCTCCATCTCCGACAGCCGGCGCAACGCAGCAATTTCTCCATACGTCGCCCCCCCGATGAAGAAGACAAAAACGATCTTACTTCTCTGAGAGCCGCCTTCGACATCGCTGCTAGTGGCGGAAGCAGGGTTAGCACTAACTGTGCTTCCGTTTTTGAAATTGCAGCTAGCATTCCCGGCTCCTGCACCCATTATTGCACCGACTCCTGCGCCCGCGACGTCTGCCACGTGGTCTGCCAAACTGCGCACACCAGGGAGTGTCTCAACCGCGGTCGACCCTCGGGCCGTCTTCCCGCGCCGCGGCTCCCGGTCGGCCTCGAGAACCGGTCCAGCGAGCAGCGCCATACTGTCTGAGACAGAGCCGCGCCACCCGTGCGGCGAGGCGAGCTTCTGCACCAAGCGCACGCTTAGCGGTGCGTATCCGCTGTAAGCGTAACTGAATGCATCTTCGGGTGCATCCTGCTTCTCCACGACGAGGGCAAAATCCTTTTTTACCTGTGCCCAGTTGTGGTTCTTATCCGTGCCCTTGCGCGGCCCGGTTAGCAGCTGCGTCTGCTCCAGCGTCTGCAAGAGCGGTAAAACTTCGTAGCCGTACACTTGTAGGATTCCTCGCTTCAGCTGCTCGTACTGGCCCTGCGAGGGCAAGCCCTGATACACCTCGGAGTAGAGACAGAGGAGACGGAGCACCGTTTTCAAAGGCCACCCGTTATCCATTCCCTCCTCCACTGCTGCCAGCGACTTCCCTGCAGTGTCTGTGCAGCTCGTGATCGCGTCTTCCCATCGCCACTCTCTGTGGAAATCGTCGCCGCCCTTCTTTTCGTTCAAATATGCTGCCAAATTGACATGCGCAAAGCATTAGACGAGATGAAGAAGGTTTGGTTGCATCTTAGATTTTGATTTTTGCAAAAAATGATGCTAAATGCTGTCTACCTAGATTTACAACACCTGAGCAATGATGAAAACTGCATCTGAAAAATCCGAAGCAGAGAAAATCCACCACGAGCACCAGGTCCTGAGACTGCCAAGCAATTACGATTAAACACAAAGTAAACTACTAAGAGTAGAGTGCTTTTCTTCTCGTAGCGTGACAACACTCATCAATAGATACTCTAGTCGTACTAGAGACGCTTTCTGTAAGTGTAATCTAGTAGTAGTAGGAGTAGTCGCAGCAGTAGTAGTAGCATTAGTAGCCGGAGAAGGAATGCTAGTAGTAGGAGTAGGAGTAGTAGTCGTAGTAGTTGTAGGATTAAGAGTAGGATTAGGAGTAGGGTTAGGAGTAGGATTAGGATTAGGAGTAGGATTCGGAGTAGGATTAGGAGTAGGATTAGGAGTAGGATTAGGAGTAGGATTAGGAGTAGGATTAGGAGTAGGATTAGGAGTAGGATTAGGAGTAGGATTAGGAGTAGGATTAGGAGGAGGATGAGAAGAGGGATTAGTAGTAGGAGGAGGAGGAGTAGTAGTAGTAGTAGTAGTAGTAGTAGTAGTAGTATGGCCAATCGTGGGGTGTAAGTTATATAATTAGATGCGCCGGCTCTTCTTCTTTCCTTCTTCACCTCACACGTCGTTTTTTCTGCCTCTGCACTTGAGCACGCAGTTTGATGGTTTCATAAGATAGCAGTGGCTTTTCTGTCGTCAAAGTTTTCAATTTGGCCATGAAGTGCTGCATCTCCTGCACTGTTTGAATCGTATCTTTCTCAGCCTCGACTTGCTGCCTTTTTTAGAGTTCACCCGCCTCATCTCCCCTCCACTTTGGCCGACTCATCTTCAAGAAGAGGTTATTTTTCTCTTATGGAACTAGCACAGCCTGGGACTCATTTTAAGACGTGCATTTCCCTATGCATATGGCTCTACAATCATCATCATGGTGTCTGAAGTAGGTCCGCTAGACGACCGGTGACATGTGCTAAGTATTTTACCACAATACTGGATCTTGAATAGGAGAAGCCTTAAATTTCTAGCGTCTTCCTTCGCAGAAGGGGACCAAGCTGCGAAACGTGGCTATGGCGGACGTCGCGAAAAAGCGCATCATCGTTACCAAGGCGTAACAGCTGCTTGCCTTCCGTTTTATTCCCACCGAAGGAAGATGCTCCTGCCGCGGGCTGTCCGACCTTTTGACAGTAAAAGAAATATGAAATATTGATGCTAAAAAGTAGGCATGATTTGAATAATAGATGTGTGCATATCAATCTTCAGTCCGTTCGTGCAAACAAATGTTAAATTCAAAAAGTTTGCATTACCTCCGAGCCCACGACGGTAGCCGGGAGTGCCGCTTTCGTGCCAGCAATCCCAAATTCCTGATCTAGTAGGGATTCATACGTAAACTGACTGCAAAAAAGCGAGGTTATATCTGTTTTTCGGTCTATGAGAACGATTTGGTCGACCACATTGTTCCCGCCCTTCACATCCTGTAATGCTGCGCCAGCCTGTTGTCTCCGTTTGTTCAGTGTGAGCTTCGCTGAGAAGTCAACCACACGCGGAACTCCCATCTGCGAAGGCTCGGGCCGACGTACTAGAGGCCCCACCGGCACAACCCCGCCCGCCACAGGCGCCCCACCCTCAGCACCGCCGCCCGCATGTGCCGCAGCAGCGCTACTATAATGGCTTCTACCACCAACCCCATCGAGTCGACCGGAACAGATAACATCGGTGACATACTTGGAAGCGCGACCGACCGAGAATATCTTGGGGCGAAAGTTCTGTGCGGACGCAAAAGTCTGCTCCCAGCTGTGCAGGGCCAAAGCGACTTCATACAGCGCGCTGGGATCCTGCGCCACACGTAATTAGAAGCTAGGACCCGAGATTGCCAAAAGCGGCCGCTGAAAACCACCCTCTTGTCATATCACGTAAGCCTACCTCTCGTGGACTGTATTATCGAGAGATGTTGAGGTCCGTCTATTGTTAAACAATGGTTGCGCTCCTGCTTTTTCATTCTTCATCCTCCAATTACAACAAAAGGAGAGCCAAAAAATGTTATAACCGAATACAACAGGAGAGTTGTTTGGAACATCCTTTAGACACATTGTCAAGACTGCCATGCAGCTTCGTTCTACAAGATCTGATGCAAGCTAAGAACCTCTTCAGGTGGCTTTCTTAATAGTAGTCTGGGAAGACTTCTGGCATTTCCATGGAGAGCAAGTCGTCGTCTACGGCGAATAGCGCCAGTTGCGGCATCTCCCGGATGAAGTGCAACGAGCCGTAGACATTTTTCTCGCGCAAGATTTGCAAGCCTGTGTGAGATATTCTGGGTGCAAAAGCAAGCACGTAGGTGCGCTCTACTTGGTGTGCGCTCCGCCTGTTTCGCTCATCCTGCTGGATCTGGAGAGCAATTTTCTCCGCCAAATCAAAGTTCAGCGCTCGAACCAGAAAAAGCATTTGGGAAACGTCGCTCACAATCGGCTCCCCGATCTTGCGCACCTCTGCGCCATGCTCCGTCAAGTCCGAAACAAACACGTGAACGCGACTACAACATCGAAGAAGCGTACTTGGAATTTTACTAGTTGCTGTACATTCATCTAGTCAGTTAGCAGAGGCTCCTGTTGGTAGAATTGTAGTACATGTATGAAGTTAATGAGGCTCTTCTGGACTAGAGTTGTCGCTGTACATGTACGTACTTAATAGCACGACCTGATACCAATCATATTAAATACTATCACCTTTCCCTGTCCATAATCTAGTATCAGGTCCAACGGTCCAAGGAGGGCTTCGTCCAATGCCAGAATCTTGCGTCCGCTGAACTCATCCAGCAAGTCAAAAAAGGCAACGCGCTGCAACTGTTGTAAACGCGAGAGGTCCACAGTTTCACAGCGACTTAGAGACGGTCGCAAAGACGACGATGACGACGACGATCCTCCGACCTGCGCCATTTTTTTCTAGTAGGGGTAGTACAACTAGTAAAAGTAGATAGTGATAGTAGTTGACACTTAATAATGAGAATTCTGAAAGTTCTCTAACACGGCTAAACTTCAAGACGCTGAGCAGGTACACAACAATGAAGTCAATCCCATCACAAAAACAGACATAAAAACATAAAAAAGCAGTTCTGGTGAGAATCGATACCTTTTTCAAAACCGGATCAGACGTTGTGAGTACGCAAATATATTTTTGGTATCGACTTGCGATGACACATAGTCGAACTCGGGTTACATATATGCCACTCAAGAAAAATAACAACCTGTGTCAAGGCGGGCACGAGAAATTATCATGGCCACTCGGAGCTGAGATTTTCTTTACCACTCCGCAACATAGGATAAAAGTCACTGATCAGATGCCAAAACTATATTGAACTGAGCAAGCTGCTGCGCGCATTACTTTTCAACTACATAGAAATCATCCGCACTTTTTCTTGCTTGCGAAGCAACCGAGATGTGTCAGGAACGAAAGCGGGAAAAATAAGATCGATTCTATACTAACATCCTGATGGACCCAGGGTGAAGAACAACGGCTTGACATATTCTCATTTGGCGCATATCAACGTGTATGGAATAAAGTGTGGATAAGTAGGTGGTGTCACGGGAGAACGGTTTACCAAAGGCAGGGCTCACCAAAAGAACAGGTGGGATAAGTGGGGAACAAAGCGTTGATGTGTGCAACAAATCATGACTATTTCAATTGAAACATGTTTTTTCGTATTTTGTCAAGAATCTTCCATCTTGTACTAATGTAATTGCTCATGAAAGCATGTCCGTAAGCTGCGCGCAAAAGGCCATGGGGGTGTCTACAGCAATGAAATGTCCAGCACCATCCACCTTCGTCCAGGGCAAACTATTTTCAGTCAGAAAGTCGATGGTCGGCTGAATATATCGGAGGTTTTCTCCAGCCGCGATGTACAGAGGACCTCGTCCGCGTTTAGGAGCTGGCAAATCTAACGGAGATTTAAACGACGCGGATTGACTAAAATAATCTGGGCCATTATTTGCCTCTTCGATCCACTTTTTCTGTACGCGCAGGTATACTTCAGTCGTCTTGCTTTCTACCGGATGCGGATTCATCTCGGCTTGTTGTTCCGCTGTCGAATCTGGACCATTAACTGCAACAGCGTTTGCACCATGTGAATCCGTGCTCGACGTCTCCATGATGGCCTTTAGCACTTTTGCAAAGCGGTAGAAGCCGACACTGCTCGCGAGTTTTTGCATGGCCGCGTCCCAGTAGGTGTAGCCTGGCATGTTGCCCCGAAGAATGAACTCGCGAAACTGGGCATTTTGCACTCCGTCAAAGTTGTTCAGGAACTCACTCTCGGTCTGCGCCCCCTCCAACACCCAGTCCACGATGTTCGCTTTGCCACGCGGATAAATCAGAGCGGGATCCACCAGGGTTAGCGACCGCAGTGTGCTTGGGTACTGGTCGGCTAAGTGTAAGGCGATAGTGGCTCCCATGGAGTGCCCGACCAGGTCGTAGCGCAAACTGTCTCGGCTTTTTTCTGCCTGGCTTAGGTCCATCGTGCCTGCTGAATTCGTCCCTTTGGCCTGCAATTTGAGGTTCAGCAGGAGCGTCTTCTTGATTCGCGGCAAAATCTTTTCTTGCAGCGCTGTGTGCATCAAGCGAGCTAAAAACCGCACGTCATCCATGGTGGCGGGTTCTCGTCCTCGCCGTTGCAGGAAGTGCGGGTGCAACACGAGATCCGCTTCGCTATGTGAGTTACCGCCCGAAAACGGCCAATCGATTGCGATTACGTGACCAATGTGCTCAGGCAAAGGCGTCGGACTCCCGATCAGCGCACTAAATTCGTATTTTGAGCCGCCAAAGCCGTGAAGGCACACCAAAACGCCCGTGCGCACGCCGTAAAAAGACGTAGAAGTAACTGACGCAGGAGTCTCCGCGTCTGGCATATTCGTCGTTGTCGAATTCAATCGCGCAGCATCTTTTCGCGGTCTCGGCGTATACAACCACCACCGCAGCGAAAAGGTTGTGCCTTCTAGGGTCACGTCCACCGGGGCCTGCAAATACGGTTTCGCAACTCTCATAGCGCCATCCAGAGTCAGAGGGGTATCCTCCAAGCTGGCAGACGACCCAGCTTTGGGGTGTTCGGACGAGGACGCAGAAGCCACAGCTGCTCCGCTGTTTTGCCCTGCAGATCCCATCAGTGGAGAAGCTGAAGGACTACGGGGCGACATGTTTTTCCAAAAACGCTAATCACGTCGTTAATCTATGATGTTATCAGCCCATAAAAGTCATGCCTATGACTTTTGCAGACAGTTCAAAGTTGCTAACGTCGTTAAGCTATGTAAGTATGGTGGTCGCAGCAGATGAAAGTCATGCATATCCAAGAAAGCAGTGCGTCCATATAGGAGGCGACTCATCAACGCACTGGGCCTTATGCTTATGCGTCTGTGTGCTCTTCTTGGCGCTGCCCGTGTTCAGTCTCCAGGGGAACTTGAGGCCGCGCCGGGGGCCTTGCAATCACGCTCGCGCGTGTTCCACACTTGCGCAGCGAATAACCACCGCAGCGGAGTCGGCGGCAGGTGTTCATCAGAGACGCGCTGCCTCAGGTGACCAGGCCCTCCTTGAGCGTCCTCAACTCGGCTCCTGAGCCGAGTGACCAGACCCCAGAAAGGTAGCGCCTGGCGCTTTGTGTGCTCGCCTGGGGCTAGGCGCTGGCGGTCGGTGCGCGGATAGGGTTCACCCTCGGCAACGCGGACACACATGAAGCGAAAAGACCGCAACCCGGGAGAGAACAACGGCGGAAGAAGGCGAGGGGGCAGACGAATCCTGCCGAAGCGAGCCATCCAACCAGGAGGACTCGCATAGGAAGCGGAGGGAGGTCAGGAAGGCAACCGCGCCAAGCCAGCCAACCAACCGACCAACCAACCAAACAGCCCGCCGAAAAATCTCCGCGCGACTTCGCCCCCCTGGACTTGCCCGTTCCGCTCGGGTCTTTGCTTTTCTTTGGAGGAAAACGAGGCGGCACCGGCCTGCCCAGGCTGCGGGGCTCACTCTGCTCACCTTGAACCCTAAGAAGACAAGAGGCACGGCCGCCAACGCGTCCCCCGCACCTGCTGAGCCGTTGGCGCTTCATCTCATAAGAAGCGCGGAAAGCTCTGGCACGCAGTGGAGCAGGGCGCCCCGGGCTGGCCGGCTCTCTTTCGCTTTCTTGCATCCCTGGAGGACTCACCACCAGCCACGCCAGGTGGCGCTGTCCCATCATCTCCTTCGATGGCACAAGACCCACGCGCATCAGCTCTTCAAAGCGTTGCGGCGCGTCTTAGTGTCCCGCCTGGGGCCACGCGGGTAGTGCCCGCCTTTCCTCTCAGAGGCTACGGCATCCCGGCCCACCAGGGGCGGGCTTTTTGTCCTGTCAGAGGCCTTTGCCTCCCATCCCACCAGGGGCAAAGCTATCCAAATATGAGCATCTCCACCTCTCGGAAGAAGGAAAGTACACAAATGCTTAGAGTTTGCTTGTGTTCTATAGAAATAAACGCAAGTCGTACTATTCAAACGCCATCGCGTCGTTATAGGAAGGAACACAAGAAAAACAAAAACTACCAAAAATATTTTCCTCCCGCTAAGCGCTCTGGAAATAGATGACGTAATTTCCAAAGATTGTAAACAAGAAACTTCTACTCTCCGGTTGAAAAAAGCGCTGCTTCTCACGGCAAAATGCGTTATCAGTAAGGACGAAGATCTTCGCATCGTTAGCAATATGCGGGAACTAGCTGTCTTGATTTCGGACCTTGGCGCTTATCTATAGGAACTCAAGGCTGCGCACAAGTAAAAACCTCTTTCCTTGTGTTTCAGAACAAAGCCACTGTTCGACACAATAGTTGGTCTAGCGAAAAGCAAGAGGCAATGCTAAAAAAGTAGTCGTCATCTTCAAAATTTCTACAACAAGATTTTCCACTGTCACTGATCGTTAGATGTATAAATTCTAGGTGTACAACCGCGATTTACACGTCGGGAGATGAACGTGTTTCCTAGAATGTTAGCGTTTATGAAGATTAAGTCATTTTTTATGTAGGCTTTTTTCTTGAGGCGCGAAAACGGCAAAGCCAATCCCACCTGCCACGATCAGAAAGCTGCACAAAATGAATGCAACCCACTGTCCCCCATTCAGATTGATCCCGCCTCCGCCACCTAGACATAACACATCGCCGAGCCAGAATGTGAGAATCGGGATTTGACATTGCAGCATCATCCGCACCACGCTACTCGCCCTCTTCACGACCAAGTCGCCTATCCAGTGAACCGCCAGGCGGAGAATAACGGATGCGTGCAGCTTCCACGCACTGAAGGAGTCGGCGTTTGCGCCATCCGTTGAAGCGGTCCATCCGCCAACCAGTTCGTTCCAACTGGATATGCGCCGCACACGCAACTGCTTAGCAGTCGCCTCATCCAGAAAAGATACATGAACGGTGCATTCTGTGACGTAAAGGTCGTGTCCTCCTCTCACCTAAAAAAAAAGTACTATCAAATTAATGAATACCCTTCTTTCTGCATTTGCGTACCGAGACTGAAAAATCGTCAATTTAACCTAAATGACCACGACCTATTCTGGTACAAGTACGTTTCTACGACGAAATATTACAGATATTTCATGCAGATCGCTACAAGCAGATCAACAGGGTTTCATAAAGAAGCCAAAACTCGGGAATCACGAAGAGCCACACGATTGCAAAGAGGAGGCACGGCAGCTCGAGGTGAAATTTCTGCACGTAGAAGGGCGTGGCAGCTTTCTCTTTCAGGTTGCGTTCACTGGACAGTCTGGCGGCAGCAACGCAGATGGACCCGGTCAAAGCGAGAGCAAGACCAAATACATAAAGACCCTGGCTCACAGATGAAGAAGTGCTGTTTCCAGCTATTGAAATGCCCTGTCCTCGGTTTTGCCTGTCCCAAGCAGCTTTCGCGAAGGACCACCAAATGATTCCGAGTATCACCAGCGCTACGGATACATACTGCAGTGGGCGAAACTTTCGCCCCAAAAATAATGCCGAACCCGCCACCACGAAGAGTATTTTCACACGGGACACAACTGCCACGGTGCCAGGACTTTGCATAGCGAGTAGCTGCATCTTCTCCAGTCCGTTGTAAATCGCGAAGGCCACAGCAACCCACATGAACGGCGCAATGCCATCGTGCCACGAAAAGCAAGTCGAAAAACTATAGTTTGTACTAGTTCTGCTTGTCCTAGTCTCCTCTATTATCCCTCTCGAAGCCGCATTTCTGATTCTGCTATTTGGCACAGGGACATTTTGCTGTTCATCGGACAACACTGCCGCGACTGGAACTGCCACATATCCTGACTTGGCTCCGTCTCGCAGCGGATCCGTGTTCGCCGGGTTCTCCAGATCCCGGCTCCCGGGGTCATTCACATTTTCCTCCGACGTCAGCAATGGAATTTCTTCCGACGTCGAAAACTCTTCTGCACTCTTCGTTCCTGTCCTCATTGTTGTTGCAGAAACTGTTCCCTGCTGTTCAACATCGGGTCTTGTTTCGGAAGAAGGATTATGTACTCCGCAATGTTGTGTGCAGTGATCGAGTATTTTTTGCGACGTACGGCGACCCCTTCTACACGTGGTCCAAGCACTCCAAAGATCAGAAAGCCCGGCTAACAACAGCGAGAGGAGTATGGATTCTACCCCGATCACCACGTCTAGCGTCTGTGGGGTTTTCAGGCTTTTTATGACTTTAAAGTCTGCAATCTTTACGGAGGTCTCGCACGCCAAGTACAAGACGCATACCCCGAATAAGAGTAGCACCTCCCTTTTTCTGCGCACCTTGTTCTCCGGCGCATGGTCAGCAGTAAGTGCGCACTGAGTGGCACCTCCATTCTTATCGTTCTGCTGCCGTTGCTGGCGTTGAAGGGGTTGCGCTTCCTGCGGTGGCGCTTGACCAACTCGTGTGTGACCGAGGTCACCGTTGAAGAAGTTCTCACTGGCTGCCAGCCCAGTCGGGGAGGTGCATGCAACATTCCCACAGAACCCATCTTCCCTCTTGAGCGCAAACTTGCTGTTACGACCATCATGATGCAATGCGGGTTGCATACTTGTCTGCTTCAAGAACGTTCCCTACAAACGGACACGAAACAATCAATTTAAATATAAAGCTCTTCTGCACCAGAAGGTGTTGATCAAAAAATTACAAGCCAGAAGAGGCGCAAGGAGCTAGAAAGCAGGAACGCTGCATAATCATCAGAATCCTTCTCATATGAACGCACAACTTACTAGAGGAGGAAGTCAGAAAAACAAAAACGCCTCACTGCACAGGTCATCATCTTATGCCGTGCAAGTTTGGAAAAAGAAAGGACGTTTCTTCTAGCGAAGTCCAGTCGCAATCTATAGACCTTCATTATCTGCATACGGCGTTCATCACTGGACTGTGTATCCACTGTTCAAAAGTTCACTTATGTCATAAGAGCCAGTGACCCGGTCAGTGTTGTGTTTTCGAAAAGAACAAGCAGGCAAACCGACTTGCAATTATCATTCATGCACTGCGGGTGTTCACTGCGGGTCTAACACCCGCAGTCGTCGTGGTAAGGTTGCTATTCGCAGTCTATTCACGATTCAGGGAAAAAAGAATTCGGGAAAAAACATGTCACGCAGTTCGTGAACTTGAGCATCTTAATCTTGTACGTTCGTACCCATACAGGTTGAATGTGCGTGTTTGAAAAGACAAATTTCTCTTCTCTCGGAGGATCTTGCCCTGGGCACGCAGTTCGACCGCCGTCGCTGTAATGCGCGAGGAGCTGCATGATCTTGACGAGGGCATCATTTGTGATGATCGTAGTTGCCCTGGATCCGATTTTGCTTGTTGCAGCGACAAACCCAAGCACGCAGCTTTTCATGGTCCTCACGTTGGTAGCTGATGGGATGATCATCTTGATCTTTCTTACATCCGACGTCGAATGATGGGATGATCATCTAGATTTGTCTTATCTCCAACGTCGAAAACCATCAACGTTCGCGAGCAGCCTCATCCGCCCCAGCATCCAGTATTTATCTACCCTTTGTTGCAGATCCGATCATCAAACGACCTTGCCCTCCTCCTCTGCTACAGCGTAGTCTTGTGTGTGCGTTACGTAGAAAACTCCGGAGGCGATCCCTGCACCTGCTACTTCCATCAGCGAGTACAGCAAGGAGTTCAGAAATTTGGAGTCCGTCAAAAGACTGTGCGCCGTGTCAAAACCAACTGCCACGGCCGGATTCAGCACTCCAGCACCTAGAGAGCTGCCGGCGAAGCCACCAATGGCAACGCACGCTCCAATGGCGAGTCCAAAAAAGTCCTTGCTCTGCGACGTAACCGAAGTAGCTACCGTAAGCACGGCGAGGCAGAGCACACGAATTAGCGCCAGAATGGCTGCGTTTTTGTTCCTCTTGTAATGCTTGCACATTCTAATCTCAAGAAAATCAAATTTAAATCTCATATCCAGATACTTACCCGTCGTGGCTGCACGCACATTTTCAACATAGGTGGCCTGCAATCTTCCTAAAAACCACGTGGTGAAATTATAGTAAAAGACATAATTACTAGGTAGAGTCTTCAGGTTGTTAACTTTTTTCTTATCCAGCACGAATTCTCTTTCATGTTCCTGTTGTGGTGTGGTCGTCTACTACCCTACATCATAAAGCTGTGAACAGTGTCTCCGCGATCGCAAGTTCGACCCAGGATTTGCCTACGGGCGGAGCGATGGGAAAAGTCGTTTTGCGACCGCTGGAAGACAGAATTGCTGCTGCTGTGCACGCACCTGCAATGGCACCGAGTCTTTGTTAGATGTGATAGTGTTGAGACTAGATCTAATTCATCTCGACGTCCCAATTACGATATCTACTACTTCATCTTAGTAGATTAGAATTTTCACTTGTTCGTATTCTCCCGATTTCTATATCATTTTAGTAGATTAAATAATTTTCACTTACACTGTAGTTCGGTTTTTCTGAAGTCCTTTCGTCACGAGTGACCTAACTTTTCTGCCTTTGACCAGGATAGTTCGCAGTGTTCAGCATGTTGAATAGAATGAAAGTAAACTGCTCACCCTATAGTCCTCGAAATCGAATGTCGAAAAAAAAGTTTTGCCTTAAATTTGCACGGAGATGAAGCGCACTGCCTCTCTTGGTTCTATGAGCGAACGCTTTGAGAAAACGATGGCCAAGGTCACCGCCGGGTTGAGGTGTGCACCGCTCACACTCCCAACCGCATAGATCAATGACGTAAGAGCAGCGGCAATAGAGAGCGCCGCCGAGACGACGCCCTGCGCTACGTTCAGGGACGCCGTGAGCGTTAGGAAAAATGCGCCCACTCCTTCCGCACAGAGCTTTTCCGTCGTCCCCGCCGGTGCCAAAGCTAGATGCGACGGCGCCAGATCCAACGGGCGGCAAGTCTGTTAAACTCAATCACCATCGAAAGCCAAAATATATTGAATTGATCACACACGACTAAGCTTTAGTACTAGTAGAAAGTAAAAAACCATAACGACCTCTATAGTATATCTTGGCTTTAGATGAAGTAAAGCAAAATATACTTAGTTTTTACGTTGCTTAGAAAGTAAAGACCTATAAGCGAATTTGAATAGATGCTGACATGATCAAAAGATACTTTGTAGAGTCCTGCCGCTAGTGCCGCACCTGCTAACTGGAAACCACAGTAGGCCAGCGAGTGATACAGCGAAAGCGAGCTCGCATCAATAGCAAAACTGATTGCAGGATTTAGGTTCGCACCTGATACCGCGCCAGCCGCAAAACCACCCGCATTTATATGAAGTGGGAAAATCTAAATCATAATCATAAGATTGGAGAAGCGAGCCATCCTCTATCTTCACCTATCCGTTTGAGGACTGCTAGCGATATAGGACCGCCAGAAAAAGATTTACGGAGACGTGACTTGAAGGTGGAACCTAACTAAACAAGAGGGTTATCTATTATAGTATCTTCCCTTCGTGAAGAATCCTCGACCTTATCCCACTCGTTGTGTCATAAATAATCGTGTACCCAATGGCGAGGCCAAAGTACTGGTTTCCAGCGTTCGCTTTTGCGCAAGCGCAATTGAGCACGACAAAGCAAAGGAGGCAGGTGAAGAGCGTTTCGCAGGCTCCCGCGGCCCAGATACTATGCCCCGCTCCAGGCTCCAGTTTAAAAGTCATGCCGTAAGCCCCGAATGCGAAAGCTGCAGCAGATGCGGAGCCCAACAGCTAGTAGTAGAGTGTTCATGATCTTTTTGTCTTCAAAGAAGTCTTTGAGTACGGGGAACAGATCGTTCTCCAACTCAATGATACTTTCTATTACTGTGGTAGTCCTCTTCTGCACTCGGTCATTGTGAACGAAGGATGAAGTAGTTTTAGGCAGTGGGGAACTTCACCATGTTAAAAACAAGACGATGATGATGGTGAGCATAATGATGAGCATGCAGGCAGAAGTTGAAATAAGGGAAAAGAAAATGCGCTTACCTGCGCTGTGACATAGTAGCCCGTCGTTGACCACTTTTGTTGCTGACATAAAGATATTGCGACCGAAACAGCGGGGTTCAGATGCGCCCCCGAGCATTCTCCCAGAGCGTAAATAGCCACCATGAGCGTACTCGCAATCGATAGCGCGGTGAAAACGGGACCAGAACCGCCAATGACATTCGCGAATACCGAAAATGTGAGAATGAAGGTTCCGAACGCCTCCGCCACCAGGCGAGACGTCAAAGTTGGATCCTCACGCGCCATTTTTTTTGGAGTGGTCTAGCCTAAAATGTCAACTGACAGTCACTCGCTCGCGCACTCTCTCTCTCTTGTCAGACTGCGTAGAGGCGCCTGGGCTACGACTGCCGAAGAAGCGGTGGATACCGCATCAACGCAATCTTATCTTCTCAAGCGCCAGGTGGGCGCAAAGCCATGAACTCCACATGACTTACCATTCACCAGCGTACTCGTTTACGACCCAATATCCAACTTGCGCCCGCAAAGCTGCCGATTGTTGCGGCCTTGGCGGTACATTCGCCAGCGCTGAGACGCTTGCACTTGCAGAGAAGGGCCCCCTCGACGCGCAACGGCGTCTTCAGGCTTTGCTCGACGAAAGGGCCCTAGGGGCTGGAGCGGCGCACGCGGGGGGAGGCCAGCGGGCCGCACAGCCGAGGACGAGGCGCCTTTGCGCCTGAAGCTTTCGTCTCTCAAGAGACGCGCACGCGCTTGCACCCGCGTCGAGGCTTGTTCAAATCGAGCGGCTATTTTTCTTGGTTCCCCTGCGGGCGCCCGCTGATGTTTATAGCCGTGACCGCGAAACGAAACGGTCGGGGCCGGATAACACGGTCGGACGGTGTTGCAGCGTCGCGGGCGGGCCCTCTCGCGCGGTTGAACTGCGTCGCCCTTCCGTTGTTTCTGCCGGGTATCTCAATCCCACCGCAAGCCGCCGCTTCAATGTATGACGAAGGCAGCCATCGACCCATCGCCAGAAGAGCGCAGAAAGAGGGACACCAGGCGGCGGAGTAATCGGGGGTGCCTCAGCGCCGTCGGGTGGGCGGCCATCCCTTGCAGCTTCCCAAGGGGAAGGCAATACCGGGCAGAGAGTGGGGGAACCCGGTGGGGATTCAGTGGCGCCCGCCGAATAGGAGAACGCCGGCCCCCCTAGTTTCCAAGGGGCAAAAGTGGCCTGCACTAGATTCCCCGCGCGCGTCTCGGCCGGGGCTACGCACACTGCCCGCGGTAGCGGCGCATGGGGAAAGGGCGGGGGCTGTCGCTCGGGGCTGGCTTTTACCCTTCCAAACACGGCGAAGCCGTTCGGCTTTTAGGAAGCTAGCGGCACAAGGAAACCAAGCAAAGGCCAAGCGCCACAACGCCGCAAAGACCTGCGCAAAGGGGGGGGCGGCTGGCTATGAGAGTGGCGACCACTGGCCGGTGGCGCAGCGGGTGGGGAGGCCTCGTCCTTTGACACTCCAAGAGCCGAAACGAGCAGGGAGCCGATGCTCCTTTGGCCGTTGGTGCCAGAGTGGCGGCAGGGGCGTCGCCAGTACCGTCGCAAGCCGCTCAACAAGGAAAGAAAAAGCCCCGGCTTTTGGCACACCAGGGGCCAAAACGCGAAGACCGCCGAGCCTCTTCGGGGCCGGTCCGGTTTAAGGCACGAAGGAGGAGGGCTGGGGGGCAGCGCCTGGAAAAAAGGGAAGAAAGGGAACACGACCAGGAGAAGACGGCGGTCGGGCTTGTGGCATGAGGCCTAGCGCAGGGCCCTCGTTTGCGGGCTCGTGGTCCTTTGCTCCACGCCCCGGCTCCTTTGCCGGTTTCCTTTTAGAAATGCCCTGCGGCATGCTGACGACGGAGCTGTGGCGGGCGGAGGGCGCAAGAAGCCCGGCCGCGGGTTCTCGACGCACCGCGCAGGCCGCCCGGCGCGGAGGAGAAGGCCAAAAGGGGGGCGCGCGTGCGCAGGCTCGTGGCCCTTCGCTCCGAGTCCTGTTTTTCTGCGGGCCTTCCGCCGCCTATGGCCGAACCGTGCTAGAAGCATGCCCTTCTAGTTGGACGCACGGAGCGGGGCCATCGACTTGACGCGGACCCGCAGCAGGGCTCCTGCGACCGGGCTCATGCTTCTTGTACTCGCGGGCGGCTTCTTTACCTAGTATCCTTATATGAAGTAGACTTGCGGGGGCTTTTTGGCGCGTCTCCGCATCAAGAAGGGTCGCGAAATGGGGCCGCCGCGGGCGCGGGCGGGCGCGGGCGGGGGGGCGCGGTAAGCTATTCCCCGGGCCTCTGGATAGCAGCCCGGGGGCGTTGTGCGGCGGCGGGGCCGGCGGGGGGTGGTAGGGGCTGCGGCGCCCGCTATAGCGAGCGGCGGGACCACAGTGCGCGGCTTCTCCTTTTCAGTCGGGGAGAGTAAAGACCCCGACCGAAGGACAGAAACTAGGCTCTTCGCGAGTTTTTCGCTGGAAGTCGCAGAAAGCCGCGGCTTTTTCCGTCGTTGCAGCGCTGCCGCTGGGGTTGTGCCTACCTCGAAGGTAAGAAGAATGACACAGAGAAGAGAGATATGCCGCACCGTGTCCCCATCACCATAGTACCAGAAGAAAGCACAAGCACAACGCAGCACACACATCCAGCAAGTACGAGTCCGGCAAGCTATAAGCCAATCCGTGAGAGTGTGGCTATTCTTCGGGCCAGGCTTTCACCCTTTCACGAGTAGCCTGCTCTTCTGTGTCTCGCTCCTGAGTGGTTCGCGTCCAGATCCTCTCGGACGTCCCTCCGCAGAATCGGCACGAGACTGGCCCCTTTTCCTCGTCTCATCTTCTTCTCTCCGGGCTCGAGGCCTCGAAGCGTGCCAGCTCCTCCTGGGCCTCTTCCATTTCCTCTTGCCTTGCACGCAGTCGGCGACTCCTGGGCGCAACTCCGTGAGCCTCATTCCACGAGCCTCCCGTCTCTGTACGTATTGGAGAGGTTTAGACCTATCAGCGTTGAGGGGCACAGCCTCCCGCGAGGTTTCCCGTAGGCCTCCATCGTGGCCAGCTTCAAACATCGCCCAGACCGGGCTCTTGTGTACTTTGCTGGCTCTATGGCCTGAATTCATGGACAAGGCCAAGCAGATGGGAAACGCTCGGAATCGTTTCAGGCCCTGCCCAATCGGGGCCAGGCCTCTCCCTTGTTTGCTCTTCCTTGTTTGCTAGCTCCTGCCCAATCGGGTCGGGCCTTCGCCTTGTCTCTCGGTTCATGTGACCCCCGCCCGGCGTTTAAGAATCTAGCCTCGCGCAAGGCTTCGGCGGCGGCCTCTTGTGAGCCTGCCGGAGGCTTTCCGAGGCGGCTCCAAAGGGCTCTGCCCGAGCCTCCCAAGCGGTGCCGCGAGGGCTTTCCGAGGAGCTTGGAGAAGGCTCGCCCATGAGCCTCGAACGGGCTGCCGCAAAGGTGTCGGGGCAGCTGCTTCAGGGGGGACGCGCGGGGGCTCAGTTCCGAAGGCTTCACAAAGCCGCCCGCTGAGTCTTCCGAGGGCCTCACTCAGGAACGCCCAAAAGGCTCCGCGAGAGGCATGGCAGACACTTCCCACGGGCTTCCCCAAGGCTTCGCGAAGGCCTGCGCACTGGTCAAAAGCATTGCGGGAGCGAGCTGGGGCTGCCTGAGAGACTTTAGAAGAGCTCTCAGAGAAAGAAAGACAGGCAGCGCACTGCACTCGCCTCACAACCCCCCGCCAGCAACCGCGCGGCGGCCTCGATTCGCAGGAGCGAACCCCCTCGAAACCGATGCCCGCATGAAAGTCGAAACCATTAAAGGAGGACACTTCGCGAATTCGAAACGGCTAAGGGACTCGCAAAACGGTCAACAACCTGGCAGATTTTTTGCGAAAGCTTTCGCGCCTTTTTCGTTGTTATATGCTTTGGCCTTTTTCTTATTTGCGACGAAAAATGTCGCGGCGTGCCGCAAGGCGTGGCGCCAGGTTTTATCGAAACGCCGCCACGTGGAGACCGATGGGGCCTCTTGTTTGTGGCCAATCTTTTGAGTGATAGAATCTAACGAAGCGAAACCGATAAGGAGATCCGGGAAACCCTTGCGGAGATTTTTCCTCGCGAAACTCTTAAGCGAAACCGTTAAGGGACAGTAGCACTTCTGGGCCGTTTTCGATATTTTGCCACTTTTCTTCACAGTTTGGCACGCCAGTCCCTAGATCGCGAGGCCAGTTCGTCTCTCTCCTTTTCCCATTCCCTTATCGGTTTCGCCTCTGTCTTTCCGGGCTCTGTTCAGATGCTTCCGCCATTCTCTCATCGGTTTCGCCGCTCGCTTGGCGTACCCGTCTCCTCTGCAATCCCTCCGGCTGCCGATACAAACCGAATGAGACGACAGGCGACGCCATGGGGCATGGGCTCGCCCTCCTTTTTAAGAGTCTGGAACATCCTTACAGGCAAAGGCTAACCCTGTGCGCCTGTAGCTCTCAGAAGTGCGCCCGGTATAGGTAGCACACGCACACGAAGAGAGCCAAGGGGATAACTTCAATCGCGAACGCCTTTCGGTAAGACCGCCGAAGCTTGGCAAGGCGCCCCGTCTGGCGCACCGTCCCGCTGGCGGCCGACGATGGGGCATGCCTTAGTTCTTCTGTTACACGGGCGACAGTTTGCCTGACGCATCCCCCCGCCTCCCGTTGTACCCCGCGCCCCCCGCCCCCCTTGTACAAGGTTACACGGTTGGGCACAGTCCGGGGGCGCACTCTTCGGCGCAGGCTCGTTATGTGGGTCCACCGTCGCGCAAACATTTAACCTTGTACAAGGGGGGCGGGGGGCGAGATGGTCACGCATTGCCCCCTCGTCCCTGGCGGCCTACGGCCGCCAGAGGGACGACGCGCCACGCTGCGCTGGCGGGCGCTGGTGGGCGAGTGGTCTGCGCCGCATAATCCAGCGCGAACAGCCCAGCAAGGCTACCCTCTGCCCCCTCGCCCCTGGCGGCCTACGGCCGCCAGAGAGACGACGCGCCACGCTGCGCTGGTGGGCGCTGATGGGCGCGGGGTGTGCGCCGCATAATCCAGCGCGAACAGCCCAGCAGGGCAACCCTCTGCCCCCTCGTCCCTGGCGGCCTACGGCCGCCAGAGGGACGACGCGCCACGCTGCGCTGGTGGGCGCTGGTGGGCGCGTGGTCTGCGCCGCATAATCCAGCGCGAACAGCCCAGCAAGGCAACCCGCTGCCCCCTCGTCCCTGGCGGCC